TCCTATCGCGTCGGAGAAGAATACTCGTTCCTTGGTGAGGATGAGGATGGCTCCGTGCCTTCTGGCACGCAAACCCCAGCCTTCCAGGGCGATGACGAGGACGAGGATGACGCTTTCATGCCAGATGCCCAGGATGGTGAACTTGAGTATGACGAAGATGAAGAGGTAGCGGAAGAGGATGAAGATATATCGGAGGAAGAGGAAGACGACGATTCCGATGAGGATTCTACGGGGCCTCCAAGACGCAATGCGCGTGGACCGAAGGCTGTTCGCGCTGTGCCAACCACCCCGGCAGTCCGACGCGCTAAGAAACTCGCAGACAACATTCCGTCACCCGTAACGTTCGCTAAAGGCAGTGGTGTCAAAGTACGTCCTGTGGATGCCGACGCCCAGTTGCGGACGCGTGGTATCCCCGACTTCGATAAGATTGGTGGTCATGAGCCACGATTAAAAAATCTATTCGGTCCAGATGCAGCGCATCTCAAGCCTGTCCTGGCCTCACGCGACTACTGGTTTCCACAGGAGACGTTTCCCATTCGAAGTTTCGCCAAGGTCAGTTCCGACGACGCTGATGTCGGCAGCTTAAGAAGAAGCTTCTTCGAAGTTAGCGGTGCTAGGGAAAAGGAGAGTGAAGCATTGAGGACATGGTATGCCGATACTGGAAAGCCCGCTTTTGCAAGGGCGCAAAGAACGAAAACATTGACCAAGGATGAGGCCAAAGAGTACATGATTACACCAGGGCCGGAGACTGTAAATGTGCTAGCTGGACCCGTGAACACGCCGCAAGTCAACACATTGGCGGAAGGTTCGTACATGAACATCGCGAAACCATTCCCAGCAAGTCAAGATAGACGCGGTTGGCTCTTCAACCTCGGCTCCTGGATACAAGATGCTCAATGGGCGAGCAACGAAGAAAGCAATACCCAATATCTCGCTGTTGCTGTTGAGCAGAGACTGACAAGCGAGGATCAGCCCAAGCCAATGGAGCAGCCAAAAGCACCCGCCTTCAACCCTACTCAGCCGTTTCCTGCGTGTATCCAGATATGGGCGTTTCAAGCTGAAGAAGAAGGCTTCTTGAATGCAAAGACAGAGCCTAGACTTGAGCTTGTTATCTGCGCTGACTGGGGCGCGCCGAAACAACTAAGATGGTGCCCGATCGCAGCGTCAGATGACAATCGAAACTCGGATGGCCGGAGAAACATACGCATAGGCATACTCGCCTGCCTTTGGTCGGACGGACGAGTGCGTGTATTAGATGTATCCGCTCCGGTTTCTGAGCCTGACCTACACGCCCCTACTTACCTTCACGTCACGCATGCAGCGTTTGAAGTCTCATTTCCTCAAACAGTACCTTCTTGTTTACACTGGTTGTCGGGGACCACGCTTGCAGTTGCGACAGCGGCAGGTACTGTCGGTATCTGGTCTTTGACCCATGCAGGGACGCTCGCAGCGCCCGAGGCCAACAATTACAGTCCAAGACCATGGTTTTATCAGCAAGTAGCCGACACATACATTCTCACGATATCATCCGGATGGCCATCTAACCCTCAGTTTCTCTCTATAAGTACCGCGGATGGATTTGCGCGTCTCATTGACATAAGAAGTCCGACTGCCGATACTGTCGTTTCAATACGCGGTCGCACACTATGTCTAGCACAAGCCTGGCATGAGCATACACAGTCTTTTGTCATGCCAGACGAGCACTACATCCTGAGACACACACCCATACGTCGTTACTACCACAACTTGTACAGCATGCGACTAGAAAATAGTATCACTCGGGTCGCGACAAGCCCGGTACACCCCGGTGTACTTGTTGGTGGAACCGATGGAGATGTTCAAACAAGCAACCCGATCATGCGTATCACAAATTACAAAATCATGCCATGGCAGCAGAAATGGTTCGTACACGAATGGCGAGGACCGATGGAAAGGATGCTAGTCAAGCCGACTGATGCAAATGTTGTGGCGGCCGAAGGAGGGCCAGTTGAGCAGTCGAACAATGACGCCACATCGGAACCGCAAGCGGGCATGTCTGCCGATGAGGCCAAGAAGGTACCCCAAGAAATACTTTCCCAACCTCTCGTCCGCATCACCGAGGGTTATAAAGCAGGTCAAACAGGCATTGCGCACACCAGTGCAGCTACAAAGAGAGGGAACCCAGAAGTTGGAAGGTCCATCAGTATCTTCGAAGAACAAACTGCTATTACAGCACTCGCATGGAATCCAAACTTGAAGTTCGGTACATGGGCTGTTGCGGGCATGGGATCTGGGCTTTTGCGCGTGGAGGATGTTGGTATTTGAAGAACAAGAAGAAGATGTGATAAGAGAAATCCAAAGGGCAAAACAGCATATATAATTCATGATTCTGTTGGCTTTCGTCATGTTCGTACTACGACTTGGTTTAGTTGACTGGCCTCAATTTGCAAACCAGAGGCTTTTTCTCCCAGAGAATGTAGGTCGCCTGTTCTTCCCAGTTGTCGCTCTCGGGGCAGAGCTCGATATCGAAGTTATACAAGGTTTTGGCGATTATGAGACGCATCTCGTGATATGCCATGCTTCACCAATGGTTAGCGTCTGATCTACAAGAAATACACACTAAAAGATGACAAGGTTTTGACTTACTTCTTACCGAGGCAATCTCTAGATCCAATGGAGAACGGCTGAAGGCACTGCCTCTCGTCGGCATCAAACTCGGGATCACCCAACCATCTTTGTGGAAGAAACTCAAAAGGTCTTATGAAGTTCTTCTCATGTGTATACATCGCGTGTTGAGGGATGCTAAGAACTACGCCTGGTGGTATGAACTGGCCCACGACAGTGCTGCCATCCTGCGGTGTGAGGCGCGGAAGTCCTAGTGGAACCGGTGGGTAAAGACGGAAAGCTTCCTTGAGGCATGCTGCTAGATATGGCAGTGCAGCGAGCTGTTCCATGGTCATATCAGCGTCACTGGCAAAGGCGCCACGTATTTCGTCGTTGAGCTTCTCCATGCATTCGGGGTTGCGCAGAAGCAAGTAAGTCAACCCTGACACCAGGGTAGCTGTTGTCTCAGTTCCAGCAATCATGAAAATAGACGAGTTCGCATCCATCTCTCCTCTGGTCAAGCCTCGTCCCTCCTTTTGGCCCAACACAAGATCCCAGAGGTCGACACCCTCGGAATCTCGACCCTTATCGAGGCGTTTTGTGACGCGGGTTACGGAGTGGTTGAAGTGATCCATCCTCCTCTTGTTCACAGACTCAGGTACGTATTTCTTGAAAGCCCTCCATAACCAAGGATATGCCATCATCACACTCAAGTAGGATCCCACCTTAAGACTTGCAAAGATGGTGCTGACCCAGGGATCGTAATCGCCCTTATCAAGCATGTGCAGTGGTTCTCCGAAAGTCAAATCGCCCATGACATCGAATGTGCAGAAGTTATAAAGACGAACCATGTCCAGCTTCTCATTCGGGTTGTTTTCGACCGTTTGTTTCAACCGAGTAACAAGTTTGTCTACATATTTGACGAAGAGCGGTTCCTGTTGTTTGAGCGCACGGTCTGAGAACGCGGGGGTGAAGATCTTGCGTTGCCGACTATGGTCTTGGTCGCGGGCGAGAATCATACTGACCGCACCGTTGGGCGAGCTGCCGTACTTGAACCAGTCTTTGTGAGGGACAGACCCGGCAGTGCCTTTAGTACCATGACCATAGATCTAACACTTCATTAGCCGGTAATTGTGTGCATTACGAAATGTGACACTTACATCTTTCCAGGCATTTGGATCCGTGACACTCAGCTCATCGTGATTGACCCGGACGATGTGGCCATACTTTCGGTGCAAGTCTTGGAAGAGCTTATCCCTTGTCCCTTTCCAGATCGCGATGTGGAACGGGATGCGCGTCGCGGCGTTTAATTTGGGCCCTGGGAAATGTCTGAGGGGGTGGAAGTATATGCGGTAGATGGCTCTGGCAACGAAGCGAACAACCAGCTGTCGCACATTAGCGGGTGTCCTTTTTATAAGTTTCGATCATGCATGACATCACTTACAAAACCAAGTAGAGCGCCAACAATTTGCGATGCCGAAGTCATGTTCAAGAGTTTGGAGAGTCCTGTGGAACCCTTTGCTGGTGTAGAAGCCATGATGCCTAGACTTCAGCCACCATGGGATGATCTAAATGCAGGGCACGAGCAAGCCTTAAGTAGGAACGAGGTACAAGCTCCTCCATTCTCGCACTAAAAGAAGCGGAATAGGTTGACGCGTTTCATACGTCGATGGGTGGCTTGTCAGCTCGCCTAGCACCGTTGACGTCGCGGTGGGTAGCCAGGGTCAAATGATCGCCTCGAGTAGTTCAAGGTCACACCTAATGGGGCATTTGTAGCGACTTAGGCATTCAGACATGGTTTCATCCACCATAGTCGTCCGGTTCAAGGATCATCGAGCTTGTCCGAAGTCCACCCTGTAGGAAGGTCGGAAACAAGGTACAGCAGCTGTTTGTACTGCGCAGGACACAGGACACATTCGTCCGTTCCAGTTTCATGGTCCAATGCTTCGGAAAATTGAATTTATACGGTGCATACGGTAGCAATGCCTATCTAACTGTGGGGAAACCGGGTGATCTGCATGGTTACATGATGCCAACTCGCACACGCGTGCGCGTTCAGGCAGACGCCAAAGACAGGTCGTGCCTGAAGACCAAATCCGATGTAGGGGATTGGCATTGGATGTATGAGATGTAGCGAAAGGAACAGATGCATCAAGCTTGAACGCGAAGACCAGTAGAGGATCTGGCGATAGGCGTAATGCAAGTGGAAATTGATGCGATTGGCCAAAGAAGGCGATCGCTCTTAGTGTGTAATGGCTCCTGGACCAAGGGGGGTTTTGGTGTGGGCTGATGAAAGCGATCGCATTCGCATAGAAAGGCCTGGCCCGTGCACCTATCAGATCGTGACTTCGCGTTGGGGCATCGAGGTCCGTTTCAAGAGCAACAAATCGAACCCCGCACACCCTTGCGCCTCTATAATGGTAGCCACACCCGCTCGCAAAGGCCTTTCGGCTCTTCTCTCTGCTTCGTCATCCAGAGCATCATCAATCGCTAGCAGGACACAACAACGAAGCTTCTCTTCATCCCGCATCTACGCTGCATACGCGACTGCACCCAAAGCAGCAGCGGCAACTACGACTGGCACCTCGACAGCTGCGAAACCTGCAACTTCAACGTCAACTGCGTCAAAGCCCACAACCTCAACAACCCCACAACGGACAGTAACTCCCTCGTTTCCTGCGAAAGAGCCTCCCGTACCTACCACACGCAACAGCACCGCAGAAACCGCGGCATCAGCAGCCCAAAAACAACGTTCGCTTACCGAAGGACTGTCCGATGCACCTCCCGAGCTAGAAGGCGTACCGGCCATAGACTGGACTCGCTCGTACCATGGCCTTGGCAGCATATCTTTCACACCAGAGCAGTCGGACACGCTGCTCGCGCCCATTACACAGGACGATGTCGAGGTGAAGCCAGACGGTATCATATACTTGCCCGAGATCAAGTACAGGCGGATATTGAACAAGGCATTCGGGCCAGGAGGTTGGGGCTTGGCACCAAGAGGCGAGAGTATTGTTACTGGAAAGCTGGTGACGAGGGAGTATGGACTCATTGTCCAAGGACGGTATGTTTCTCTGCCCGCCCGTTGGCAACCCTTCTGCATCTATGCTAACGAAAAATCAGACTCGTTTCCATTGCCCGTGGCGAGCAACAGTACTTCGACCCTGACGGTATTCCCACTGCGACCGAAGGCTGCAAATCCAACGCCTTGATGCGATGCTGTAAAGACTTGGGTATTGCTTCTGAACTCTGGGACCCACGCTTCATCAGGGAGTTCACGAACAAGACGACAAAGGAAATATGGGTGGAGCATGTGAGCACAAAGAAGAAGAGGAAGATAGTGCTGAGAAAGGACGACAGCGCCAGATACCCGTACAAAGAAGTCAAATTGTAGTTTGGCTCGGGAATGTGTTGGGACACATTGGAAAAAGGTAGATGCATTTGCAGGCGTAAGGAGTGCACATAAACCAAGTGTGGATGTATAGATAGGTTGTAAGATCATCAGGACAACCCGTCCCAACTCATGCTCAAGAATTGTGATACCGAATATATACCGCTTCATCATAGTCGTGAAGCCTAGCAGAATGCTATCTAGTGTCTTACCCAAACGCCGCGTGCTACTGTGGTCGTATCACAGATTTTGTGCGCCAGGGGTTCTTTTAGCGATCGCCTAGATCGAAACCCGAAGCCCTCGATCTGTTCCTGATATCGCTCGGTTCCCTGCCGTATGCAAGTGGATCATCCCGAGGCTGTTCCTGACGCTGCCAGTTCCACGGCATCCAACCACTGCTTGTCCTTCGGCCCAGTGCGGGCGGTGTGATGGGGTACGGCGGTCGGTCGGAGCCTGAGCTCAATTCATCGCGCTCGATCCTGTCGAATTCGGCTTCGCTCCTGTTGCGAGATAGGCTACCAGAGAGACTTCCGGTACTCCTATTGACTTCATGGTATCTGTTCCCCCCCGTTTGCTGTGAGCGGATGTTATCTTGCTCGCGGTCGAATGCTTGTAGAAGGGTCTCGAGACGCTGGCGCTGTGATGCTACGTAGTTGAGTCGGTCGTCGTTGTTGCGGATAGAGTCGGGGACGAGGTTTCCTGCACCGCGGCTCAGGTCTGAGGCTTGCGCATCTCTTGTACCTGCGGTACCGGCAGCACCATAAAGCGCACTGGCTCCGCTGAGCGCCTGGTTGACCAGCCCGTATAGATCATTACTGCCCCTTGCTGACGGCATCTGGAATCTACTCATGAGGTTTTGCGCATACGTCTGTCCATCGGGCCTCGGTGAGTCGGGCTTCCTGGGTGCAAAGCCCAACACATTGACCTTTACCCACTCAATACCCATCTCGACGTATGCTATACCTGCTGACTTGGCGCGATCATGACTCTGGGTAATGAACTCGTCGATTTCGCGCTCATGGTGGTAGAGGAAAGGTTCCATGTACTCCTGGTACAGGTAGCCTGCGCCCTGCGAACCAGGCAGGATCAGGTAAAGGTGTGCGAAGAAGCGAATCCATGAATAGAAAGGCACCCAGCTAAGGATGAAGTCGAATGTGTTTTCCACGGCGGTGCAGGCTGAAAGGACGACGAAGTAGATCAGCCAGGGTGCGAGGAGGGCTGGATCTGACGTGTGGAGAGCTTTGTAGGACGCGAAGATAGGAAAGAAGACTGTAGTTGCGACGCTGTAGCATGATTAGCTGGGTAGTCTTTGAACATATCGCAGCAAAAAAGAAACACTGCATATCGGACTCATGCGAGCTTCGGGAGCGCAGGCGGTGGAGCTCGCGATACCATGCTAGGCTTCAAAGCTTGCTCGCGAATTGATACCTGACTGCGGGGGCGGGGTACACTTACGTCAAACCGTCTGCGACAAAGCCAAACATGGTCGCAGTTGTTGGGGTGTCTTCTTGAGATGTCCGTGTTTAGGTGATAGATGCAGGCCCGAGACTTGCAGGTAGCGAAAGCTCAAGCCTCACGGATACGCGGGCGGAGGTGTGGAGTGGCTCAGCCTCATGATCCATGGGATGTACGTCAGTCGGTCAAGAGCGGCGCGCTATCCGCTTTCGGTCCTTTGTGTGTGAGCTCCCAAATGTCAGCTGCTGGGAGAACAGACTAATCACGTCTAGGAAATATGTCTCAAGACACCGGACTCGTACAAACTCAGATCCTGGTGGTTGTGCAATACTTAGGCATCATCCAGGTGATGTTCACTATCGCGATTCCCTCGAACCCGCGTTGCGAACGCGTACTGATCGACAACGCCTGGGCAGCACCAACCACCACCACCAACATATCAACTTTCCGAATCAGCCGCATTCTCCAGATGTTTCTGCACAGGTCAACAGGTACCTCACTTGGGCATGTTCAATCCAACCCAACGATGAGTGTCCTTACCAGTAGAAGTGTCTCCGAATCGTCCCAACAACATCATCACGGCCCCTTCCCATACCACATTGCGCGGTCATGGAATTTGATTCTATTCCAATCTATAGCGCAAAGCATGCAGTCAGCGACTATTTCTCTCGTCTCGTTATGAAATCGTGTTTGAGGCCCCACTGCGCCTGTCTTGTCTCCAGAGCGCCTATGTCCGATACTTCTACCGCGTCTACGGCACTGACCTTGCAACTATCCGATATGATACGATGCAAAAAATCCCAAGACGCTTCTTATGCTGCCATGGCTGCCAAGAGACCGCTTATCATTACCAGGAGCTCGACAACAGCTAACCACCCCGCATTTGCAGCCGTTGTCGCCGTTGACATCATCCCGCTTTTGTCCGTACAGTGGGGGAAAGCAACTCTCGTGAACATAAAAACTGCGGCACAGGTTACGTAAATCAGCTATCTTCTTTCGAGTACCAAACCAGCTTTCTTGGCGGGCAACGAGTTGCTTGGCTTATGCTTGTAGTTCGTCGATCTTCACTGACAGTCCAGTGAAACAGTCTCGAATGCAATTCGTAGAGGTAGCTCTTCTTGGCTCTTAACTAGAAACGGTGTTTTGCCCACCGAAAAGCGATGTACCAAATGCCGAGCGACGTATGCCAACTAATAAGGATCAAATCTTGCATTCAACCCTGTCCTTCGAGAGGTTGAGGCATTGCAGGTTATGATTAGAGCGGAAGGCCTGAGTATGGCTTGGAAGATAAGTCTTGTCTTTGCAGGGCTACGCTCAAAATATAAAGGTAGATGCGTTCCCTCAATTTTGCATAACACAGCGACAAGTTCAAAGCATCAGCGTCCATAACAACTGTCAACATGGTCTCTACCAAGTCTCTCTTGGCTCTAGTATTCCTGAGATCAGCAATTGCAGCACCTCAAGCTTCGGTATCGCCATCAGCTGTCAGCTCTGCCAGTTCACCGGCATCAAGCTCAGTGACCCTTACTGCCGAGGAGACGGACGAATTATTCAGCCTTCATGAGGAGTTAGTCAACATCCCGTCCATATCCGGAGATGAAGTGGAAGGCGCAGAGTTCTTATCGGAATACCTGTCGAGCTTGGGGTACTATGTCGAGGAAGTTCCTGTTGGAGACACCGGCACTTTCAATGTATTCGCCTATCCACAAGAACTGAAAGACGAGGGCGTTTGGCCAGAGGTCTTGATCACTAGCCATATTGATACGGTCAGTATATATGGCATGACATGTGATAGGTAGCAAGTTCTAACGTAGAACCAGGTGCCGCCATTTTACCCTTTCGAGCGCAGAGAAGAGAATGGCACAGTCTATCACTTTGGTCGTGGAACGGTCGACGCAAAAGGACCCGTAGCCACTATGATTGTTGCATCGCACAAGTTCTTTCAGTCCCGCACCGACACCCCTAGTCTTGGCATGTTGTTCGTTGTCTCCGAAGAGACTGGTGGCGCCGGGATGAAAGCATTTGCACAAGTAAGCCTAACTGTACCAAATGCATATGAAACATGTACTGACTTTGTGGCTTCACCATTACAGTATGCTTCGAACACAACTTTCCGTGCAGGTATCTTCGGCGAGCCAACAGAAGGAAAACTGGCTAGTGGACACAAAGGCAGTTTACGCGTGGACCTGGATGTTCTAGGCAAATCCTCTCACTCCGCCTACCCTTGGCTTGGTGTAAGCGCCATCAATTATCTAACTGAGGCTATCGTTGCACTTAACATGCTCGAACCGGCTCTTCCTAGAAGCGAGCTACTCGGCGCCACAACTCTCAATGCTGGCGTTATTTCAGGCGGTGTTGCTGGCAACGTTGTGCCTGAACATGCAAACGCTAGCATCGTTGTCCGTATCGCTCGCAGTGAAGACGATGCAGTCGAGGTTGTTCAGGACATGATGGCAGGAATGCTTTCACCCATTGTTGCCCGCGCGAAGGCAGCAAACGCTACATTCGATGTTCGTTTTTCGAATACTACATACCCCGCACCTATTCTCGATACCGATGTCGAGGGTTTAGAGGTAGCTCCAGTTTTCTATGGTACAGATATTCCGAGTTTGCCGCAGGTGGAGAAGAGATATTTGTTTGGCACCGGAACGATTGAAGTTGCACACACGCCGGATGAGATGTTGAGTCAAGATGAACTTGTGCAGGCGGCTGAAGCATACGGCATGATACTTGAAACTTTGTTCTCAGAATAGAAACATGCCGATACGATGATTATGTTCGGTTAGAAGACAATGAGAATGCGTCCAGTGAGTGAACCACGCACAATTTCATCGAGGCTCATGGTCATGGTTTTGCACATTAGCCTTTACTTGATTGCTCGTTATGTGTTGTCAAATTTTGCCTGTCTTGTCTTTCCCTGTATTCGGCCAACGTACACCGCGGACATTTCGAGTGTGGCAATATGTCTGTTTGCAACACGAAAACATGCTCGAGACGCTATTTACACAATGATATCATGCATAGCGGTATAGAGACGGCGAGACGAGTGAACTTGCTCGAGAGATTTCTGTAAGCGTGATATCATGGAAACAGCTTGCTCGTGTTATGCGTACTGTAGGAGCAAACACAAAGGTGTATAGCTTCCAACGAGATACCTAAGATGCTCCTTATCAACCAGCTTTTGTCTTATGATCTATCTCTTCAACCAGGGCCACTGAGCATGTGTGAGGGCGCACTACCACCGCCTCTTTCTCCGAAATTTCGGCGCTCCTGCAACGCCTCTCCGTTCGTAATTTACCGTCACCTATAGTCGCTCCTTCTCTGAATGAGACTGTTTGCAGAGCTTGCTAACTCCGCCTCTTAACTATATCATGCGCCTTTTCCACGGGTGAGAGACGAAGACAATGGCGTAGTTCTACACCTGACGTCTGAGCAAACGGTCTTTGGCGCCTTTCTTCATTTCTGATATCACTATAGAAATAACCTCCTACCTTTCTTGATTCCTTTTTTTTGGACAGCAAATTAATAACCACCTCTCATACTCTTCAACTTTTATGTACAACTTCAACGCTTACCTTAAATCTCTTTTGTATACCTACACATCGACATGGCTGAGTATGGTCCAACTGCCTTACCTCCAGGCGCCAATGATGGCGGCGACGGCTCGAGCATAAGAACAGCTACGTGGGTGGTTGGCAGCGACAAGAACGCAAGAAGCTTCTTCGTGAAGCAAGATTCTACCTTTGTACGCTGCAACCTGGCCAATGCTCTCGATTTCAACGACATGAATTACCATGTCTTCGATCCGCCCACTAATCGCCGAATCAAGTTCGTGTGGAAGGGCCCCGGTCGTCCCCAGTTCCAGGCTTTTGCACACCAGTACTGGGAGATCCAGCAAGAGGAACAGGATTCCCTAGCTCGGGGTGACCGCTTACCTGGTGAAGATCTCAGTGAAGGTGACTGTGTTGCTGACTGGGAATCTCAAACATCACTGACATGGAATAGATGCTGAAGAAGAGTACGATATTGCTGGAGATGCTGTCTTCGACCACATCGAACGACTACCAATACAGCCTACCCATCAGATCAACTCTGCATCATCTCCTCCGAGTTGTGCGTGACATTTTCATCATATATCTCTTCGAGCGAAGCTAATTTTCCAAGCTTCACGCAACTTCTCTTCATCTCCTCCTTCTGGTGGTTATGGTCGAGGCAGTCCTTCAACTCCCAGAGGTCGCGGCCCTACCAGCCAGCCAGGATCTGGTCGAGATTCAAGTGGACGCGGCTCTGGTACTCCTCGAGGTCGTGGCTCAGGTGGCTCAGGTGGCTCCGGACAAGATCAAGGATCCCCAAAGTCACCAATGTCGCCTTATTTTGACAAGAGCAAGGGTCCAGGCGGTGGCTCTCCTGGAATTGGAACGGTTTGAGACATGAGAAGGTTCTAAGAGATCAACACTAGATTTTCTGTCTAGGATAAGAGGTCTTGGATTGGGGCCGGGTTTAGCATGGCGTTTAAATTGGTCAAGGAGATACCCGTAGATTTTTGAGATGGACTTCAAGAACGTTGAATTTGGCCTTCGATCTTGATTTGGACATGACGTGATGAAAGCTCCAGTGGAATCGACTTCGAACCTCGTCTGTGATCCTGATGATGTGCTGAACTCCTTTCACGCGTCATCTCCGTCGACCTTCGTAGCCCAAGAAGCATTTGAAGACGACTAGACATACGTGTAAATGTCCATTGTGATGATCTTAAAAGCAAGTTAGTGAATACGTGTATGCGCTAACAAGTGTGTGAAGGTCTACAGACGTCGTCATACACCCTCACTACGCCATTCTGGAATGCGAGACGAGGAATACATATCACTCCTAGGGGGTATAGGCTGGTCGAAAGGAAGTCTGATGTAATCCTACGCGCTGTATGTTTATCTATCTGGAATGAGTCGGGATGAGAGGTCGGAAGCCGGCCGAGGTGCGTTCCGACAAGTCCATGTCTTGGAAGCCGAGGACGCGTGAACTGCAACCAATGATTTGGAGCCTATCTGACACTGCATCTGATAAGCGCGGTGATGGCATGTAAGGTTGTCAGAATGTACCGAACCCACGCGCTGCAGTCTCAGAAATGCACCTATCTGCCGCCTCGTGCAGCGCGCCTGCCACGCGAGCAATGACGCACGACGATCTCCGACGAGCGCGTGCGTGACCACCTCAAGGTCGCTAAACTTCGCAGTATACATCATCCCTCTGGCCCTCGCGACGTTCCCTCGGCCCCATATTAATTCTCAGGGTGCGATCAGCCACAGCTACTTAAGTCCTATGACGCGCCTGTGGCTGTTGTCCATTGGTTGTACCGGTCTCCGCTGGATCCGCTAAATGCTGCTCACGCCTCGCACCTACTCCCTCGCTCACATCGCCGACGACGGCCGCAAACGCCCCGAGCCCTCGTATTTTGTGTGTATACAGTCGCGGAGGGAACGGGAAGCCGAGGAAAAACGCGCGCTGAAGATGTTGTTGTTGCACCAAAAGGGGAGCGTGAAGGTGGGAGAGGTTGTGAGGTAAGTTCTCAGGGTCTGTCGGCGGAAGTGCATGGGCGTCGTATGCATTGGCTACATAGGACGGACAGGGCGCGCCAAAGTTTACCGCTATCTGGAAAGGGATGCTAAGCAGCCATGCAGATACACCCTCACTTACACACCCTCCGAAGACCGAATACTACCGCCCCCTTCGTGCCTCCATGTTCGCATACGAAACTCGTCCGCGATACCACTACGCGCCGCATACCTCCACGGGCCGTACACGATCCACGTCTCCGCATACCCCTCCACCTTCAACCCAAACAAGAAAGCTGACGAATCGAAAATTTACGGGGAGCCGGACTTTGAGCCTAATGTCAAGGCAGGTGGATACTGGAACACCAAACTCATAGTTCCCGAGGAATACAGAAATGATATCAGGGAGTACGACGGCACATCCAAGAGCCTCACCTGGATCATCGAGATTGCCTCGCAGATCATCTTTTCCAACTCTGCGTCTGTAAACTACGAACTGCTGGTGGCGCGCGACGAACGATCGTTGGATCTTGGCTTCACTGCTGTTACCGGAAACAGTCATGGAACACCAGGAAAGGTGCAAGATCACCAGCAGGGTAGCCAGAAACATGTTTCCGGCCACCCTGCACAGCCCAAGGGGGTGTATTCAAAGGCTGTAAAGCTAGTGGTTGACGACACTACAAGCTTGTGGAATACACCTGAATTGCCAGAGTGGAAAGAGGACAATGCCCAAGATAGTTCCAGAAAGTCCAAGGATCACCATGTTCCGGCGGAAAGCCGACGGAAAAAGAAGAATATACACCTGGTGATAGTAACACATGGCTTACACAGCAACCTTGGCGCGGATATGTTGTACCTCAAAGAGAGCATTGACGCGACGGCAAGACAAGCTCGAGAAGATCGGCGGCGGCGTCGCAAAGAGGCGAAGGGTGCTAAAAGTACTGAACAGAATCAGGACACATCGACAGCACCATTGTCAGGCGGTCAAGAGGACATACCAGATGATGAGGAGGATAGCGACGAGGAAGATGTTATTGTACGCGGGTTCGATGGAAATGTAATACGTACCGAGCGTGGTATTCAATATTTGGGCAAGCGACTCGCTAAGTACGTGTTGAGTCTGACTTACCCTGATCAACCCTACCTGCCGATCAAGAGGTCTATGGGACAAAAGTTATCCAACACGTTCTCTCCAACGAAAGACAAGCACGATGAAGGCATACCATCCCATCACGGTAGCAGTGTTCATCACACAACTTCAGGGCACGACAAACGCGCATACAAGTTCACTAGTATCAGCTTCATCGGCCACTCGCTGGGAGGGTTGGTACAAACGTATGCCATTGCATATATCCACAAACACTCCCCTCACTTTTTCGACACGATCAAGCCCATCAACTTCATCGCTATGGCATCACCTTTCCTGGGACTAAGCAACGAGAATCCCACCTACGTCAAGTTTGCACTCGATTTCGGTTTAGTTGGGAGAACAGGACAAGACCTTGGTCTGACCTGGAGAGCACCGACATTAGCAAAGAGTGGCTGGACCGCCATGGGCAGTGTGTTCGGTAACCAAAGCCAGGACCAACATCAAGAAGACCCTGGTGCGAAGCCTCTGCTGCGAATACTTCCTACTGGTCCGGCTCATCAAGTCCTGCGAAGATTCCGAAATCGCACTGTGTACTCCAACGTTGTTAACGATGGCATAGTACCATTACGCACAAGTTGCTTACTGTTCCTGGATTGGAGAGGTTTAGGTCGTGTTGAAAAGGCGCGTCGAGAAAACGGGCTCATTGGCACAGTAGCTGTATGGGGTTACGGCCAACTTACTGGACAAAACTCATCTCCAAACCCATCCAGAATCGGTTTTTCTGATGATGAGGGTTCAGGAGTTGATTCGCCCACAGGCAATGGTGACGACACTGCTGTGCCTCTACCAGGCGCCGATGTCACAAATCAAGACGATGAAGCACAGGCATCTTCCACTGAGCCAGCAGCTCATCAGTTCATTGAAGGACAAAAGAAGAGTCCAGAGGCAAAGGAGCCCAATGACCAATACTTCCAGCCGCAAAATACCTTGATGCAACTATGGAGTTATATAAGACCGACCGGAAAGCACACTTCGCGCGACAAGAAGATGTTTAGTCGTAGTCAGACCATTTACAAGGACGAAGAGGACGAGCAGGCCCCAGCTGAAGCCGAGAGCTCGACGTCATCACATACCACACAGCCAAGGAAGCGACCCCAAGCAACCCGTGGTGACTCCATCGTTGACAACCCCAAAAGCCATCTAGCACCACCCAAAACTACGATTTTTGAATCCGCTGGTGATCTGATCAACCCACCTGTCCCACCAATGTCCTGGATTACCGACCCGTCCACCAGAGCACGCACCATCTTCCATGACAGGATCTACCACCCTGAAGACATCCCGCCGCCGCCAACCAAAAAACCGACACGCAATTTCTCCGGTGCTAGCGCCTCCTCTCAGGCATCAACAACAGCCGTTGACGAAAGTGTGATGCGCGTGGAGGAGAAGATCGCTCGCGCTTATCATAAGGACCTTTCCTGGCGTAAAGTTCTTGTCAGTCTCGAGCCGGACGCGCACAATAACATGATTGTACGCCGCATGTTTGCTAACGCGTATGGTTGGCCTGTGGTCAAGCACCTCTGTGATACTCACTTCGCGGATACTTACTCAGCCAACACACGGGATGAAGAAGAACCTGCCCTCGATCGTGCACAAGCTGTCAACAAACCGATCAATGAAGATGGCGAGCATGTCAAGGGGCAGGAGAGGCTACAGCCACCTATCGAGCGTACTGATAGCGAGATGAGGGAGGTGGCTGACGAACTAGCGCCACTCAAGCCGCCCAGTCTCAGGATACCCAAGCGATCGAACACAACCGACTCGACCCGTAGTATAGGGTCGGGCGATTGGGATAGCATCTACTTCAACGAGACTAGCGACGAGGACGACGAAGTAGATGACCGAAACGCCATGCAGAAATTCTTCCAACCCAACATGCCTAGAAGCCCGCGAAGTCCTGGACCTGTACCGAAGACGCCTGATGGTAAAGGTACAAGCGAGGCAGACATCTCTGATTTTCTCCATGGATCCCATTCAGTTGAAGTTCATCGGGGCCTTGGCGCAAGCCCAAGCAAAAAGCCAGCGAAACTGACCCGCGAACCGGACTCAATAGAGACTGTCGATGAGGCACCGAAAGTTTTAGATGATGCGACAGTAGTATCCAGTCCGACCGAGACACCTGTAGGCAGGATCAGTGGAGTAGGGTTGAGAAGTTCGATCGATATCCCAGCATCGCCAGAGAGTGGCAGGGCCAAGAGCGGAAGCGGTGTTGCTGAACAGGTTGCTATCCTCAGCAGCCCGAAGAGCAAGGGAGAATCAGCAGGCTCATAGTATGGAGCCCGCCAATTGTTAAGGCGAGTGATGGCAGACCGCAAAGCCAGAAAATCGAGGAAGAGACGTTGATATGGCGAATCTTTCGACACGCAGTAATGGTTTGTAGTTTTTTACTCGCTCATTTCTCAACATCCCACGGAGGCCATTGAAGCGTTTTCGGTCTCGGGTGCAGTGGGTGTTACGTGACGTTGGGGTTGAGATCTGTGCACAGGAGGCGGATGCCACACGGACGGTGGCATGGATCGTAGCACGGTTGCGTCCACAAAGATACCCAAGATCTCATTCCGTGGTTTGCAGGAGTATAGGTCTTCTTTTTCTAATAGTTCCGTTTAATTATGTTCCCTTTATATTCGTCTTCCCTGAGGTCGTTCTTTCCTTCATTGTATGCTTACATCTCCATCGCGCAGATTTCACATCAGCCATAATAGATATTGTGGAGGCCATCTGGTTTCCTCGTTCTCACATTCACCTGTTAGTCCCACATTGTTCTCTCACCGACGTCATCTTTATGCCGCGCCTTCCTCATTCACTGCCGCTCTCGCGTGGCCAAGCACTCCGTTTGTTGGTGACTCGACCACAACAGACCAAGCTTGGCGCTTGGTCCAATACCCGGGCGAATCCTCGCATTTTATGACCACAACTCGATTGCAATATTGTAATGCGCTGAGCACTGCTACACTTCAACTTCGCTCCGAGTCGCTGGCTTTGTTCTGGCTTGATTGCCTCGTCATACTCGAATCGCAAATCGGTACAAGCGTCAATCACCAGACCCCACACCCCACGACAAAGAGCCTCGCTCAGGAAAATGGTCAGTTATACTGATATGGTCAACCCTCCGCCCGGGGCCACGTGGAACATGGGCCCTGCTATGGTGGTTGGCGGTCGGAGACGCCGCAGCACACGCCGTTCCAACGCGATGCGCTCCAACACTACACCTAACTTTGGCCTTGACTCACAAGCCGCGATGGAGAATGCGAATGGTGCCGCCGAAGGACTGGATACAGAGCATGTAGAACACCCGCGTCTTTCATCTTCTTCCGAGCCCTCAAATCCCATGGTCAACCACTTCGCGCCGAACAGTGGCCCACCAGGACTCCGCCGTCGCTCTCCTATCTCGCGGCCATCCAATGACCTTTCGAGTATGCCGATCGCTCAATCGCCTACACCCATGATAGAGAGCGCTTCAATAACGGCGATAGAGGGGAAGAGGAAGCATGGCAAATTCAGCTTCAAGCCAAAGGATCAGGACTGTCCCGCAAACTCACATGAGACTGCTCATCAAGCGTCCCCTCTACCACCACTTACCCCTGTGAAAGCCGCAAAACTACTAGGCGTTGACGCTGGTCCTGGTAGGCCTCGGAGCAATTCCGAAGGCCGTCGTTCACAGCAAGATGGTGGTTACGATGGTCCACCAGTATTGCCAAAATCGACTAGGAAAGTGTCCGCGCCGGTACCTGCCTCTTCAAAGGGTCTGTTGAGTAGACAGGCAAAGCTCAAGGAGGAAGGCATTGGACCTGATCTGCTTAAAGCCAAGAAATTTTGGGCGAACAGCAACAGGAAAGCGCAGCAAATGCTAGGCTTACTCCCATCTGCCGCAACTAGTTCCAAACGTGAAGCCGATATAGAGCGCGCTGCAGCTGCTTCTCTAGTACGGCGTACAGAGGATGATACTGAGGCATACTACAGTAGCGACTCTGAACTTCATGCTCGTTCTCGTTTGCTTCATCCGGCTGCGCGCCTGGCTCCCGAGACTCCAAGACGGCGTATGCCCAAGAGAATTCCCAAATCACTTGACAAAATGGCACCCATCACGGAGACGTCTCACGATGAGCTACGCTCATCTTACCATGTGAACGAACAGTGTCCTGAGCTAGGTGTTATCTCTGAGCGCGAACAATTCTCCCCTTCATCCAACCCTCCACTGCCTCAGTTGTATACTGAGCCGTTGCTCACATCTGACGTCATGTACGAGCTGGAAGCGGACGATCTCTCCCCAACAGACCAAGTCGTGGAAGAGGGCGATGGAGACGGAGAGGCGCAATCTGCCGTCCATCCTGGAGATGAGGTTGACGTCAATCATGTTGGAGACCAGCAAGCCATTGAATTCCGTTTCCGAAGCCCATTACAGACGGTCGAAGATCGTTTGCTCGACGAGGCAGAGGCTCAACTAGCGATTGTCAGGGCAAGGCAAAATGAAAACGACGCGACAAGACTCATGCTTGACACCAATTATGCTGCTCTTATAGTATTGAACGAAACCATGAAGATGGAGTTTGCAACCGCAAAGCAAAACATCGCCTCGAGGGAGCGTGAGGACTTTTATGGCGCCAATAACGAGGACGAAGACTCGATCTCAATTTCCAGCAGTATCAATCTGAACGATGAGGTCACGACTTTCACACGGATCACTCCCGGTATGGTCAAGCTCGTCGACATTACCCCCAGGAAAAAGAGGCCACTTGCTCCACCTGCTCCGATCGTACCAGCCGCGCCACTGCCTATGCTAGCTTTATCTACCCAGATGAAGCCGCCTTTCAAGCCGGCTGGCGCTTTTTTCTTCCAAAATGACGAGAGGATCAGCCCTTTCAACGAGCGCAGCAAGCATGTGGATGTGCGTAAGTATATCCTCTCAGTAATCAACATAACTAACAGAATCCAGCCAACAGCCATACCTAGTCAGCTTCCCACTAGAGACTACAACCGCTTCGACAAGAACAAGAAACCAAAGATGCCACGTGATGATTCACGTCTGCTCGTCCAAGATTGGATGTCCACCTACAATCACACGAAACAACGCCCGGTCTCTGAACGTATCGATCCTGATGTTCTCGCTGATCAACAGATTCCGCCCGCTCCATTCCCTAAAGACGATTGCTCTACATCCCCACATCCCCCCTCACATCCACCGCTATCACACCCACCTAGGCTGTCGTCAAAAGAGCACTACTGTCTCACGAATGGCCATATCTTCCACCCTATCAATCTCAAGACTGTTCCTGACGAGGTCGCCATCAACAGCTTAGAAGTCCGACCTTACCTGCACACCGCTGTTGGCTCCAAACAGCATGTTTCTGTCCCTGTTTTCTGCGACCGGTGTGATGATGACGTCAAAGAAGAGCTTTGGGAGTGCGACATTGCTGTTTGTCGTATGGGGGTTTGCAGACAGTGTGCGGAGGATATGGAGCACGAGTGGCAGGAACGTGTCGGTGATGCTTGGACTCAGTGACGGTAATCGTGCCGCAGTGCCTACTAGTGTTCGAGGGGTAAAGATATGTCCATGAGAGTGCCGATGCTGTAATACCATCATGAGATGTGTAATAGTCATGACTACACGACGTAAATTCTCGACGATCAGCGTACTTCACATATAACGAAGTAAATTTTCTCTATTGTTGCGCCAGCCTTTCCTGATTCGAGATCATAATATTCCTGCGGCGTCAGGTCTTCCCATACATCCAACCCCGATTTTAGACCCTTAGATATTCTCAAAGCTTCCAGAAAGGACATGCCGACGTGGAATGTCAAACCATCTCAGCCGCCGCCCTCTTTCTTATCTGTCAGAACATCCATCTCACCTTTCTTCTCCTGCTTGACAACCACTTCTTTCTCCGCTTGTCCACTGTCTCGACCATGCTCCTTCCTAAAATCACTATCCGCCACTCCACCCTTGACCATACCGCTCTGCCCAGTCGGTAGTGGTGTTGCAAAATATGCGTTGGCAGGCATCAACTGCACACCACCCTGAAGTCCATAGATAAATTCATTCCTCAAATCAGTATGCTCTTCAAAAAGCCTATCCCAAGCAACCTTCAGAGGCGCCGAAAAGTTTGGTGATACTGATAAAGACCGGACGACAACGGCGTTGGGGTTCGAGGGGTGATGGCGTGACCAGTGCGTTACCAGGACGTCTAGGAGGAGTTTGCGGAGAGGGGAGGGGGCGAGGACATTCTTTGCCGTAGCTGATGGAGTTAGTCCGGATGAAGAATTTGATGGTGAAGAGGTAATCGTCGGTGACGGTGAGGTTTCTTTCCAAACGTAGTCCATGAGTGAGGGCGTGAGAGCAAAGTAGACTCCAATAGCTGCGTAGATTCGGGATATAGCGTGGTTCATGAAGGGAAGAGCGCCGAGACGTTGCCCTAGGAGCCATGCGTGTACAGAGGGAGGGATGAACTCGATCAGTTTCATGTCTTGCGGGGATGGAGGCGGTGGCATGAAAGTAGGTATGTGACTTAGTGGAGGAGTGGCCTGGATATGTCCATTGCTGTTGACAGGTGAGATATTCGAAGACGGTTGACGGAGTGCTGTAGCAGTTCCCGGGCCTGGATTGGTCGGTTTTGGGACAGCTGTCAATGAGCGATTGTGGTAGTGGGTCGTTGGTGTTCTTGCGTCGACATTCGGTGGGTATGAGTCTTTGTAGATGAACTTTAGGAAGAGACCGAAGATTGCAGGATCCACATCTGTTAGCCTGAGAACACGCTCCTCGTCGACCTTATCGTCTTTAACACTCTTTTCCCTAGTAGGGTTCTCATCTTTGTTCTTGTCCTTAGTCTCTACCACAACCTTTGCTTCGACCTCCTCGCCCTCTCTGAAAGGAGACAGTTTGCGCTTTTTGCTAGCCGTGGTTAAGCCCGCGATTTCCTTACCGAGATAGAAAGAGTGAACGCATAGTAGGGCGACGGGCAGGGTATATGTGCAGTACAAAGAGGGTTGGCCGACAATTACAGTGACTGATTTGCCCTGTATCCTAGATCCTAGAATTAGATCAGTCACTTGAGGCTAGAGCATGAGATATTTACATGTTCAAGAACATGTCCGAGTGAGACATTGATGGTGGCGGAGCCGTGCCGTGCGCTGCTGGCAGTGGCGCAAGTTGCTGCTGCGTGATGCTACTCATCTTGGAAATTGTGGGTTGTTGAGTTGATAAGACATAACAAGAGTCGTGATCGTCAAAGAACTTCATGCAAATGGTGAGTTTGTCACAAGCTACCAAGCTAAGACAACGCTAGTACGCGGCTGGTGAGGGTGAGAGACACCTTTACTTCGAACGCATCCTCAAGGCGGAAGAAGAACAAAAGGCAAACTAGCAAAAACACGCATATAAGTACTTGCTTCAAAGGCGCATGTTTTCATGAGCTCTGGTATCCGTCGTGAGCTATGTAAGATATTTCCAGCTATAATATGGCTTCTCACTGTCTTTTTGCATCTGGCTCGTCGTGGGCTGTCTTCTCGGTCTCTTCCAAGTAATCATCGATGTCTAACTTTGCATTCTCAGCACCAAGACGGTGCAGCAGACTGTTTCCGAAGTCCGGGATATCCCTGAATAACTCGGTCCGTGTCGACTGTACATACCATTTGCAGTGCTGCTTCCAGTTCAAAGATACATAGTCTAGTACCCAACGACGAAGTGCAGACTTATTGGCAGTGTGTTTCCAGATGTACTCAATTTCCTGGAGCTCGACAGGTAGTTCTGATGCTACATGTACGTCGTAAAGATCTCGCATAGCGGCGTTCTTGAAGTCCGCGACTAGGAGTCGATCGCCAAGTATCCAAAGACGAAAGCTGCCGTGTATGTAATCCCACTCCGGCTTATCATCTGGTAAGGTCGCGAAATATAGCCAATACACAAAGGCTTCGAAGACTTCTGGCCGACAGTCATGTAGCGTGATCTTGTTCTTGATTCCTTCTTTGAACGGTCCATTGCAGGCAGCTCGAAAGAACCCAGAGTGATGGCTTAGAAGGGCTTTAGGGATGACCCAGTTCTTTGTATGCACTCCATGGCTAACAACGACTTCCATACCAGGTCCTTGGATGCTGTATACCATTAGTGGGTCGACGTCGAATTTTTGAAGGTGCCTCACAGTGACATCAGAGTTTCTCGGTGCTTCATTCTCGCCATTACGCGGCTTCCGTAGGCTACAGCTTCTCAGTCAGTACGTATCTTATCAATTAGAGTGAACGATTCACCTACACATTACGTAGCAAAGTTGCGCTCCACAACTGCATGTGCTTGCGGATAGTGTCTCGGAGTGTAGCAGGTCAGCAATGCTACAAGGGATTGGCAAGGGAAGGCGCTGATGGATCAGCGATGGTAGTATTACGTGAAGAATTTATATCGGCTAGCCGTGGTTTTGACAGTTCGTGAAAACCCTATTGAGGTGAGAGAGCGATGGTCCGGGCTCTTGCCTTTCTCAGTTCTGTCAACAATGCCATAGTAATGGTGTAATCGCTCTAACATCAACATTTGAAACTCTGAAATGGCTGCGCGACAAGAGTACCTACAAACGAGTAAAAACAACTGTGGAGATGAGTATAACAGTGAATGTATTAATGGACTACGCTACGTGGCTGTCCGTGTAAGATGTTGTAAAGTCGCTCAAGCGTATTCATAGACCACGTCGCTAACCATCCGTAGTTGTGTGAATACGCACATGCCCTTCATTTAAACCGCGAAATGCCTATCTAGTTTCTGAAATCTAGATCAGAGCAGCAAAAACCACCAGTCGTCGTGACATACGACTCATGTCTCGAGACAGCTGCTCAAAGCCTAGGCCTTAGGCTCGACATTGACGTCCTCGACACCGTGACGGGCAACCTTCATATTACCGGCTTCAATATCGCGAGTAACACGGTCAAGACGAGACTCAACCTTGCCTGCCTTCCAAGCAGGGAGACCAGAGTCGAAAACGTCGTCCATCTCCTCAAGAGTCTTGCCCTTGGTCTCTGGAGCGGTCAGGAACATGTGAATGAAGGCAACGGCGTTGAAGGTACCGAAGATCATGTACATCTTCCAGTTAATGGACCATAGAAGAGGAGGGACAGCGAAAGCAAGAATGCAGTTCCAGGTCCAGTTGGCGGCAGTAGCGAGGGAGACAGCCTTCGCACGAACCTTGGCGGGGAAGATCTCAGACGGGTAAGTCCATGAAGTGGGACCCCAGGTAGTTGCGAATGTGGCGACGAAGAGGTATGAGCAAGCTACAATGCCCTTGGAGACGGCGCTGTGTTCCCGAGGAACAACCCATGAGATATCACGGTCAGTAGTGTCTGGGTTAGGGTTGCCGTAAGAAGCTTGCAGGGCACCAGTGGTGTAGAGCCAGACAGCCATCATGAACGATCCACAGAGCAAAGCTGGGCGACGACCAAACTTGTCAAGGTAGAGGATAGCTGGCAGGGTCATGGCGACGTTAATGATGTACTGGATCGAGGCGGTGAGGAGTTCGTCGGCGATACCAGCTCCACGCATGATGAAGACAATGTAGTACCTTCGAGTTTGTCAGTATGTACCGTATGAATAATTGGTGCAAAGGGCTAACATACATCATGATGTTCATACCGCAAAGTTGAGACCACATTTGGATGGACATGCCGAGGATGACACGCTTGACAATGCGGGGCTTGACCAGGGCAGCGAAGCTAGTCTCGGCGACTTCACGCTCGAAGGCGAGGGCCTCTTCAATTTCCTTGTATTCGGCGAGGACCTTGGGGTGATTGACATTACCGTCACCGTGGAGGTTGGCAAGAACTTGGAGAGCCTCCTCCCACCGGTCCTTGGAAGCGAGCCATCGAGGAGAGCGAGGGAAGAAAAAGAAGCCGACGAAGAGAATAGCACCGGGAACAGCCTGAATGCCCCATGGGATCCTGAAAGCCGAAGTGCTCTGGTTGGGGTTGTTGACTCCACCATCGACGAAAGAGCAGCCGTACTGGATGAAGTATTGGATCAGGATACCCCAAGTGATGGCCTATACGGAGTTAATGTACATCTTATAGACGTCTTCAGTGTCTACGTACCCATTGTTGCAGTGAGACCACACGTCCTCGAATCTCCTTAGGAGCGATTTCTGCTTGGTAGACAGGAACGATGGCCGAGCAGATACCAATAGCGTAACCGCCAACAGCACGGCCGACACAGAGAAGAGCAACGCCGTTGGCGGCGGCTTGGAAAATTGCGCCAATGATCCAGATGAGCGCGGCGATCTGAACAGCGTTCCTACGCGACAGGCGATCGGCAAGGAAGGACGAGGACAGGGCACCGACAAGAGAACCCGCTGGCATCGACGCCGTAATACCACCTTGGCGAGTACCGCTGGGATTACCGAAGTAGTTCTTGTAAGCTGGGGTACCCAATGCGCCCGACATCGACGAGATATCGAAACCAAAGAGGATACCACCAAGAGCGGCAAAGCCGCAAATGGCGTAGACGTTGTAGATCTGTGGAAACTATAGAGGCACGGTCAGTGGGCGTACTTAGAAGCCATCGGAGCTTGCAAACTTACCTTCATCTTGCCAAGTGGTCGTGACCAGTATGGATTGACAAAGTTATGGGTCAAATTAGAGGAGAGGAGAATCAAGAGGAGACAGGGTGTTGGTTTTATAATTCCAAGAGCACAAACGGGCGCGTGATCCTGATCGAGTGTAGTCTGTGCAGGATGACTAGGTTTTGATATTCACTGTTGCGCTCTCTGCCGCCCGCTGGTAGCCTTAGCGACGACAGGCCGGGTTCTCTGCATGTGAGAGCATTGTGACCCCGCAAACGAACGTTGTTCAGGGCGTGTGCAGATCCTACAGGAAACCGGTAAGATATCCTGGGGTAGTGCTTGGTTGGCCGGCCCCTAGGATGGTGTGCATAACGACGTCCAATAGGAATAGATATCGAGACGGCATTGCTGTCCAGCACACTGGCACCGTGTACTCCGGTCTCATAGGGTTGCACCAGCGAAGCTTCGAAGGAGTGATGGACAGTCATGTTGTGAAACAAAACCCGCTCTGATAGGTGTACCACGCCGCGGGCGCAGAAACAGGGACACGAGCTTCGGTATCGCCAATTTCATTGTCACTTACCATGTTAGGGATTGAAAAAATCCGCAGACCATGAGCTCTGGCATCGAACCACTCCCAGCGCCATGTCTTCGGTTAGGCTATGTCCAAAGGTTCGAAACTATACGCGCCACACGCATTTTTCGTGATTGCCATGGACATCAAATGTAAAGATAGTCCGAAGCACGCATCCTACGCTGGGCTCCAAGTCTGGGCGGAGGCGCGGCATTGCATGATCATTTCATGACCCAAGTGAAAGTGGCATCCTGGAGACGTAATAGCCAGGTTATGGTCGGGTGTCCAAAATATTTGCTGAGCTATCCTTGTGTTGGTTTCCCACAATCTTGACAATAACCGTGACTACAGAACGTGTTTGGTATACTGAAATTCTTCAGATGAGACGGTGTGAGAGGATGGAGGGTCGCGATTGACCTAGGGGGCGGGAGCCGCCAAGTGTGCAGCGGCAGCGCCAACCCGTTGCAACCCCAACCCTCGGCTGGCTTTGTTCCGCACTAGAACAGCCAACAACAGCTAGCACACTGACAAGGGCATGCAGGATGGCTGAGGCGTATTTCGGTAGCGATTATCCACAGGAACAGAGCGCGTCGAGTACTGCTTCCAGCGATACAGCCGACAAGGTCTTCCGCAAACCAGCCATGGATGCAAGTCGCTGACAGGCGTGCGTGGCATCTCGGTTCCATGGGTAGATGGTGGCGACACCAACATCGACTTCAGAGAGCTTGTGTTCCAGGATGCGGGGTTCGGTAAGGATTGGTGGAGGTTTACCTGCATCTCCAGGGTTTCCAAGTGTCTCCGAGATCTAGCGCAGATGATCATGGACGACTTGAACCTGCGAGACCGAGACCGAAAGCGGTGTCTAAAGAGCGGCATTTTCTACACACGGTGATGAGATCCAGCAATCAGAATTTGGTTTCTTTACTTCTCAGCCGTTGCAAGACGTACGACACGCCATCGCTGCACGAGCATGCTTTTTTCGGAAGCAGTTTGCGTCCGTGAGATCTTAGCACCTCTTGTATATGTCCGGGCGTTCTCCCAACGTTACTACTCTTCCTGACATCTGACAGGCTGCCGGTTCGGCCAGATAGAGTCGCGATTTATACTGTTTGGTTCTGAAAAGCTTCTCACTTCTCAGCCCACGCCGCAAGACCCTATAAGGCGAGTAAGAGTCGGGGAGTCACGGAGCCAGAGATGACTAGGCGAATGGTATATACAGGTCGCGGAGTGCAACTGGCGGTCGACGGTTCACTGGTGTCTTAGCTGGGTCGTAGAGGTTTGCTACGAACTGCACAACCTGTGCTACTGTTTAGTACATTGACGCAGTGCGATGATAAGCTCACCTTCACCGGTTATCATAGCGTGGGTTGCGAATGCATTTGCCAGTAGCTGAGAGGTCCGGATATAGGTGAAGAGAGGAGAAGAAGGCAAATTGGACTTCGGTCGTCTGTTCGGGAGACTCGGAAAGTAGATCACAGCAGCGGATAGCACAGCATACGGCCAACGTTCACTGACAGGAAGCATAATTTCACGCTGGAAACCTGAGCGCAGGCTCTTGTTATAATTTGCATATGGGACGGCATGGGCTGGTGATGCGTCACATCCTATGGGATATCTCGCAAAACCTCGCCCGATTCGGCATAGGCATATATCATTCAGCTGTTCTTGGGCTCAACGGGCCTCCAAGCACAGAAAAGTAGGTTGTTTAATTCATCATCCGGCTGATGCGAATCATTCATGTCACAAAGAAGATATGTTGTTCCTGGCGCTGCTCATTGGAAAGATTCCGGATCCGTAGGACATGCGATACAGGCCAAGTCAGGAACATGCACGCTGCGCTGTTGTAGCTGTCTGTTCGTACATCACATGCGAAATCTCCACACGAATCTGGACTGTATGTCTACCCCTTTGGTCAGTTCTCGATATCCTGATAGCATCCTCCAACTTCCGCCTTCTTCGGTTACTTATGCTTCCGCGTCGTCGGTTTTACAAATCCAGAATCTTGCTCCGAATGCATCCCTTAGGTTTGCATATTCGCCTTCTACTGTCTCCACGCTCATCTCTCGAAAAAGCAACTAGACCACCTCTCAGCTGCCAACCTTGAGCTTTTGGTTTCTCATTCGCTGCGCGTTGACTGCAAGCGAACCAGTAGCACCGCACTACCGCCCACCACCTCCCAATCGCAACGCGCATCACAGCATTGCATACTTATAGCTTCATCACAGACCAACATCATCTTGGAACACGATGTCCTCGGGTCGCACCGCACCCAAGTTTCATCGTCATCTTCCCAGTTGGGCCTTGACCACCGGGCTGGTGGAGATGCTGAAGTGATACTCGTGCATCAGACCGCGTGGGCGGACCTGCTGACGCGTGCAGCTGCCCTCGCTATATACACGACAAGATATGATATATATCTCCAAGTACCCATGAGTATGTATTGCGCATCATCTTCACGATAACAGCAATTCCCCTATGAGCATCAGACCGCCCATCCGACGTTGAACCGCCACCTTTCCCATCGTCTTCTTGGGCTTACTGTGGCAAGCCGCGCAAATCTGTCAGCACTTGCATGACGGACCGCAGCTCGTGCTAGGCTCACCAATCGCCACGACATTTTGTATCACTGGTTGTCTACACCGGCACACTGCAGCCACCCTGCGTCCGAAATTCCAGCCTGTTGGTGGTCCGTAGAGGCAAACAACAAATCTGCATCGCGCACTTCTGTATCAGGAAGTAGACGCGGGGTTCTCAGCCGGTATCGTCGTAACCAGGATCTCCGAGTAAGGACTTGCATGGGCGGTGAACAACACCGTACATTGGTCTGCAAAGATTGAAGAAACAGAAGGCAAAAGCTTCGTTGCAGAAGTCCATTTGACATATCATACGAACATAATGATCCATGAGCAACGTATCGTCTAGAACACCACGAGATACTTTTCCCTTGGCATCTTTACGGTCTTCTTCGCCTCCTTTTCCATTGTCAATACCAACACATCAACATACCTTACAAGCCGAATACACTCCTGGTGTAGGAGCCCTAGAGCCACCATGCCGCATCACATCACCAACTGCGTGTTTGCTCGGACAAGTCTGACAACTTGCGACGTCTTTGTCATGGCGTTAGCACACTTGGGTCCTGGAGCGGCGCTGTCACCAGAGGAATTTATAGCGGCTGCAAGTCCATGGTTCCTCGACGCCGAGACAGTTTGGTGGCGCAAGTTTCTGAACGGCACAGGATGAGAATGACATTGTCGCCTTATGATCAGAATACACACTACCAAAGAGCAAGACTGGCAGCAAGACTTCAAAAGAACGGCCATGGGTGGTTGGGACATTCAAAGGAACGATCAGCGACTGATATATGCCACAACGTCTCTTAATATTCGGATTCGATTGGGAACTTTTTCTCTCCAGGGCATGACCAAGTCTAGTAGGGTGCCTTCAATACAGCATGCACATACGTCTTGGTACAATCAGTCGCATTGCTCCTCCAGCTCAACACCTCCTGATCCAGGTCACCTTCGCAGATCGTCCAACCCTCTCTTTGGCCGTCCACAGTCAGCAAGTATCCCTCGTCCAAGGCAATATTTCCCGCTGGCTGCATTGAAGCAAGGAACTGTAGCTCCGATCCACTCGTCACAACGGTACTGTTGAACTGTTTGTACTCGGTGGTGCTAAAGGGTGCTAGGGCGATGGTGGATAGTGTCCCGTCTGCCAGGGTAAAGTTGGGGAGGGAGCCATAACCGGGACCTGTCAGGCGGAGAAGAAGGGCGGGTTGGTGGAACGGGTCCTGGATGGTTGTTAGATAAAAAGATGCTGTGGTTCACGGGTTTGGCATAAGGGCTTACGAATAGTGAAGTGGCGGAGACGGCTTTGAGTTCAGAAGTGTTCGCACTTGCATCTATTTGCGATGTGGTGACGAGCAGGAAGTTGGTGAGATTTGTAGGCAGCGCTGTGCATAGAGATGCGCCTGTGATGGCGAAAGAAACGAGAGATGAGAATCGCATTTTCGACGTTTGGTTGTGAGGTCAGCTGGGCGGATAGATGAATCTTTGGTAAAGCAGAACAAAGAAGGCACCACAATAACAGGCGACAAAGTCAAGGGCGTGAACGATGAGTTTCGAAACAAAATCCAGCAGCGTCCCGCCCAGGCTACTATATACCTGCAACGAAGCCCTGCATACCCACGATGTTGGGACCGGTGCGCACAACGATGATCCAAGTCCCACCAAGAATGCCATCATAATAGGCCATGCGATTAAGCAGCACGCGTGAGAGTAGCCTAACGTGCCTACTACTTCGTTCTAAAACACGTTCAGCCACCCAATTGCGCGCCCGACCCTGCCGATCGCCCATATCACCCCTGCATACAGGCCGATGATCAGTTATCGACCGTCGGACGAACAGGACTAGGATAACGTGAAACCTAGGATACACAGCTCACAACCGTTCTCCATCTGCCTGGTCAGTCAAGTCGTACGAGGGATAGTTATTCGAGCCACGGTGCCCTCCTATATCGCAAGTAAGAGCAAACAATACGGTTTGTCCATGCTGGGACCAGGCACGTTGTCTGGGTTTAGAGTCGGAGGCTGGTGGCTGAAAGTCAATTGTGGGGGTCTCCACTGCGTCATCGCTGGATACCGTACTTAGCCTAGTTTTACCGTGGGCCCACTTCATTGGTGGCGAAGCCTCAAGGCTTAATTATGGTGATCAAGTGCGCTTGTGTTGATGAGTACTATAGACGTAGTCGGTACCATATCTTGGGTTGAATATAGGCTAGGATGGACCAAGAAACAACGCCCCTTACCAGAGGCAGGGCGACGTATGAGTCGAAGGATGAATCAAAGGAGAGCAAGTGAGGGATGTAGCATGCACGTATTGTGTTTAATTTGCTACAACTAATAATTATACAGAGTGCTCGACTGAAAGTTGGGTATGCCGAGCGCCCGCCAACGCCATAGTAAATGCCTGTTTGAACGAATCGTGACTTGTGTCTCCCACTGATGCACACTGTCCTAGCATCCTTATACATGTCTCAACCCCTCCGTCTAAGTAGAAGTTGCGATTGCACCGTCTCCTAGTACCCTCGCGACTAGAATATAGAGCATGACAGCTCCGAGAACGACCCTCCACTTGTTGCGACTCAACCATCCTTGTTGTGCGTCTCGTGCTATCTGCGCCGCATCTTGGACGACGGTCGCGCTTGTTCCGGGGCGTCGTCGCAGTCCGGAGACATCTGGTGAGCAAACGGGCTGCTGTGAGGGGGTAGATGCAGGTCGCGGCAGACCGGTGAGGGGGTCGATACGGTTGTCCTTCATCCACTTGAGGTTCTCCTCGTCGACATCCGGCCATTCATGCCTGAACTTTGCACCGCCATCTCCAGCCCGGATGTTGCCGTTCTGGCGGCCACCAGCGTTATCCGAGCCAGTCGCTTTGCTGCCGCCGCCTGTGCTGTTCCACCATCGGGTGCGCTGGGCGAAGAGTTTCCGCTCTGCCTCTGATGCGCGGACGCTGCCAGTTGTGATCTCGTCGCTCGTCATGAAACTCAGCAGGCCTGTCAGAATCGTGCTGACCTCCCAGGCGGGGTTGAAGCTCTTGGGATGGAAGTCGGATATGCTCAGACACAGTCGGCTGCTGGGCTGGAAGCGGCCAGATGGAGTGTGCATGCGGATGGCGGGCGGGGCAAAGGGGTAGTCGGGGGGAAAGTTGAGCGTGCCCCAATACTGACCGCCATGGTAGGGCGTGTCTGGCGGGCCGGTGATGATGTAGTGCCATTCGAGGATGTTCCTATCCGAAGGGTGGGCAGTAATGTAGGGTGGCGGTGATTTGGAGATGGAAGCGTACTCCCTTGTGAGGCGCTTGGTGGCTGCCGGTGTCGCCATGTTGTGTGGTTGTGTGTGGGTAAGAAGAGGTGATGGTAGGTAGACGTGTTCTCGGGCGGAGACAGTTGACGTCGACTATCGGATGCGCTGTGAGTTGGCGGCCAGGGAAGAGCGCAGGGAGTGTCGAGGGAATGTTTGAATTTACCCCTCAGTCTGTGAAGAACAAAGCGACGACAAAGGCAGGCGCAATAGGTGAATTTGAATTTGGGTGAAAGGGAGTTTGTATCGCACCCAGATCGGAACCACAGTTGGAGAGCAGCGCACGTGCATCCGCCGCCCGCGACGATTCCGAGTTCAAGGTTTCTGAGCCACGCCAAGCATCACGCACGAAGACACCAACAGCCCAATGGCGTCGCCGCATGAAGACGATGTAAGCACTTCTGTTGCGTCCTGGGGGGTGATGCATCGCTAATTGGCCCACAAGGTCTTCGAAAGGCTCAAGAACAAGACGGATCTGAAGGAGCAGAAGCGTCAACAGGATGAGCTCAATGCGCGGCTGTACGCACAGCAGCAGAGGTCGCAGGAGCGCCTCGGAGAGCTGGTATGCATCCTGCGTGTGCAGTTGGGCCTGCTGCTAAGCCCGTGCTAGATTGAAGACAACTCCTCCCTGCCCGTGACCATATCGTCGGTCCGCATCCTCCACGCCAACCGCACACGAAGAAGCTTCCTCGAGCGAGTCGTCAACCCCCTCTTGAGCGCAAACCGGGAAGAGCCATACACGCTCCAAGATGCGATAAAGGAAGTTGGGGAAGCTACCGAAAAGCTCAACCGTTTTGGTACGTTGACACGCGACTGAAGAGGGGCTCGCTCGCATTTGTCTAACACCGACTAGGTATCTTCAAGTCGCCAATATCAGTCTATCTCGACCGCCCGAACCAGGCCATCGCCTCTTCTTCCCCTACCGATGTCGACGTCTACATTTCGGCCGTCGAGCGCGGCAACTACACCATCAAGACTGGAACCGAAGCTGGAGCCTCTGAGGCCGATGCCTACGTCCACGCCGAACTTCGGAATCTGTTTGGTGGAGCAGAGACGCTGAACGCACACGGATCGCTCGGTACGCGAACACGATCAGCCTACTCGCTTGCCTTCGACAGTCCCATCCTCAGCAACCCCAACCTCAAGTTCCAGGTCAACGGCTTCGCGAGTTCAACGCTGAAGAGCTGGGCAAGCCACGAGGAAGTTCTCAAGGGTGGCAACTCCAAGCTGCTATGGAGGATGAAGAATGGCGCCACACACGAGTTCGCTTACTCGGGCATCTGGCGACAGGTTACCAGTCTGGCTGAGAACGCATCGCCCTCTGTCCGCGCAGACGCTGGTGACACTTTCAAGTCCAGCATCTCGCATACCTGGATCAACGACAAGCGCGACTACCCGCTTCTCCCCAACAGCGGCTACTTCTTCAAGACTGTGTCCGAACTCGCAGGTTGGGGCCCATTGAAAGGCGACACAGCATTCTGGAAATCAGAGGCAGAGTCGCAAGTCGCCCTCCCCTTCGGCGACACAGGCATCACGCTTACCGCTGGTCTGCGAGGTGGTCTTCTGTACCCCATGACACTGGCCGGAGGAAGCCAACCCCAGGCTTCGCGCATCAACGACCGCTTCCAGCTCGGTGGTCCCAACAACGTCCGCGGTTTCCGCATCGCTGGCCTCGGCCCTCGTGACGGTGCCGATGCGCTCGGTGGTGACATCTACGCTGCTGGTGGCGCGTCGCTCCTTCTCCCCATCCCACGCGTCGGCAAGGAGACACCTCTCCGTCTCCAAGCCTTCATCAACGGTGGCCGCCTCCTTGCCCTCAAGAACCCCAACTCCAAGAAGGAGGACGCATCTTTCAGCAGCTCAAGCCATGTAACAGGCGCCATCCAAAAGTCCTTCTCTAGCCTCACTTCCGAACTCCCCAGCTGTGCAGCCGGTCTAGGACTCGTCTACGCACACCCCGTTGCGAGGTTCGAAATCAACTTTTCTCTCCCACTAGTCATGAGGGCCAAGGAGGAAGGCAGGAAAGGATTGAGCTTTGGTGTTGGCATCGAGTTCTTGTAAACGCCAGAACCAGGTGTGTAAACGTGTATTTGTAGGCCCTATAGACTTCTTCTCGAGCAAGCAGATCCACTTTGTTTCCATTCATCATCAAACATCTAACAGCTAGCTTCTAACTTCCGACCAATTGCGGTCCCTCAAATACCTTGTTCGGATCATAAGCTCCCTTGATCCCCGTCAGCCTCTCATAATGCTCCCCCCAGTACCGTGAATGCGCCTCGGTGTTTGTGAGATTTGTATCAGCGTAGTTGATGTACATGCCAAACTTCTCCCCTTCACTAGCCTTCTCGATCGCCTCGACCCAGCCATTCAAAAAGTCCATCATCTCCGGCTTGTACGTCGCGCTATCCGGCCAGATGCGGTCGTTGAATTGCATCTTAAACACGGTTTTGCGATGCGAGTACGATGTCGAATCAGCTGGTACCGAGGAGATGGCTGACCCTTCTCCGCCGTGCATGTCGATGAGCAAGTACCAGGTGCGGTTGCGAATATTACGTGCGGTTGTGAAATAGTAGTCTGCTAGCGCCGTCATCGCAGCGGGAGATAGTTCCTCGGGCATGAGTGACTTGGCGTAAAAGTTCTCGTGGTAGTCGTAGATTTCTGGTTGGGGCAATGGGCCGTTGGAGAAGGATGTTAGGGTGTCGATCCATCCTTTTGCTGACACCGTGCCTGCACCACGCCCGGAAAGCGGAATGTTGAGCTTAGTGAGCAGTGGGTTCATGATGGCGTCGAAAGACGTGCGATTTCCGTAGTATACACCCGTCAACTGGTTGGGGAGAAACATGCGCATGTTGAGCTCGGCGGGTTGGCTGTGCATGGTGAAATCCTGGAGGACGGTGAGGATATTGGCTAGTTGGGAGGTGTTACTTGGAGAGAGGCTGTAGGAGAAGATGAGATTGCTCTCTGGGGCGTTGAAGGTCTTGAATTTGAAATCGGTGACGATGCCGAAGGCGGCGCCGGCACCTCGTAGGGCCCAGAAGAGGTCGGGGTTAGATGATGGAGAGGCAGTTACTACACTGCTGTTGGAGAGGACCACAGTTGCTGAGACGAGCTGGTCGAGGGTCAAGCCGTGCAGGCGCGATGACAGACCATAGCCACCGTGAAGTGTTAGGCCTCCTACGCCGACGCTGAAAGTTGTCAGTCTACCACACTATCGTCATAAAGGATATGAGGGCCTACCCAGGACATGTACCATGACTGATAGCTTGCTTGCCTTGGGCGTACAGTGCTAGAGCAATGTTTCCCAGTCTACCACCAGCTCCTACAACAGCTGTGTGTGCCTCTTGATCAACCGTTACGCTGTTGAAGCGTCGCATATCGACTATCAGATGACCATTTTCTCCTCCAAGACCATGTGCTCCGTAGCTGTGGCCTCCACATTTTGCAGTGACTTTGACGCTGCTGGCGACACCGCAAGACACAGCGTCCTGGACTTGCTTGACGGTTTGCGGTACAGCATAGGAGGCGGGTACGAAGGGTAAACGAAGGTTGAAAGGCTTCACGGCTTGAGTATAATTCTTGGTACCTGCGGCATATACAGGAACCTGACGAGACTCAAGACATTCGCTCAATGTCGCATTTGCGGCAGTAGTACAGGAAAAGAGAGTAGCAGCGGCAAAGAGCCATGTGTAGTAGTGCGTCATCATCTTGGAGATAAAAAGATGGCTTGGCTGCCTAGGACAAATTCATCCACCAACATACTCGCGCTACTTAAGCATTGCTTGAATCCTAGAGGTGGATTGTGGTGATGATGAGAGAACATATTGGCCCAATACACTACGGCTGAAGAGAAAGAAGAACATGAGACCAGGAGTTATCACTGCGATGAAAGGACTGGACCTGCCCAGCGAAAACCTTGTACTTCTGTTGAATCCTTCATTGGCATCGTGGAGATGCCGTGCTCCTGTCGATGCTTGTAATAACAGATCTTGCCTGTATCCCAAAAAGGACTATGAGCTACGGCAAATGTAAGGAACCGTGGCTTCAGTTTTATTTCGCTCTTGGCAAACATTGGTCGCAGAAAGATTAAGACATGCCTCCTCGTCTATATCCAGGCACGTGTGCTGCTGCGACGTAGCCGCGTTCATGTACCGGCGCATGTCAGCGGCGTGGCAGTTACGTTCCCGGTAGACGGCAGGCCAAGAGATCTTAACATGTGTGTGTGCGAGATGAAAGACCGAAATGCAAGGCCTCTGTAATTTCTCCATGTTGATCAAGCTGGGGTCGGCAACCGGGTGAAACGTCATACCCCTGCTCGAAACATGGCTCCATATTGCGATATATTGTCCGACGTGTACCCTTTAACCGGCTTGGAAAAACATACACACCGAGGCTGAAAAGCCAGCCTGCACTTTCAGCGAAACGCATAATGAGGGCGGTTGTTTAGTCCAAGAGGGTGTAGTCAGGTGTTTCATCGTGGTAGCCTCCGAAATGTAGATCGCGTGCGCGTGACACTAAGGCAAAATAGTGGAAATGTCCATGAGCACGAGATGAACGTACAAAACGATGCCACGTCCTTGTATTTGAGGTGTACCAACAGAACAATCCTGACTCGTCACCCAGACCCGCCATGCTCACTTCACATTCTCTCCTTCTACCGCTTTTCGGTAGTGCCGCGAGTGCGGCGAACCTGTGGGCAACTCACTACTCGGGCACGATCAACTACCTGTCGTTCGAAAATAATGCCCTGACCCTAAGCAAATCGAGCCCCACAGGCAACAATTTGCCTAGTTGGATTACGTACGACAATGCTGGGAAAGCGCTGTACATTCCGGACGAGGTCTTCTACGGGGCGAGTGGAGGAAACTTGGTCTCTTTCGCTGTTGGTAACAACGGCACCGTGACTGCAGGAGGGAAGGGTTCTACACCTCTGGGTGTTGTTGCGACAGCACTATATGGCGGTGCAGATGGAAAGAGCTTCATCGCAAACGCTCATTAGTAAGTCAGCATCTTCCGGTAGACACCATTGGTGCTAACTGATCGACAGCCAATCTTCGCAATTGACAACCTTCAAATTGCCGTTGACCGGAGGACAGCCACTCCAAACAATCAAGTATACCGGAAAAGGCGTGAACCCTTCTCGACAAGAAGCTCCCCACCCGCATCATGCCTTTGTAGACCCATCTGGCGACTTCTTGGTAGTCCCTGACCTTGGAACTGATCAGATCCGAATCCACAAGATCGACCAGACCTCCGGAAAGCTTACAGAGTGCGCTTCTGCGAAGCCGCCTCCTGGCACAGGACCACGACATGGTGCCTTCTGGACACCATCTGGAGCTAACTCGCGCGTTCGTCGAGCAGCCGAAGGCACCACTCTCTTCATCGCCAATGAGCTTTCCAACAGCGTGTCATCGTGGGCGGTATCATACCCCTCATCAGGAGACTGCATGTCTCTGACTCTGAAGCAAACCCTGACGCCATACCAAGGCAACGCCACCGCCGTTCGTGGTACCAAGGTTGGTGAGGTCAAGGTCAAGGGTAACTTCGTCTACATCACAAACCGAAACGACAAGAAGTTCAACGGTAACGACTCGCTTACCCAATACACCATCTCCCCCAACGGATCCCTCACATGGACAGCCAACACGTCTTCTTATGGCACGTACCCGCGTACTTTTGACATCAACAAGGCTGGTGATTTCGTGGCCATTGGCGATCAGACCACTTCGAACGTAGCTATCGTACCAAGAGACCCAAAGACTGGTAAATTGGGAGAGCGCGTTGCGGATCTTCGAATTGGCACTGTAGGAGTTCCGGAGAACGAGGACGGTCTCAGCGCGGTTGTCTGGGCCGAATAAGCGCCCGCCTGCTGTTTATTAGAATTCGCTGTAGATAAAATTGATTAGGGTTTCTGAGGTTGCGCATACGCACGAACCACTGATGTCGCTATTTGAGAGTGTTGAACACCTTTGATGCCGAGTTTGAAGAGCACGTCAGGTGCGTGCCGCGCCAAGACACTAAATTCGCGCTCCTCGTCCTACGCGTCAAGACTCACATGACGACTCTTCGTGCATGATACAGACATCTAATGCGAAAGTTGTGGTTATCCGCGAGCTGGGGCAGAAGGAAGCGGCAGAGTGAACATATTTCCTCTCATCAAGACAATTAACAACTAGTTTGCAATATACTAAAAGATTTCTGTTATACTGCATCGCGATCAGCTGCTGGCGCCATTTCTCCAGCCAAATCTGCATCCTGCTTCTGGTACTTCTGTGGCAGCGGCCTTGACGAGATCAATGCACCAACACCGCCCTCTCTCGCCCGTCTAACCATCGAGAAGCAACTCGGCAGGCTTATACAAATCGACGCAACGCTCATCTCAACATGAAGCCAGATGAGGACATCAACAAAGTACCCTATCGCATTCATTAGTCTTTCTCTCTTCTTTTCAAGCCAAGAACAGTACTTACACGTCAAATCATTCTCCAACCCCCGCTCAATCCTCGCAATGGTAATCAGCCTCCCCACGCTCAGAAAAATGACACTATACCCTAGCACAAAAGTGCCTAGCAGCATTACTTTTCTCTGCATGCTCAAATGTAGTTTCCAGATTATCGGCAGCGGCATAATTAATGCAATTAAATCCAGCACTACACTGGGCACCACAGATCCAAGTTGAATGTTGAGTGTTGGCATGCACTTCGCTCCCTCTATTCCCTTATCCCAAAAAGCAGAGACGGGTGTACATTCGAATGCGGCCGCTAGATTGAGACCCACAAGCCAGATGATATTAAGTAACGTGTTGGCATGAACTTGGTACCTGAAATTCGGGCATGCGATGCTAAAGAGGCGGTGGTAGAAGAGTCCGACGCTGATACGGATCAATGCCATGGCGGCGGTGTAGGTTAAGTATCCGGCATATAGGACTTGCAAGCTGAAGGTCATATTGGCGGGAGGCACGGAGGTTATGTGAAAGCCGAAACCGTGGTGGAGGAGGAGGCCTGTTTGGACGGAGATTGCTAGGACGAATGGCTGGGTGACTTAGCGCGCAAGGAAGAAGTGAAGGAGAGGTTGGAGGAATACCCATGCTGCTGCTGCCGTCCAGTCGTCGCTCCGGAATCCGCTGGCGTGGAGGGAGCGCGACCAGAAGCGTAGGAGGAGGACTAGAAACGTGGTGCAGGCTGAGACTACTGAGAGGATGTATACTGCTTGTCCTTTGTGCTCAGGATACATCACGATTACGCCAGATTGGCTGGCGTTATGATGCGTTATCAGAACCATGCTGATATATCTAGCTGCAATGGGAGTCGCGAAGTGTGATGCGAAGGTCTTCGGGCGCCGGAGGCCTGTGTGAACGATGGCGCTATCATGTTGGGGTGTTTGCACCTAGATGTATATACATGCGGTTGGAGGCCGTACGTTACACGTCTACCCTATGCGGCTGGAGTTTGGCTTTTGGGGGCTACTTACACGCACGGTCATTGGTGCACTGCTATCACGATACAGTCAGCCTTGCATAGAGTAGGCGCTGTCGCCCTACCACTCGGCTATATCATTGGCTACTCACGAGCCTGGAAATCGTAGATCTATCGCCATTTCAACTAATGAGAGTTGGCCCAGGATTAGCCCATACCTGCTACAACCACAGGCGAGAGAAAGCTACACAACACAACAGCCTGCGAAGCCCTTTTGATAACGCGGGGCGACTGCTGCTAATGGTGTATAAATACAGTCTTCGAACGGATGCAGATAACGTTGAACAAGTCTCCATCGCCGATACGTTCTCATCGTCCTGACTAGTAACCTTCAAGCTCACAGTGGCTTTCAAAGTTCTTTGGAACATCTGACCTCACAGTCAACAGCCATCTTGACAGTCCTCTGTTTCCCAATCTTCGCGTACGCCAATGCATTCGGTATAGCATCCTCCCACTCAAATGAAAGATGAGAAGCGAACGACCGTTATAGTGTCATGGCCCTGTTATTGATGCGTAGTCTATATGGCATCTGTTGATATCAAGCATGTTTTCGGACTGATTATAAGAGTGAATGGGATTGTGCCAAGGTTTGTCATCTAGTCGCAAAGGTTCTGATGCTGCGCAAGATGATGAGCGACAGCTGATTTGAGGTGCCGCCTGTACGATGATGGTAAGTCATCCCTAGAAACTCTGTGAACTCTCACGTGCTGTAGCAAGCACAGTGTCGATATCATTCGACTGACAGCAAGCAAATGAAGTGTCTCATGCATATAGGTACGTCCAGTTCTTGAACAGACTTCCAACCATTAATCCAAGTACGATGGACAAGACTTACCCAATCCAATTTACTGACAGTGTCGCTGCGCTCCCTCCGACTGCCCCACGCAATCATGCTCATATGATCAACTTGGCTATCAAGAAAATTCCCAAGAATATTATGCTACAAGACGCTGTCGTCACATTACTCCATCAAACGTCGTCCATGGCCCTCGATATGTTCCTCGCTAATACAAAAGCATTTCATGTGGGATACATACCCAAGAGCAATAATAGTGATGACTGTCTCGTCATCATGAGAAGAGGTGACAAGGTACTAGTAAGTCACGTCCAATCAAGAGGCGTATAAACATATGTCATTGACATAACGCGTTCAGGTTGGCCAGTATTCCAAGCACAAGACCTCACCCTCACCAGCACTTGGGTTCCAAAATCTTATACGCTACTCCATCGCCTCAGATGGCGCCTGGACAATCACAGACGCTACGTACAACGATTACTTTCGTCCAAGCTGGGAAGACGTTTGGGCGGGAAGAACAGTTGACATTGGCCCTAGAGATATCAACGGCAAGACTACAGATGAGGATCTGTTTATGAGGGATCTTTTGGCTTTGCAGGCTGCGCACCACATCTTGTCGCGCAAGTTCTGGGACGATAAGACATTCATCTACTCGGCCGTGTTTTAGGTGATCTTTGAACTTGGCCATCTTGCTGTAGCTATCGGATGTTTTGCCACATCTCGCCTTCGGAGTTGGAACGGTACTGTATAATACAAGGTTCTCAAGGATAAAGGTCGGTCTGATGCTGTGCTAAAAGCTCTTACTTCGCAATTGTGCTATGCAGCATTGGGTCTTGCATATCTAGAAGTGCATTTAGCGTTTTATTCTCTGCTAGCCTATAAGTATAGGAAAATATTGACTTCCCATTTCTTCGTCTGATTCCGAATCCAAAATCAGTCCCTCTGATAGATCATTCATCACTCCTGGCTCATCGCCGTCCAAATTTCCATAGGCAATGACCTCCCCCCTGACATATTTTTCTTCCATCTCAGCAAGGCCCCAGCTTCTTTCCCAAGGACGCTTCTCGAGCAGAGCTATCGTCAAGTCTTGAAGGAATCTTGTAGGATATTCAATGCTCTCCCCATCCTTGAACCAGTGACTTTATGCTGCTTGAGCGTACATTCGTACCAACACGAGTCTTAGGACTGACCATCTAGTCGTGTTATTGTAGGCAAGACTGATGTCGCATTGGTGGGGGTAGATACGAGTTTCCTCTGTAAGCTCTAGCAATCCCTCTAGGACATCTCGACAAAACGTTCTGCTTTTGAGCTTGAGACCTATTACATATGCTTCGATCAACTCGTGTAAGTCGGGTTCGGGTGTCTCAGCTATCTCTTCATCATCAGAGTCGTCGGAGAGGTCTTCGACAGCAATATGGCCATGATACAACCATTCGATAAACATCGAGAATGGTCCAGGGCTGATATCATGATATTGATGTACTGTGATTTCTTTGCTATCGCCGGGCCAGCTTTGACGACAGCAGGGGCAGTTGACTGGTTGATTGTTTTCACGCTTCTCCGTATTCCACTGTTCCATACACTTGTAGTGGAAATTATGACCGCAACCATTAGTGCAAAAGGTAAGCTCGTTGACACCGGGTTCAAGCGTTGCCTTGCAGATAGGACATTCTGTGTCCCCACTGAAAGGTTTGCGCTTCGGCTGAAGGTTCTTTTGGAAGAATTTAGATCTTTTGCAAAGGAGGTCTTTGGGAATGTTGAACTCTTCGTGATCTGCAACCTCGATGCGCACAATTTTGCGACCATATCTGAGAAGCGTTTAGCCATTGGTATGCTGTTAATTCCAGAGGACCTACTTGATAACAATCTTCTTTCGAACACTGACACGCTTCTCGGCATAGGCCATCTTCTCCAAGTGTCCTTTTTTCGTTGCTGGGATTGCTTGGATTAGGTCTTTAGTGAATGTAAACTCAACGGTTGAGTGGGCAATATGAAGTGAAGAGTCAAGTAGCTAGAAGATGGGTAGTCATCTACCCTTCAGTGGCGCCGCAGTTCTTCGACGCACAAAGGTTCATGAATAAGGACCACGGCAAGCATAAGAATGTTCTTTTTGCAGGCAAAGATATCGTTGTTGGAGTACAGAAGTGATCGATTGATGCTACGAAGGATTCTGACCATATAGCCAGTACGCTAGTGGGTATGAAAGGTACTAATAACAACATGAGATAGCTCCTCCTTCTTCAACCGTCAGCGGTTAGCCAGGGAATATAACTCGTACACACACATGTTCGTTCAGGCGAGGGGGGGAAGGCGTGACAAGTGAATTTCATTGCTTGACAGTTGAGTTGACTAGATACTGGTAGAGATATTTGAATATGGTAGAACAGGTAGAGACTGTTGACAAAGAGCATCCTATAGAGAAAGGAAGTAACATACTAGTTCCTGCAATAACCAGTTCCTGCGCTATTTTTGAGGGATTCGACGCTCAGCCTGCAGAACGAGTGACAGTCGATCCATCGTCATCAGATAGGAGCATGATGTGAGTGTTGTGCTTTGGCTCGCGCTCCATTCCATCTATACGCTTCTTGACTTCAGCCTTCTGATCTTAATGCTTTCGACTTGATGGACGGCTCGTCCTTCCAGAGATAGTACGGTCTGAATCAGCCGCTCGATGGCTGTCGTGCGGAACTTTAGGGACTGCGGACTTCGTATTGCTTTTGCCACTCGATAGTGCTGTGACTTTGTCGTCGCTCACGGGGTCCATCTCTATGTTCAGCTTTTTCATCCACATCTTCTTCAATGTTTTGAGGCCCCCCCCTATCTCTCCATCGGACCATCGCTGCATCTGCCAGCTCGCCGATGAAAGCCCCGGGCCAGATCTTGCTGGCTTTCTTGAAGACACCGGGCTTGATGAACTCAAGACCTAAGTCAATGATGAATTCTCGGATTTCGTCGTCACGCTTTCGCTCTACGAAAGCCCACTTGAGACTACAAGCCGGAAAGGGAATAGGATCTTTTGTAAAATAAGTAATGATGACTTTGGCTTTGAAAGAAGGGTCTTCAATGGCATTGGCCACAGTCCAGAGTTTGAGCATCACCAGACTGGAAGCATTTTTGCTAGAAGAAATCTGGGAAGGTATGTGCGGAGCGGAGGTGTAAAGCCAGTCTAGATAAGTCTGAACCGCCTCGGGATCCAGGCCAGGCTTCAGGTCTAGATGATCGAGCGGCGGATCGTTCTTCCAGCTAGCCCGACACATCGGGCATGTCGGTAAAGAATCTTCATCAACACTGGCGGTGAATGAGCGTTTCCAAGCTTGGATGCAGACCTCGTGGATGTTTTGTCCGCACTTGGCGCAGAAAGAGATGTCTTTTAACGTAGCGTCCAGATTTTCAGCGCAGACACAACACTCATCGCTGTTGGAGATGGGCTTCCGATGTTTCTGGAGGCGGTCTTCGAAGAATCGAGAGGTTCTGCATATGAGATCTGGAAAGTACACATAATGTCAGTATGGACGTCTGCCAAAACAGATGTGGGTAGTTGATACCTTCATGCACGGTGAAACGACGGTCCAGTTTTGGTATCTTGAAGCGGATGATCTTGTTGCCTATGCTGCACTACGTCAGCATCTTACGCTTGCCTGCGTGAAGGATTGAGTGGCATACCTCACTGGTCCCAGCTTCTAAGTCGCTCCTCGAGATTTAGTGATCGCCATGCTGACAGATGATGATCTTGGTTATTGAGAGTGCTGTGAACTGAAGAGAGTAAAATATATAGTCCCAGGAGAAGTAGATAAGACACTGCGAAGTGAGAGTCAGGCTTGGTGCATGTGATCTGGGGCGGTGGAGAGTGCGACAAGGAGAGAGAGCAGTTGACGATGACATCGTGGTCCGTCTCTATATTACCAACTCGCTCCTGAAGACTGCATCTAGGAGCACGTATACTGGTATTTATAGTTCGTGATTCAAATTGTTGTCGTCCGTGTTGCGAATTGTAGTATGACTTCCTGTACGTTCCACTCCCGGGCTCCCAAGGCTCATCTTCGCCCCCAGACTATCCAATCCGTCATTCAGTGAGTCGTCAAGAAGACAGTCTCTCCCAATATCATCTCCGAGGAGGTCGTTTCTCTTGATGCATTTCGACTCCGAAGCTTTTACACGAGCTGCTGAAACTTCCGAGAATCAAAGAATGACAGATGAGATAGACAGCAACCTAGAAAGGCGTTTCCAAACAACGAAAACGCTTGAAGCCTGGAGAATTGTACCTTAATCGTACCAAGAACAAGGCCGCATGTTGTCGAATGTCAGCAGTTAAGACAATCGTGAAAGCCTTGCTGACAAGGCAGTGATGTGCTATGAAAGACCTGATCCTCGGAAGCGACACATAAGGGATAAGAGCGTGTACGAAACAACCAAATGGGTATACTTTGCTCTCTACCTCAGCCAGTTTCGACTTCAGGTATGGTATCTGTTCTAAGTTACGTAGCCTAACACTTTACCTTTAGGCAACATGACTGCGTGGCCAGTGCACAACACAACGGACCCCGCGCTCGCAGAGGGTGTTACCGGGAAATATTTCTTATACGCCGATATACCACAACTCAACACCCATGACCTCGAATTTCTTGCCATCATCGCTCAATGGCTCGTTGCCAAACGTAGGGCAGGTGTCCGAGACGCCATTCTCGAGGTTGTCGTCTAGCCATAGACCGTAATGACCATCCCTGTGATGCTGTTAGTCGTGTGAATCCTGGAGTTTTGGTTACGTCTACTTACCCGCCACCAACACTCAGATAGCTGTGCTCGCAGAAGATCATGTAGTCATTCACCCCACTGTATGGGAATGCTTTGAATCTTATCCTTTCTGGCGTGCTCGCACCGCTCTTAGTGGCCCGACCATTCTGTGGCGGCGCTAACGAATCGCCCTTTCTCTTGGGTGAGGATATGGTCGTCATTCGCACAGCGTCTGTTGTGTCTTCTGACGGTGGGGGCGGAAGGTTCATCTGCAGGTCAGAGAAACCATGGAGTATGTGCGCGCGCCACAGGAAGCATTCACCGTTGCCGTAGAATGACGTAGAGGGGCGTGGGGCGTCTGAGAGGTATGCGCCGAAGATCTGTCGCCAGATGTGAGTACGCGTTCTGTGTTTGTGATGACATTTGGGAACTTACACCTCCACTGCCGTCCTTGACCACAAGCACGAAGCCGCCTCTCTTTCCCCAATAATCCTCAGACTGCTTGTATAGCGTCCCTAAGCTGACGCCATTCTGTTCCAGACTGTATGCCAACTTCCACTCGTCTACCAGCTGTAGCCTTGGAGGTAGCAGGAGCCTGATCTCTTCTGCCAGCGCCGTGCTCAGGAGCTTGCCCTTTTCTCGCATGCCACCTCCCCATCCTTTCAGGCTCAGCGGTGTCAACGGCGGTGGTTGGAAAGGACTGGCTATCCGATGTGGTGGTTGGAAGACGGCGTTCATATCTGAGGTGGTGGAGGAGACGAGACTCGCAAACGTGTTGGAGAGAGACGATGCGGTGGACTGCAACTGCGATTGCACGTTGCCTATACTGTTGCGGTTACTGTTGGACCCCGATCTCGATTGCGCGTCTGATTTGGGACTGGTTTCCGTGTTCAGTCGCCGCAGGATGCCCGAGACTGCATAGGATACTGGATATGTGAAGTAGGAAGACGAGCGATTGGGGGTAGAGCGCTGGGGCGGCGGTGAGGTTTGTGACGATGGAGAGCGGACTGGTGGAGAAGACGGGGTATCTGATGGGTACGACATGAGCGGCAACTAATTACAATCGTAGCGATGTTCCTGAATTAATGTGGGTCGCGTGTTGGAGGTGGTGTGCTGGGGCTGTCGCAAGTCAGAGTAGCTGTGACGTTGCGCAAAATTAGTGGGCTGACAGCTGCTTGGAGCCTCACAGCGCCAGCAGCAGGAGACATGGCTGTTACATAAGCAAGCTTGTGAATGCGACGGATACATTTTCAGTCGCTATAATGAATAGCCGCCAATACAAGGCAGGACGACGATGTATGCTTAGTGATTGCTTCACCCCTCTGGCTCCTCGACGTGTAGCTCCGCAGCCCTGACCGCTAGCTTGCTAGCGCCTCCCTAGAAAGCTTGATCTCCGCTACCCGATAGGGCTGACCTCGCGTATTCATTGTGCATTGATGTAAGAAGCTATGCATCTCTAGTTGTTCGCTACTGGTCTTTACACTCTGCCATTCTCTATTATGAGTACAACTTGTGAATTGTCTATGCACTCTGTACGCTCTCTGTGGTCGGTTCGGGAGTCGCAGCATCGGCTTCTTCTGTTGCTGCCGCAAGGTCCCTATCCAAATTCTTTTCGTCTTCTGCAGCAGCCGCCGCCTCATCATTTCCGTCTTCTGCATCGCCCTTAAGCTTAGCTCCCTTTCTTTCTGGCATGACGGCCATGAAAGCCTTGCCCCAGTCTCCAAATTCCATCCACTTGAGCATAATCTCCAGCACATGGTTCGTAACCAGGACTTGCCGACTCTTCATCTCAAGATATTCGCCAATGGGTAACTTGGCTGTCTTGATCCCACGCTCCACAGCGCGCTTGTGACAGATACCCTTGTGTCGATTTTTGTCTACTAAACCACCAATGATGTAGGTGCTGTTGGGCTTCAGGTGCGTAAGAACATTGTCAGACTCGGATGAAAGATAGACAACTTCGCCTTCCTCTTCTGCGGCCTTCGCTTGTTCCTGCTCGCTCGAACCGTTGGATTCCGCTGACGTCTTCAACGCACCAAGAACTTTTCCACCCTCTGGTCCTGACATCCACTCCTTGGCCTTCTCAGAAACTTCCACAAAATCTTCCTCGAAGAACTGGAAGCCTTTCCAACTTGTGTACTGTTTCGCTAAGATTCCATCAAACCGCTCCTTCATTTTGCCGCCAAAGCTGCTCAGTGCGAGGTGAGCTCTGAAGTTTGCCTTTCGGTTATCGCTGTAACACCTCGTGATTTGAAGTCCTAAGCTCTTGAGCTCGTTGTCGAACATCAGCTCCTCGAAATCGCAGTCGAAGATTACTGTGATGGGTACTTGTCTTCCAGTTGCTTGTCTGGGAGGACGTGAAGGTGGTGGTCTCGGTCTCTTGCCATTCTCATCTGTAAGCATCTTCGCCCACTCTTCTCGCCGTCGCTCCTTCTTCTCTTTGACTTTTTCTTTTCGCTTCAATTTGCGATCTTCGCGTCCAGATTCCCAACGCTCGAGCCGTCTTTGCTTTTTGAGCTGGTTCTTTGACAACTTTGGCTCTGCGCCTTCACCTTCAGCTGGTGTCCCGGTAGTCTCAGTAGAACCAGCTTGATTGCTATCCTCTGCAGCCACGGGTAGTTGCTCGTTTGGTGTTGGTATGGCAGCTGCGTCCGCCACGTCCACATCACCATCCGCATGTTCCAGCTTGCGCATCTTCGCAGGACGCTCTTCAGAATCCATTATTTCGTGGTCGTCCATCGATTAGAGAAATTAGGTCGTGATGCCTTTTGTCCACTCAGCATCGACAAAATTATGCTCACTCACTCCTTAGCGTGCCAAGCCAGATCCCTGTCATCGCGGCTTCCCGAGCTCGAACCTCACTTCACGTCTCCGCATTGACGACACCTTGGAACCCCAATTGAGCCACGAACAACTCGCCCAACATGCCGCAGGATATGCCGCCAACGGGCGGCTACAGCCCCGTACAATACAAGCGCAACTTGCCCGTACGAGGCTTCCGCCCCGCCGCATACCTTTTCGGAACCGCGGCGCTCATGACATACGGATTCTGGAGGGTTGGACAGGGAATCAGGGAGCACAAGTACGCGCATGCTCGAAATCGGACACTGCCATGTCCTGTAATGTGAGCGGGAGTGCTGACAGATGACAGTGAACTCGCGCGCGAGAAGATGTGGGCGCGGATACACCTCATCCCAGCACTGCAGGCCGAAGAAGACCGGGACCAAGTACGAAGGCATTTGGCGGACAAGGCGAGGGAGAAGGAGCTACTTGGCACAGAGACCAAGGTCTACAACAGCGACAGGTACGTGCTTGAAGACATGGCTTCTCACGGTACATTGGCTAATCATCTGATGACAGATTCGTTCGACCTACATTCGCAATCACCCCCGAGCACGAGACGAAATAGAGTGGCATACCACTTTGTACGTGTATATACAAATTCAGACGTCGTTGGCAAGACTAGGCTCATAGTGCCGAGGCCTAAAGAACTGCTGTCTCCAAATGGAATCCTTCTTTGTGTTTGAAACTATGACGCAGACCACGCTCTCTAGACTCCAGAACAACGGAACTCTGGTTCTGAGAGTGCCACTGCTTGCACATCCACCTAGTCACAATGTTTTCGACCCTGCTGACTATGTCACACACTGTAATAGGGTCTAGTTTAAAGTACGGCTCGTAGACGTTGCAATTCTTAGTTTCACGACAACTCACAGTGACACCTTAGCGCGCTCCATCGCGCAGTACCTTACGGCGTGTGACGCGCTACCTCCACATTCCTCTTCTATACGTCAGCTTCACTGACCCTCCTCATTTACAACTTCAACCGCAACCCGAATACCAGCCCTCGACCAAGTTTTGAAGACGCCACAGCTCAACTATGTCTTTCTTTACTAACATGCTCCAAGGTTTCGCGAGCACAGCACCTATCCGCACAAACTCTTCACCACATACAAGCGGCAATGTCATCCCCAGCCAAATTGACGACGAAGACTGGGAGATTGTCAACCCACACGAAGCTGGTGTGTCCTACTACGACCGCGTCACACTTCTCCTCGGTCCTCGTCAAGAGACGTGCCATCAGATTCTCCTTGTCGACATACCCAAGTTTTCTAAACTTTTGAATAAACTCAAAATGCTCGCGCCACCACGCCGCACCATACATCTCTCTTTCATCGACCTATCGATGATAAAATCGTACCTCAGTTCCCAGTCTATATCCGCTGATGCAATGGCGATTGAATTTTCCTGGATGAACATCATCAAACTAGCTGCCACCGCCGATATGTTCCAGGATACCGTCATCGAAGATAGGGCACTCGCAGCGCTCACGCAAAAGGCTATCATAGCAGTTTCGCCTAGTAATGCAGTATCACTCTTCAAAGAGGAAGACTTTGCATTCGCCTCCACATACCACATCGAGACGGGCGAAGGGGACAAGCTTATCAAGACGCTGCGTGATATTCAACAAACGGACGAGCGTGAATCTGATATACCTGTGATGAAGCTGCCAAGGGCTGGAGATGTGAGGCCGAAGTCGAAGCCGGAGGAGGTCAAGCAGAAGGTTTCGGATACCAAGTACAGTAAAAGCGTCTTGAAGGATAAAGAATTTAGCGCTGCAAAGAAGGAGGAAGATGACAGGGTGCACCCGATAAGGCAACCAACCGTGCCACCTAGCATCGAAGCCTTGAAGCGCGGGGATGCGAAGAATTTCGTTTGGCGCTGACAGAAGGGACACAAGCACCAAGGAGTGGCAGATGTCATGCTGTGTTGACACCTGAGAAGAAGCATATCTCCCAACAGAAGATATACTGAGGCTTATAGTACAGATTATCTTCCCCTTTGGAACTTAATTTGCCTACGACGTTATGAATGCCTCCAGAGAAGTTAATGATACTACGAACTAGATGCGTAAAGTATTTCCCTCCTTTTCACATCTCGAGCATAAACACGAGCCCTCAAACCACGGCCACAACATCTCCTGCCTTTGCTCCACCGGAATGCATTGAACATTTAGGTAGCTACAGAACAGCTCCTCATTCTTTGCAATAGGCTTGATGGCAAAGAAGCTCACAGTTGTACTTCCATTCTCCCTTCTCCACTCTACATTCGGTTCGCAACTGTGGTTGAAAAGCGGTAGGTGCGGCGTGATTTCGTCGACGAAGCCAAGTCGCGGGTCGAGAGATCCAGCTTTGTTGTTCGCTAGACGAGTCCAGATCGAGTGTAAGATGTCCGTATCGAAGTTACGTTTTATGAAGACGTCCACACCAAGCTGTTCTAGGATCCTGATGGGTATAATGATTGATTCATTGAGAGTGAACACATCAAGATGTCCTTTGTTGGCAAGAGGCTTCAAACGCGCAATCAGCGGGTGATCTAGCGGTGAATTGTCAATACCAGATTGGACGCATGTCGCCAGTAGTCGCAACATGAGAAGGGACCGCAGAGGCGAAGCGTTGTGCGTCAAGCCTTTGGCAGGTTGCTGGAGCCACGTAAAGTCTTTACCACAGATCGCTTTGTGATAGGTGTTCATTGCGAGATTGAGGCATGCTGCTGAGCAGTAGCTTTCAGCGCAACATTCCCCCTGTGTTGGATCTTCCGGTAAGCGCGCGTAGCAATTACAGCACGAGTCCGAGGATGGTGTACTACATATACCGGTAGCGGTTCGATCCGTAAGCATACGTTCGCCAGCTTGTACCTCGCGAGCTGCGAACATGCCTAACATGTCTTCATTTGAGTCCTTGGCCAGGCTACTTTGGCCCAGGTAGCACGTTGCCTCTATTTCTCCCCCTCGAAGCTCCTGATTGATGAGCTTCACAAGTTCTGGAGCCCTTCTGAGATGATATCCCATGGTCCATGGATATTCTACAGTGAGTACTGCACCATCTCTTATCCTATCTCTGAGTTCGAAAGATGTACCTCCCAATTCTATAGCAGCCTCTTCTTTCCGCTTCAGAAGCTCGCGTAGTTTGACAAGTCTGTTTCGGGTTTCTTCCTGCCGCCGCGGATCTGTCTCGATTGCTGATTTGTCTAGGATCTCTGCTGCATCCCATTGGCAATGGCAAGCTTGCAAAGCAGCTTCAAGCAAATTGTAAATTTGCGCTCCTTCTTGATCGTTTCCGGGATTTCTTTCCTCAAGAACCTTGGCTTTGTAAGCGTCAGCGACAGCAAGTTCGGGAAACCCAAGGATCATCATGCAGTTTCCTCGGCGTAACCAGGCATTGAAATCGTAGGGTTGGCGTACAATGCGCTCATTGTAACTGTCGAGCGACTTCAGGGTTTCTCTCACAGCACTGAGGTGTGATCGACCAGAGGCCAAAAGATCGATGGGCGGACCTGCTCCTGGGCGATAGATGGACGGCACCCAGCGCTGTGACAGTCCTTCATCTGTCAAGTCTGCGCATACGTTTGCGCTCGCTGGCGAAGCGAGGCCTGTACTCTCCATTTCTGGCTGCATTCAGAGCCAAAGGCTTTGGACGTCCCATGCCCATACTTCCTGTCAGTCCCGTGGAAGGGACGTGCACAGATGTTGACGATGTTTGACGTCATCGCGGAGAGGATGCGGTTCACCTCGGCGCACAACCATCCCTCCACCACCAACACTATGGACTAAACATCCACAATACCCTAAAACGGAGAGTAAGAGCCCTTCTTTATGGACAGCGAACAGAGTAGGCACCTATTGCGACGCAGATTGTGCTGGCTGAGTAGCGCGTCAGCTTCGGAGTAATACTCTCCGACTGGACGCTGGGCGAGGCTGAACATAAAACGCTCTACAGTTCTCGATCAAACAGCAGGCCACTCGAAGAAGGGCGCATTGTGGTATGTTCAGGAGAGTAGGGTCAGCCTGGCATCCTCTGTGGGCTAATGCTTAGAACATCGAGTCCGCGTACCCTACTATGGACAAGCTACATCAAACCTAGCAAGGCGAGACAAGTGGAGGCCAGTAGCTACACGTCGAAATGCCTCGGTAAATGCAAGGAGCTCAACGCTGCACGCCCCCGTCCTGCACGCCCATGTTACACACGATAGGGAGAATTGATACGAAGATGACAGGCTCATTCGCTAAGCCTTATGGCCAAGAGAATCATATTGCTTTACAGACAAGCTTGGTATTGCTTCTAAGAACACTGTTCCACGGAAAAGACTGTACAGTATCTGAGACCGGCCGGACTTCCGCCATGTTTATCTGCCATTATCAATGTTGCGTTCAATTACTACGTATTTAGCAGTAATCGGCAATGTTGTAAGTGGGATATATGTGGCTAGTTCTGCACGCCGGACTGGCACCTTTGACGTAGAGCTTAGTCGCTGATTGTATGTCAGATTGTCTTCATGTGATTTTCAGCCCTGTTACTCACAATCTACCGGAAGATCCTTTCGTGGCTGCCTCACAATAGTCTGGCTCTTCTCACCCGGCGTGAGGTCATTCTCGCATTCAATTTGCTCGTTGCCTCCGCTGACAGTTGTGCTACCGGTCCACAGGTCAATGTGGTGGATGCCAGCGTCCCAGTCGGTAGTGCATTGAGCGCAGTAGTCCTCGAAACGAAGATATTTCTTCGTGTATGGGTCGTAGATGATTTCACATTGTGTGAATTCGCCAGGGGCCGAGGCAAACGTCAAGGGGTCGGCATAGGTACCTGTACCGCCAGCCTTGTAGCCGCGGCCGCAGTCATAGGCAGTGGCCGGACCGGGGGGATCGTTATCTGCAGGAGTGAAGATTCAGAGTCAGTTAATGTCTCATATGCATTTGTACAGCCAACTTACCTGGGTACCCGTAGAAGGTGTGGGTGACCTTGGAGACTTTGGTGCAGCCCAATGCCACAAGGTTGAAGGAAGACAACGCGACAAGTACTGAGGCGCGCATGTTCGATGATAGGGAAGAAGACAATGATCTTTGTGATCTTTGTTATGATCTGGAGTTTTTCTCAAGCTGGTCAGTCATCTCTTATACTCTGTGTCTAGTAAGGCGGTAAGGCTTTCGTGAAGAGGCTACGGAACTCCAGTTTAGTCTACGTCTAGTTCTCACAATCATATACCCGTTTCTGGACGAGGCGCTGAATAGACTGGGGCCGCATCATCTACAATTAGAAGATCACCACGGGTAGCATACGCTTTGGTGGTTCGTCGTAGCCCGAGGGGGCTCTTTTCTTCGTATTTCACAGCTTTCTATGTAAAGTGCTTGCTTTGTCATGATATATCTGTCTTTATAATGCATGAAGCTGACGAAGCTGAACAGATGGTGTGCGATTAATTAATGCGAACCTTTTCCGTGGAGCAAGACTAAACATACTAAGGGGCGGGAGCGTCCCGTCTCGGGGTCGACCGCCGCTGCAGCCAATCGACGCACGCATAGACATCTTGTGGCGCTGATGACGCATCATTCTGGTATCACAAAACACCGAAAGCGGTTCCTGCCTCACAAGATTGTTCGGAATGGCTCGACTTCAGCTTCTGTATTCACGCACCACCTACGTATGTGTATGTGTAGTGCCTACGATAGGCTGTTGGCGATGGGGCCGATCAGGCTGGCCTGTTATTTTGCAGCGATCGTTTCTTATTGCATCACAGCCTTTTGAAGATGCAGCAAGTTTCCTAACTAGAAAGTGGAGCCGCATTTACAAGCAATAAGCCCCGGCCCACCTCTTGAGTCGCCTACTGCAACGCCTTTCGACTCGCGTCTATCAGCGGCACTCACATTCAGCAAGCCCTCAGACTTTACAAGAACATGCCGTGTTCTAGCATCAGTACATGGATGGTCTTCAGCATCGCCTCAGTTATAGTTCCTATTCAAGTTGCTTTCAGCTCAAGAATCGCGACGTTTACGGACGGGCAGTGCAAGAATGCGTTCCAAAGTATCAATGCAGAAAATGGCGTAAGTGTACCTATACGAACTGCATGTGAAACACAGACTGACCTCGCCCTCCAACAACTAGTATCCTAATGGTACTTGCACTCGATTGGCCGACCAGGGAAAATACGAGAGCTTTCAGGTCGTAGGTCTTGATCCAGGCTGCAGTGGTAAGTCGTTGCGTTGTACCTTCATAGAAAAGTTACACTTATTGAAAACACTAGCTACCATCTACGGGGCCGATAGCGAAGAATTCGTACCATGCTCTTCGACAGTCCTCCAGTTCGCTCAGATAGCCGAGTGCTATAACTCGTCTTTCGTCTATTACAGCGTCGATGCTTGTATACCACCTGATCAAATATCGTCGTCGTCGTTGATTCCAACATCATCGTCCTCCCCATCTTCGACCCCGTCTTCAAGTGCAGTGAGCGGACCCAAGAAGAACAACACTGGTGCTATAGCTGGTGGTGTAGTTGGTGGTGTATGTGGACTTGCTCTCATCGCTGTCGCTATCTTTTTACTTCTACGTCGTAAGAAGAAACAGGATCAAGTGCCAGAGATACCCTCCGACGAGCGACGAGAGGTTGGCGGGAGTGCAATTACTGAATTGCCACATGAAGATCGAAAGCAAGAGATGGATTCCAAGAACATAGCACCTCAGGAAATCGGTGCCAAGCCCAGTGTGGAAATACCACCCGCTGAGCTGCCAGGCGACGATGTTGCTCAGGATTCTCAGTACATACCAGACTCTCAGCTCACTATCGGTGAGAAGCGCTAATACCATTGGAGATACTTCCGCAAAAGAATGAACGTGTTAAGGAGTTGATAGGCGTGAGTATAGGTTCAGTGTCCGAAGATATGTTGCAAGAGTAGGCCGAGGGCAGTCGAATGTAACATCTCAATCCAACTAGGAGTATCCGTCGGATTCTAGGGATAGTTAGCTCATTGCCAGTTCTATCTTTTTGGTGCGCGTCTAGTATACCGCTAAGAAGTGGTCCAAAAACAGGGCGAAGGGATATCGTCTTCTTCACACACTACCAAACAAGTGCACGTGAGGTGACATTGTGACTGTGCATCCATAAAGTCATTCCGCAACTGTAAGCCAGTGAGCCTGTACCTTCAATTCCTCGACAGGACGCCATTCCAGTCGTGCATTCAGGACAGCAACCCCGTGATAAGCCTCGCGGACAAGTCCGCCACATCACGCATGATTTCAACCTCGTGAAAAGACTACCACCAGCCGCACAACGCTACATTCGAAGCTTGATGACTCTGTATATAGTCACATTCTTCGGCTAACCGTGAAGCATCTGCCAAGCATACACTAAACGAGAGTGACCTTTCCTTAGCTGCCTTGGGTAAAGCCACCCTTAGGTCTTTGTAGCAATTGACACGAATCTTACACAACAAGATACTGAACGAAAGAGATTCCCTGACGCAGCACGGGATGGCTGTTCATGACGTGGATGAAGATGAGCGCCACTATCGAGATACATCGTATAGTCTCGACTCCAATCGCTTGGCTTGGATTCATGTATGCGGCAAGAATGCGCGTACATGTATAAGAGTAACATGCATTGATTCCAACTTCCGAACTCATCCTACTAGCAATAAGACAAGATTCCGGCGTCATATGAGGAAATATGGGCGAAGAATCTTGGCGATAAAGAAGCCTTGGTAGCCATTGAATTCGCCAAAGGATACACGATCTCGGTACGTTTTGGGTGTAAGAAATTTCTGTGAGACGTACACTGATTTTATACTTCCCTTTCATAGATCAACACAACGGTGAGAGATACATACGCCACTGGTGTGGCCACTGAGTACTCTGTATCTGGCAAAGCAGGCATTGGTATTGTTGAAGCTACAGTAGGATGGAAGGTGGCAGTCAAATTCGACTACGAGCACGAAACCTCCAAATCCACGAGTGCGATAACCACACTGACTGTAGGCATCGATCACTCCATCATGGTACCCGCTCGTAGCAAGAAACTTGTCTATGTTACCATTCACAGAAGCAAGGTCAACTCGGAGACGTACACTACCAAAGCCGAACGTTGGTACAATGAACGTCTTACTGGATCTCATCAGAGCAACAGAGACGGCCAAGAACTTTGGAGAAGGGATGAGACGGTGCAAATTACTGTTGATGGTGGCTTGCATGGCAAAACAGAGATAGTTTTAGGCGAGACAAAACCGTTGTAGCAAAGGCGTAATGCATGGTTTGTTGTCACCAGATATGGCGATAGTGCATAGAGTTCTTACATGGGTAGAGAAATGCAATGGCTATTATGTTTCACCTAAGGTCAGACCTTAATGACGACTATCCAATGCAGTCGGTATACCATACACCAATACGCCAAAACTCCATGCAACAACCTGAGCAGAAATTCAAGCTCACTGAAGTCATCTATGTCGGCCGCTTGAAAGGATGTGCCTCAGTATTCAATACCCAATCATCCAAGCTGATCAGATCCTCTTCGGCAAACAACAAGTAGAAGTACTTCAGCGTCTCCGCTAGCCAAAAACTCTCCATCTCATCGTTGAGCTCCGGCGTCAGTCTGGTAACGTCGTCGATGGCCGAGTTACCAAATTCAGTGGCTGTATGTTGGTCGATGGCGAGGAACATACGCCATCCTGCGTCGCGCCAGTGTGAATCGCCAGTTATGCGGTACATGTACCAGACGGACTCTATGGCTTCGGGGCTGTTCAGATGTCAGGGACTGGATAAACCTTGTCGAGATAGTAAGTGACTCACCGGAGAATGTAGTTCTTGGCCCCAATCCTTGTGACACCCGGCGGCAGACGATCCTCTTGAATTCTGTTCTGCACATAATCTTCGTGGTTCATGACTGGCTGTGGCGAATAGACGTATGGGAAGTTGGGCAGCGTAAGACTAGCCTGCGGCGCAAGCTCCGCAATGTTCGAATCAGGTTGAACTTTGGTGGGTGGCCCCTCGCCCTCCTCGGACTCGCCGCCCATGACCGACTCGTGGTCCTGCGAAGCGCTCGCAGATGCAGAGGCGATCCCGGATGACATGTGTGCAATCTCTACGTCGTCTACGTGTTCGATAATCTGACGCTTATCCAGCGTATCTGCGTAGACCAATGAAGACGTGGCCTGGGCCTCAACCGCAGCAACTACAACAGGGGTAGGCGGTGCGGTCATCGCAGCAAGTTCTGCCTCATACCATGATGAAGCGGACGCAATCTGCGACTCGTACACTTTACGCTGCTCCTTGTAGGTTTCCATTCGGGACTCATATCGTGGATCGATGTACTCCCAGTACGCTGTTTGGTTCCATGTACAGTCTTTCCTGTCTTCACATGGAGCAACCTCAAACGATTCCGGCATGATGCCGGTCGGAGTCATGCTGTAACTCCAGACGCAGCCCTCTGTAAGCTTCTTTGCGATCTCAAGATCCTCAGGGCGGTCGAATAGCTTTGCGCCCATGCCGAACATACCACCAGCAAAACAGGTGAGATGTGCGTTTTCAGCAGTTAGGTCACCCGCTTTGGTAGCATCGATATTGGATGGGACGTTCAGCTTGCCAGAAAAGAGAATGTCTTCCCCCTTTGGTAGCATTGGTCGAAAAATCAGATGTTTCTTGACAACATCCATCGACTGTTCGTACATGGTCCGGTACTTCTCAATCTGGCCACCAAGAAGCAAGTACTGCTTGGGCAGATATTCGTACGTAGAATCCGACATACCGCCTAGCGTGAACTCTTCGCGTCCGTAGCTGGAGCTTGATACAAAACCTTGGGGTATGCACTCTGGGGGCGTCGGCTTAGCGTAAGAGGCGGACGAAGTCGAAGAGGCGACCTGAGCATCCAGCACTGCTTTCGGTGGTTCAGACTCATCGATATCGAGCTGTCGCTTTTCCACTGCACTACCGTCCCAATCCTTAATCTTTGCCTTTCCAGCGGTACCGGGAACCACGGAGTCTTCCTTGGCAGCTGTGTCAGCCGGCACATCATCTTGCGCAAGCACGACAGGGTCCGGCAAGTCTAATGGTACGTATTTCTTGCCCTCTGGGGAAAGCATCTCGGTAGGGGAGGGTGTAGCAGGCTCAGCAACAGTTGACGACAGGTCGTCAAGATAACCTGCTGGAGCTTTGAGAGGCGCCTGGGGAGGCATATCGATATACTGTCTTCCGCATCCGGAAGCATCCAGATATGTTGGCCACATTCCAGGGAGTTGAGTCTTCCCCTGAAACTCCTCCAGGTTGTCCGTGATGCGTGCAATGGCATCGTAGTATTTGTGTTCTCCTGTGAGCTGCGCGAGTCGAGTGAATTCCATAGAAAGTGACCCTATCTCGGCCAGAACAACATGTGCGCTAGCACGGTGCTGTTGAGACGCGAAATCAGGCCTCCAGTAATAATACGTCTCAGGCATCCGGTTGGGTGTGTCAAATGCGCTTATAAGAATTTCGCCGAGCTCTACCGCCTTTCCTAGCAGATTCTTATACTTCTTGTCGCTCAAATCGTAGGCAGCCAGCAGCCCACCAAGATAGCGAATAGTTGTTTCGAACAAGGGGATATCCGCGCGCGGGGTCGTGGTGAAATCGATCCTGTCCACTGCCTTTACAGCCTCTTCGAACTCGTCCTTGAGGCCCATTATCCACAGAGTGTCAAGGGCGTCTACCAACGTTGCACCCCAGTGGGCAAAGGGATCTCGGAAAGTACCAGACTGTGGCCGCAGCTCGTCGTGTAACCAGGCATTTGCCTTGTATCCTTCCCAAGACTTCTTTGCTACACTTCTGATCTTGTCCAGTTTTGCAATCCTTTCGGCCTTTGCTGTCGCATCTTCCGGCTTGAACTTGGCTTGAATCTTAGGTATGGATTTCGGGGTGCCAGACGGCAGCTTGATGAGCGATTCGGAGGCAACGGGAAAGTGTTCGGGAAGTTTCGTCCAGTGAATCGCATCAATAATTGATGATGGTTCTAATGCGTTGTCCGCAATGGCGGGCTGGCCATGTGGTTGTGGTCGAATGGGTGTAGGGATAGAGGGCTTCTGTTGCTGCTCGGTGACAGCAGGGCTCAATGTTGACGAAGAAGCCGGTGTCTTCACAGGAGGCGGCGTCTGAAGTGATTGCGGAGTACTAGCTGCGGGTACATCTAGCACCAGACTTCTCGTCTCATGTGCCACAGCGGGACGCGGAGGAGTGTCCTCCTGTGGAACCTTCTCAGCATCGCTTTTCAGGCCAGCTGAGCCAACTGCGTTCGATGCAGCTTCTCTCCATGCCGCCGCGCTTGAACCCCCAAATTTGTATAGCGCTAGTACAGCAATAACAGCAAAGACAAGGAAGGCGCGGTAACGTCGATATCGAAACATGGTGAAGGGAGCGCAGGAGAATCGAAAGGCGGGTATCGCGAGCGCTTCGTCGCCGAATGAGGAATGGAAGCGTGGAAGGAGTGTATCGCGTCGCTATGTTGTCGCTGCCATCTGAGCGCGAATGTAGTGAAAGGAACAGGAACTCGAGCCAACAGGAAGTGAGCGACTGGCAGGTGGCTTGTCTTGTTTCCAACAGTCTTGGCTCTCGACACAGTAGCTAGCGTATGCACGCCCTGGAGATCTCTCGATGGGTCCGTAGCAGATCTTTTGCTTTATAATTTCGCGAAAGAAACAATTGAGATGTAAGCATTTGAAACAAACACGGAATGACATTCTTTACAGGACATATACACGTTGCTGTCACTTTCCACATGGCATCTTCTACCTTTAAGATGCTCTGCGCTCCCGCACGCGAGGCCACGCCCCCGCACCAGAACAGCATCCGTCCTAGCCGAACGCTAAATTTAAGCTTAAATTACCCTGGCCAAAAAGGGGTCCAGCATTGGACATCTCTGCATATGTTTCAGCTGTGCAGATTGCGTTTCAACCACGAAGTCTGTCTACACATGTGTTTGACAGCCGATAAAATTGAACCCCAAGTTCCTACGACCAAAGTATCAAGGAGAATGTCAAACACTCCGATGGGACTAGGCTGGCCATGTGACGCGATCGTATTATTTTAATCTATTTAGACAGAGTCGGCATGCAGCACCGGCACGAAGTAGGGTTCGCTACCTTTCATCTACTTGTACTGCACACTTTCGTACTTCTATATTGGTAGAATGATGCTCACGCGATGGTGCTGCGGTAGCCTGTCTTGCCTTCCAGATATAAAGCGATACTATCATTGCTCCTCGCCGCCAGGTCCAGGTTGTCGTCCCTAGGTATCGGTTAGCTTCAGTTGTTCTAGAAAAGGTATATCTACTCACCATCTGTCGTGCTTTGAGCATCTCGTCACACAACAGCAAGTTCGATGCGATACCGGTAGCGGATGCTATGCAGTTGCGCAGTACTCGGAACGAATCGTAGACACCTTCTTGAGTAGGGTCCATCGCTTCTCCAGTTGCAAGGTTCAAACCGACGACGTTGCCCTCAGCGTGCTCGTCCTGCAGCGCAGCCACTGTTATTGGGTAAGTATAGTACGATGAAAAGCAGCAAAACGATACTTACACGAATCCTGGATATCATGACCCGAGTTCGCCGCAAGTGTCTTAGGAATGACAAGCAGTGCGTCAGCGAAGGCCGATACACCCCACTTCGCTTTACCCTTGACTGTCTTCTTGAATTGCTCACTGTTGAGATGAGCTGCGCATGCGACTTGGAAAGCACCTCCACCTGGTACGACGCTTCCGTCTACGATCATGTTGTACACACTCCTCAAACCGTCGCGAACGGCGTCCTTGATCTGAGCAATGGTGTGTGTGTTTGGGCCCTTAATGAGTAAAGTGACGGACTTTGGCTCCTTGACATCCTCCTGTTTATTGTGAGTGTGTGCCCTGTTCATTTTACTGGGTTCACTTACAATGAATGTGTACTTCTCCTCGCCAAGCTGGTGCTCGTAAACAAGACCAGCGTATCCGAGGACATCTGGTGTCATGTCGTCTACACTGTTTTGCGATGTGCCACCGCACACCAGCTGGAGACGCTCCATGTTCCTCCTCTTCGCTCTCCTCAGCGCGAAGATTCCGTTCTTGACAAGGACATCCAGACTGAGCGGGTCGATACCCTTCTGGTTTATTATCACGAAGCCTTTCTTAGGGTCGTCGCCGCAAACCTCCTTCTTCAGCTCCACGATCTTCCTCAACTTCTCGTCGACGAAGCGGCGCTCGCTCTCAACAAGCTTCTCCCTCTGTTCGGCGCTCGAGTAGTAGAAACCAGAGTTAATTTCAGACTTTTCGTACTCTAAACTAACGTTGAGGGTCAGGATGTATGCGTTCTCAACCCTCTTAGCCATATCCGGATGCCTTGCGCCGTGATCTAGAGCAAGTCCTCGGATAAGCTGTGTGTCGGCGGCGGTACGATGTTGCATAGTCATGATCTCAACCATGTGCAGATCTGGCTTCGCGGGCGCTTGGTAGATTGCAAGGACGGCATCGACAATATCGGGGGTCAATTGTTCGGCAAGCGAGCTGTTGATCTTGGTCGATAGCGAGGTTCGTGCGACAGAGAGGAGGAGCTCGCGGTCGACTTCCTTTGTGAGCTTGAACTCGTCAAGGAACTGTACATGGTCAGCGAATCTTTACCGAACGAACTTTCCGTTGTCTATACCTTCAGTGACTCTGTCTTCGCGATGTCGTAACCATCTGCGATCACTCGGGGATGGAGGCCTTCGGCGATGTAGCGGTCAGCCTGCTTCAGTAGTTCTCCAACCAGCAGTACCACTGATGTTGTTCCATCGCCTGTGATTTCGTCTTGCGCTGTTGCTGCTCGTGCAATCATGACCTGCATTGTTTGAGTCGCGAATCAGGAACGGAGAGGTACTAGAACATACGGCAGTGGGGTTTTGAATTTGCTGTGATGTAGTTAGCCTTTGAAGATAATGTTGTGGTGCAGGCACATACCATCTCCTTGAGCAGAACGCTTCCATCTTTTGTGAGCTTGATCTGGAGACCTCGTCAGAACATGTCATGTGTATTTTCTGAGTGTTCGTACTCCTCCTGCGCCATCTACTAGCCTATATGCTATTAGCTTCTTGTTCACAAGATGGTTTGTTGTTCCTTACATCTTAAGTGTACCGCGGGGTCCCAGATTTGAGGCAAGAACCTATCACCAAAGTCAGACAGTCTCTTTCTCCTCCCTGAAGCATTCCATACCTGCTGCAGACCCTCACCGGCCGAGATGTTCACACGGAGAGCCTCCCCGCGCCTCTGTGCATTGTTAGCAGTGCCTCTGCGCTGCGAAGAAGCGGCGTACCCTCGACTCGGCTTTGGGATTGAGAAGTTGTGCGGCCGACATGCTGAAGAGAATCTATACGGGTATCGAACAGTGCAGTAACCAAGCAAATGATGTATGGCGGGGCAAGATGCTGTTTCCGCGTTGCCTGGCGCGTCCCTCTTCTCAAGCACTGAATTCTAAGCGGGCCTACTTAGCGCGGAAGCTCGGGCCCTGAAAAAGTTCGAAGCTTTCCACACCACGAACTTGCGACCGTTCACACCTCCATCCCGACTGCGGAATTTCCAGCGCACACACCAAATAACGACTCAGCTCGTCGCGCCGAAATCCGCAATACTTGCGCGCCAACAACTAACGCCACGATGAGTGTAGACTACCTGCTACACGAGAGCCCTGTCGGCTATGCCGTCTTCAAGGTCGTCCTCCAACCCGACACCATTGGCAGCCGTCTCGCGGAAGTGCAGAAGGCTGTGCAAGATCTCGACAAATTTGGAAAGACCGTCGAGCTCGTCGGCCTTGCGCCGTTCCAGGGCACCCAAGATGCCCTCTCCGAGATCAACGATGTCTCGGAAGGTATCATGTCTGATTTCCTAAGGGCCACGCTCGAGACCAACCTCCCCAAAGCTGGAAAGAAGAAGACCATCACGCTTGGTGTAAGCGAGAGCAACTTGGCGGGTAGCATCAAGGCTGCTTTCCCCAATCTCGCGTGCGAGACTGCCGTCACCTCCGAAGTCGTCTCTGATCTGCTTCGCGGTCTTCGCCAGCACAGCGGCAAGCTCATCAAGCAGCTCCAACCCGGCGATATCGACCGCTCCATTCTTGGTCTTGGACACGCCTACTCTCGCGGCAAGGTTAAGTTCAGGTAAGCTTCGCGCACGAGTTGCATGGCAATCGGACACTAACATCTATTCCAGCGTCCAGAAGCAGGACAACCACATCATCCAGGCCATCGCGACGCTCGATCAGATCGACAAGGACCTGAACACCTTTTGCATGAGGCTTCGCGAGAACTATGGTATTTTCCCTCCATTTCTGGAGACTTGGAACAGCTGCTGACTTGGTGTTCTTTAGGCTGGCACTTTCCCGAGCTCGCCAAAATCGTCAACAGCAATGAACAATACGCCAAGGTGGTCTTGCAGATTGGTGACAAGTCGCGTCTGAGCGACGAGGATCTTCACGAGCTCGCTGCTGTCGTTGATGACGACGAGAGCATTGCGCAAGCAATCATCAACGCTGCGAGGACCTCTATGGGTCGTGATCTTTCTGCAGCAGACATGGAGATTGTCATGGCTTTCGCAAAGAGGACCGCTTCCCTGGCTGCGTACCGCAAGCAGCTCAGCAACTACCTCGGAAGCCGCATGAACCAAGTCGCTCCTAACCTGGCTGCTTTGATCGGTGACACCGTTGGTGCGCGCCTTATCTCTAAGGCTGGTTCTTTGACCAACCTTTCCAAATACCCTGCCAGTACCGTCCAGATTCTCGGTGCCGAGAAGGCGCTCTTCCGAGCCCTCAAGACCAAGGGAAACACTCCCAAGTATGGTCTTATCTACCACAGTTCATTCATCGGCCGCACTGGCCAGAAGTCAAAGGGAAGAATCTCGCGTTTCCTTGCCAACAAGTGCTCCATTGCCTCCAGGATTGACAACTTCTCCGACACACCAACATCGAAGTTCGGTGAGGCCCTCAAGCGTCAGGTCGACGAGCGCATTGAGTTCTACGCATCTGGTGCTCCTCCTGCGAAGAACGCGGCGGTCATGCAGGCTGCCATGAACTCGGTCCTGACTGACATTGGTGTCGAGGACCCCACTGCGACCGCCACTGAGGATGTTGAGATGGCCGATGGCGTCACTGCCGCTGCTACTGAGCAGGCTGTACGCAAGGAGAAGAAGGACAAGAAGAAGTCCAAGAAGTCAGGCGATGACGAGGTTTCTGACAAGAAGTCCAAGAAGGAGAAGAAGCGAAAGGCCGGTGACGAGGAGGATGGTGAGAAGAAGAAGAAGAAGAAGAGCAAGGCGTGATGACCTGCCCTAACCAGCTGTATTCATACCCTTCTCGCATTCTGGATCGGCGTTTTACGATGTGTCGGTGTTTTTGGAGTTGTTTTCTGTGCTAGTTAGAGAGGACTGGATCTGGGCTATGAGTTTCCGCACGCTGTTCACGAATGGTGGATGGTTCTGTATACCTCGAGCTGTTATCAAAGTTACAAAAGCATGATTCTTCCATAACTTGACATGGCGATGATGAAGTGCGCGGGTATCGCAACCAGGCTAGATTGGTGCACATGTGGAGCGTGCCTGAATTCCGGCCCAATCAGAGACCCCTGTAAGAGATCGGAGCGCCAAGACGCTTAGGCCACATGCAAGCTGCGAACCACCAGACAACTATCTATAGAATAATTCACGATAAACGGTGATACAAGCTGCAAATGCTGGCCCGTTAGTAGTTCGCCAGTACCGGGTGACTTTTACGACGGCTGTATGTGGTGTTTGCGGCCATTCGCATGTATGCACGGCAATCAACGTCAGGCAGCGGCTAATGCGCCTCTTTGTATGTCGCATGTTTATGGTGCAATGGAAGAGATGGATCACCTGTTTGTTCGTGACTATTACTAGAGAGCAAAGTAATTGGTCATCGCAATATCCTTGAGCTGGATAGCTACAAAGGGGCTGTCCCGGCAAGCATATGACGAAGGGGAACGTTGGTGAAAACGTCAACATGTCATGTTTGATACGCCTAAGACCTAACACAGCAGCCGGCATAGACCCAGGGTTCATTCACAGTGCGCAGCGCCCCGGACTCGTCCACTGCTCTGGCGTAAACTGTTTTTCTGTTCTAGGGCTCGTCGTAACCCAAGCTTTGGCCCGCTGCTGTCCCAAATCGCTCGAATGCCTACTTGAAGCCCTGAACCCCCCCGAGAAGGTCTGGAGACTTCCTTCGCACTTTCTCTTCCTCTATTGTCCTCTCTCTTTTCTGTACAATTTTCTAACGCTGCAACTACCTTTCCATCGATACAGCTCTTGCGGAGGCGGTTGTCATCAAGATCTCGTTAGACATCGAAACTTGGTGTTCCTTGCCGTGCATCAGACGCTCTTTAGACATCTCCCGGTCCGGCTCTCGGCTGCAACTCGACTTTGGTGTTCTCGCAAGCCATTGCAGTAGTCTGCTATCCACACTTTTTCTGGTGTTGAATCTGCAAACCCGTTCGGCCAGCACCAGAGCCCTGAATCTACCTGCGCCCATTCGCCGCTCAAATCGAACATTCTGTTGTCTATTTAATTTGCCGTCCACACGCGCTAGAAGCATTCTGCCATCTTTCGAGGGACCGCATCGATTTAGTGTTCTGCGCCATGGACGTAGACGATGCATCTTCGCCGGGCAGTCTAAGCTCGCCCCCGCACTCGCCTGAGCAGGGCACTCCGACATCGACTATCCGCACTCCTGCAGGTGGTGTTGGTGTTGGAACTAGCACACCAACCCCTGCAACTGCATCACCAGCTCCACGCGGTCTTACTGCGAGCGGCCTTCCTCGTAAGAAGCCAGGTCCCAAACCAAAAGCAAAAGATCCCAGTGCACCTGAGCCAGAGAAGAAGACACGAAAGCCCCGCAAGTCGGAGCCCAAGGACCCAAATGCTGCACCCGCTCAACGCAAGAGGAGGACCAAGGCATCGCTGGAGGCACAGGCACAGCCAGTCGCACAAGCCGTGGACGAGAAACCGTCTGTGCAGCAGTCGCCTACACCTCAAGTTGCACCCAGTGAGCCCGTCGCTGTCTTGCATACCGAGCAGCCGCCTGTTGTCTCACAGCCTGCTCGCGTCTTGAGCAATCCCGAACCCACCCTTCATAGTAACCCAAACCTTTCACACATCAGCGTCGCGCCCTCAACACCGCGGCCATCTAGTTCAGGCCAACGATATGATCCAATTCGAGGCGACACCTTTGAGTCAAAACCACAACCTCCAGCAAGTGCACCGCCGCCGCCCGTTTCACCCCCGATCAACCACCGTGCTAGTGCCTCACCTTCCATCACAAGTCTTATCGACCCGCCGTCTGCCAGTAATTCATTCTATTCGCATCCTCCCAAACTCCAGCAACAGGCATCCATCACATCAGCACCCGTGTCACCTGCCGCCTTCTCCACGCGACCAGCCTCGGTCCTTCCTTCTCAAGACTACTCACCTCAGCTTCAACAACAACAGCAGCAGCAGCCACAGGCACCCCTCCAAACTCAAGCTCAACCGTACCCCACTGCCTCATCGGGACCGACTCCTATGGACATTGACACCGAGCCCAGCAAGCCAACATCAGTTCCCATGGCAAAGGAAAATTCGACAAACTCGGGTACACCCTCGCAATCGAATGCGCCAACCCCACCTACTAAAGCAGCTCGCCAAAAAGAAGCCCCGCCACCGTTGCCTACTGGAAGTGGCCTCTTGTCGGGAACGCCGTTTGGCCCAGTTGCAAACGCCAATGGTGCATCCGAGACACAAGGCACCAACATCTACCTGACATTTGATCTGAAGGGAAAGGAAAATGTTACAATCAACTTCGCACAGGAAGTCGAGAAAAAGTACGGTTTCGCTGCCCTGCATCCTCGCATCGCTGCTCGCAAAGAGCGTCAGCGCCAGATTGCAGCGGCAGGTACCGCACTTGAGCGAGCTGCAGGCGGTGGCTCAAATGACGATCAGTCTGTCGATTTGTCCGAGAACGAGAGTAATGTCGAAATGGGCGGCATGGATGACGAGACATCGGCCAAGGAGAACGGAGGCAAGAAGCGACGCAAGCGCAAACAAGAAGATTATGACAAGGAGGATGACTTCATCGATGACACAGAGCTGGCCTGGGAACAGCAAGCTCTCATGGCGAAAGACGGTTTTTTTGTTTACAGCGGCCCACTCGTGACCGAGGAGAAGCCAACTGTAGAGAGGTGCATAACTATCATGTCTCCAGATCGAATTAAGCTAACACCAAGTAGGGCCGACGGCACCGTTAGACGCGGACGAGGACGCGGTCGTGGCGGCACTGTACGAGGAGAGGCTTCAGGTCGCGGCAGAGGACGTGGCGGAGGTCCTGGCTCTCGTGGTGGTTCTACTGTCCGCAAGCCTCGCGTTACTAAGGCTGATCGTGCGCAAATGGAACAGGAGAAGGCAGCTCGAGAATCTATGGCTAAGACGCTGACTAACATGTCTACTCACGCCGGCCAGGCTAGTGCTATGTAGTATACAGGACTTGACCGAGAGAAGAGACCACTTCGAATTCTCCGACCCCGTCCGCCGAAGGGATCAAGCCACTACAGCCGCATATAAACTTTTCTCCTTATTGTTGGCATCGGAACTCTGGCACGGTTCTTTATTTCATGTTCGATTCTTCAGTATTCCTTTTGTTATCTGTACGATACCCTTAGCGGACGTTGCGATAGCCACTTCGCTAGGCAGGATGTAAAGTCGGGTCGTGTTAGTGTGTGCATGACTTCAACAGGCGTTGTCCTCATACGACGTATAGTCGTTCTCAAGAACATAGAACCATTACTTCAGTCAAGTCTTTCCTACCTTTTGTCTCTTGTGCCTGGAATTATGTTCGACGACAAATTCGATGACGGCGATTCTTGCGCGTTCATCATGTACATGCAAAACATATCGGTCAATTGATGGGATGGTTCGAACAGGTAGCATCTTCCTATTGGCCTTCGTACTTAGGTAGTAGAATGTCTTAGTGGGCCTGTCTCAGTAGTGCACAACTGTGTTTGTTTTACCTGAAGTAGTAAGGGCAGCTCCTACCTCTTTCACAACCACTCTTACTTTCTGAGATTATTCTACGTCACGCTCGCGTATATCAGCTCGCACACTACATTATCAACATTTGCTGTTACCTCACGTGCAGACTCACAATACAATTGATGATTCCTCAAGACACACGACTATCGCGCAGTGCTACTCTCACAACTTATTCAATTCAGCCTCACACAATATCTCTAAGGCAGCATGGTCGGTTCCGCGACATATCGCACTCATCTCCCAGCGGATGTAGCTCTCACTGAGTACTCGCGCAAGTTCTACGATGGGACGTACAAGTGGGATTCGGAGGGCTTCACTGACGAAACTGGAAGTGGGTTAATTCAGGGCCAGACTACGGCTATCTTCGTGACTGACTAGCTCAGAGTATCAGGAATTTGATTGCTATGATCCTGCAGCCCGAGCTCCCACACCTTTACCTCCGATGTGCTTGAGCGATGATGAAGCAGACGGCGGGACTGTAGAACGCGAAGAGTCCGCATTACATATGCTGGGGGACGAGACCACCAGTCTTCTATCCGCAACAAATGTTAAACACAGGCAGGTAGTTGCAATGCAGCGTGATGAGCTGCTTCGTGACCGCACTGATACAAAGCATACTATCGGTAAGATGGAGGATGCCAGCCCTGCGACACCTTCGAAAACCATCGCAGCGGGTCTACGAGACTTTGCTTCACCCTCAGAACTATCAGAATGTCCTTCAGATATATCTGAATGGGATGTGGGGAGACCGGTAAGTATAAGTGGACGGGCCGAGATCTGTGGTTCTTGTCCCGTTATACAGCACAATAACTAATGGCAACCTTAGATGTCAAGACCAAAGACGATTGCAAAAAAGCCTGTCGATGAGATGTTCGAGCAAGGCGATGTCGATGAACCCGAGCGGAAACATACAACACGAGGCGTCGCACAGAAAGTCAAGAAAGGTATTAGGAAGCCAACGGCCGCATCAATCAAGCCCTCTCCTAGGACAGGAACTGTGCAGGCTGGCAGCTACATGGAGAGCGCTGGGACGACGACTCGGCGTCGATCGACACGGCTCAATCAAGGTGGCAAGTAGAGTGCCTTCTGTTATGAACATTCAAAGGCCGTTCAGAGAAAGATGCAGACCGTTTACAGTCCGGACTTCTCTGGAGTTGGAAAAGTTCATGTTCATGCACATCTTTGGCATGTAAAATTCAGGGGGCAGGTGCCACGGAGCATATCCGATCAAAGAAATGCGATACTACGCCATAATAATTTCTAATAAGAACCCTTCCGTCACAATTCCTCATCTCCCCAGAAAGACATCTGCACAACTCTCTGTCTCAGCATGCTCATGATAAAGCGCACACCTTGCTCCCCTCCATGGCTTACATGCGTCCCATTTCTTTACCTCCCCGGTTACACCACCTGCAACATCTTCCTGCTCCTCTAAAACCTCGAGTCTCCCTCTCCCATCCTCCCACCTTGCCATTGCAACACTGCCCTCCACACACCGTGTACAAAACGCAACACAACAGTCTTCACAAGCCACCGCCCCAAACCTAGGTGGCAGCACGATGCCACAACAGTCGCAAGCACGAGTAGTATGCCACGATACCGGACACCACATCCGCAACCGATGCCTCTGCATAGCCTGCGCACATGGCCTCTTCAAATGCACAGTCAGATCGCGAAGAAAATCCTCGTGCCACCAATCCCCGTGCGAGTCTATCAATCGATCCGTTTTCTTGAAAGCGAAGAGATCGAGAACGAGGGTGCGTAAGGGTGACGAATCACGAATTTCTTCGTACAGAATACGAGTATCAGAAGGTGTCAGGACACTATTCGTCTCATCAGCTAGATCGCTAATCGCGTCCACGACAGCATTCCTGGCGCCTTCTAGAGCTAGTCGATCGGCCAGAGCGTAGACATGGAGGAGAGTATAGTATGCTGGCTTTTCGTCTTTGAAAGGAGTGGACAGAATGGAGGTGTAGAGCCAGGTGACGAGGATTTGGAAGTGCTCAACAGAGACATCGTCAAGTGTTGTACTGTTGGTTTCTGATTCTATGAATACCAACGGGCCATTGAGTGCGGCGCGGAAGTAGGAGGATTTCGATATAAGGAGGCTAGTGTGAATTTGGAAGGGTGTGAGTTCGGAGCCCACTAGAATTGTGCTGGTCGTTGTGAAGTCGGAGGTTTTTGTCCTGTCAAACATGAGTTTTGTATGCTTTTCCGGCGTACGTCAAGGTTGGGCGGGATAAAACGTGAGCTATTATGCAACCATTCTGGCTGATAATTTGACTCACTTTCATGTTTAACATACCTTGTCTGCTCAGGTCGTGCACCTGTAAATGTATATGGTGGGGGGAGATTCGGTAAGAAACCACGATCTGTGTCAATACCAACGCTGCGTGGTACAACTTTGCGCATCATGTTTCTGACCAGATTCCACAAGCCAAGGCCCTGTGGTTTTGCTATCTGCGACCCATACAGTGCGCTGATTAGTGTAAACCAATATTTGGATGAAGATGAAGAGCCTTTAATCAATCTTGGCCTGAAGACTGTAGCTTCGAGCTTTGAAGGCGGAGGTTCGGTCAGCGCATACAGGCTGTCATTGAGTAAAGGAATGTTGTTTCAAAACGTATCCTTGAGTACATCCGTAAAGAGTGGCAGTGGACAACGAACAAACCTTGGTATAGAATTTCGTTCAGCGAACAATCACGTTGTGGGCGCGCGCAGATGACGAAGATCGGCTTTGTTGTTGTTGTTGTTGTTGTTGTTGTTGTTGTTGTTGTCTATGATAGCAAACGCCACGCCACAAGCAGGTCTTTGTTGTCTCAGCAAGATGCTTTGAAATCGAGCAAGACAAACAACATCGTACAATGAGCGAGAGAACAGGAAGAAAGTCCTTGTAGTGTTGGAGTGGAAAAGCGCGCTATGCGTCTGTTTAATATTTTGATAATATCTGGGTCGTGGTTCTTGTAGCGTGCAGCTACATGGCTGGAATCGTTGAACTGGTAAGGACCTTTCGAGATGATCAACTTGAAGCACTGAGTACTCTGTTCGTTGGTCTCGCGTTCTGTAGACTGCCTGCAAGACGGTACTACGTACGGCCGAGAACGGTTTAGGGAGAGAAATCTCACCAACTATTTTACACTCCTGCAAACGCCCCCAGATCACTCAAAGTTTGAGGTATGTTACAGGTTCATACAAGAGAGCTTTTGAAAATTATGCACCTATGCGACAAAGTTCTTGACGTTGTTGAGCCACTTGATGTACTCCTTCTGCTCCTTGTGGTCAATGTAGTCGGGGATGAACAGTGCGAGGCGGGTGTTGATGCCACGCTCCTCAAGGTACTTCTCAAGGAGGATCTGGAGGTCCTCGTCTAGGTTGTTGAAAGGAGGGCCCTGCTGCAAGTTAGAAGTGTTGTATATTATATGCAAGGTTTCCACATACAGTGTAGAGAGCGCGTCTTGACCAGTCCTTCTCAGCGGTGGCGGGGTCGGCTAGATCAGCGGACGGGAAGTAGTAGAGGTCCTCGATGAGGAAGTCACCGTCCTGGGCGGTAGCCTCAATGGCAAGAGCACCCTTGCCGGGACGCTCGATGCGGATGCTGGCGTGAGCAGGGAAGCCCTGCTGTTCGCCGTCATTCTCATAGTCGTCCTCGAGCTCTTCACGGTCGGCGGGAGCAATGCGGTCCTCGGGGGCTACGCGAAGGTTTCCATCTTGTGTCCTGCCCTGGTTGATGGCACCCTTGGTGTTGGCGCCACCAGACTGTACGTCCATGTCGGCGTCGTCGTACATGGCGCTGTCGTCGGCCATGTCCTCACCGGGCAGGTTGCTGTTGAGGTCGGCGGTGGTGAAGGTGATTCGGATCTTCTCGTCGTTGAATGTGCGGGTAAGGACTACTTCCTGGTTGCCGGCCTTGTCCTCAATCTTGTAGTTGTCAGCATTGAGCCAGCAAAACCAAAATGACGCAAGACCTTACCTCAAAAGGACTGTTCTCAAGGTACTCCTTGATGTTGTGAGAAAGGTCTTCGTCCTCCTTCATGCCCTCTTCCATGGAGATCTCGCTCTGAAGCTTCGCGACGAGTTCCTCATTGGCTGATTCATGTTAGTTATATACATGCAACTGTAATTTACTCAATGCGTACTACCAGAGTCCTCTCTCCTTGCTGCCGACATGGAGAAAGATGCTGTGAGACGAGGAATTGGAGCGGCCCATGCTGCTGGCTGGAAAGCCTGTCGCAGTGACGATTGCGGGCGAACGGCTTTGGTGGAGAAACGAGTAGCAGACCGCGGGGCGCTGCGGGCGAGGTTCCTTAGGGACATCATGGTGAACAAAAGGGGTATATGGATCTGGGGTACTGAGCGACGACAAATTCCGGTACGATGGCAACGCGATAGATGGCTCTCGAAGGCGTGGACTTTTCGATGGCCCAAGCTCAGGCGGGCTGATGTCAGGCGGGATGCTTGGCGCCGAAATGCGGGCCCGATTGCTCACCTCCGTCCTCGGCCTGGTAGCTTTAATATTTTGCCGTCTCTAGGAAACCCAGTATATACTGGCGCGTTAGACAGTCTGCCAATTGACAATCTCATTGTTCTCTGAGTGTGCTACCCTGGGTTTCAGTGTGAATATACTACTACGTCATTATTCTGAATCGCTACTGCCGCACGCGACGTAGATACGCCAAAACTTTCCGTCATTGCAGCGCGCGCAAACCCATTCTTGTCATCACCTAGACACACTTGAGCCAGGTCAATATGGCGGCCGCACCGACAGAGAAGAAAAAGGCAAGCGCAATGCGCTCCATCCTGGCTGGTGCAAGCGCAGGAGCCGTGGAAATCTGTAACGCTTGCTCTCCCGTCATGGCATAGACTAAGTACTGACTCCACGCCAGCAATCACATACCCTGCTGAGTGTAGGCACTGAATAACATTTACTTGCACAAAGACACCGAGCCTGACCCAAGCATAGTCGCGAAAACACGATCGCAACTCAACCGAAGATTGCCAGACGGAAAGAAGCTGCCATGGCCGCCGTTCGGCAAGCAGTGGTACGCTGGATGCACAACCTTGATCATTGGCAACTCGTTGAAGGCTGGCATAAGTATGTGGAAGAGAATCAACACGGAAAGGCGACCGTCTGACAGGTCGTGTAGGATTTGTCGCATTCGACATGTACAAGAACATGCTGGCGGACGCTGAAGGCAAAGTCTCCGGTCCAGCGACAGTAATAGCTGGATTCGGTGCAGGAGCTACAGAGTCTCTGCTGGCTGTCACACCATTCGAGAGTATAAAGACACAACTGTAGGTGAAATCGGACGTATGCATGTGCCGTCACTCACTCATACGCCTAGTATCGACGACCGCAAGTCGGCAAACCCACGCATGCGAGGCTTCTTACATGGGTCAAAGATAATCGCACAAGAAAAGGGTATCCGTGGGTTCTTCCAGGGTTTCCTCCCAACCACAGCACGTCAAGCCGCCAACTCAGCTGTTCGTTTTTCGAGTTACACATCGCTCAAGCAACTAGCCCAGTCATACGTCAAACCAGGCGAGAAGCTCGGCGCCGTCAGTACATTCGGACTCGGAGGCCTGGCTGGCATAATCACTGTCTACACGACGATGCCTATTGACACAGTCAAGACACGCATGCAATCAATAGAGGCACGGAGCGCCTACAAGAACAGCTTCGACTGTGCGGCAAAGATTTTCAGGGATGAGGGTCTCTTCACCTTCTGGTCGGGAGCGCTTCCAAGATTGGGTCGACTGATCCTCAGTGGTGGTATCGTCTTCACCATGTACGAAAAGTCCATGGAGTTCATGGATAAGCTAGATCCACAAGGGCGCTACATATAGACATCCCTCTTGCTCCAGAATTAGCGACAAGTACAATACCCGACCTCCTACCAACATCTCTCCTTCAACCTGTCATCAACATTGAGGTTTCAGGTGCTTCATTCTCTCTATCCTCTCCTAACGATTCTCCTCATTCAGGACAACCACCTACTAGTCTTACAGTGCGTGTCAATCTTCTTTTGCAAGTTGCTAACGCAACACTCTGCTTCTGTCACGATTCCCCAGAAGGGAGATAGGGCACCGTCAGTGTGAATTGACAGAATCAAGCTCAACCCTATTATTCACACTATGGGCTTGAAGATTTGGAAGCAACAGAATTCTGTCCTCTACATTAACCTGGCCGAACCTCCACAACTCCATCTTCCAACTCAGCTCTTCCCAAATCCGACATGGACTCAAACGGCTTCCGCACAGCACTTGATGCCGCCACTAGGTTAGCCCATTATTCCTTCTTGTGAACTTACTAAAATCTAACATGTAATAGCTTCCTAGATACCCCACTCTTCACGGTGTCTGTCGGTTCTGAGGTGGGAAACACAAAAGACTTCAGCGTCCACGAAGGTCTACTCAAAGACCATTCTGCATTCTTCAACAACGCCCTAAAACCCAATCGTTTCAAAGAGGGCTTTGAGCGCCGAATATCCATGCCAGGGGACGATTCCAAAGTCTTTGCGCTTTACGTTCAGCTACTCTATCGTCCTGACCTGTTGTCCACCGAAATAAAACGAAACAGCGAGCTCTCCGAGCAAGAGTGTATTCTCTTAGCTGAGCTATACGTGTTCGTGGGAAAGATAATGGACGAGTCCACCAAAAGCATCTTGTTAGAAGCCTTTAAGATTGTCTCATGGGAAGGCCCGTTACCCATTACGGCAGCACAAATCATTTACAGTGGGACACCAGAGCACGACCCTGCTCGTGCCATATTTGTACAATCATTCTTCCGCTACGGCCAACAACAGTCGCTTGAAAGTATCCTCGACGCTGGACATCCCGATCTCTTTCGCGATATTGCTTTCTCCTTGAGTAAGCGCTGCCATAAGGCACATGACAAGGTCAAGGTTGGTCGCAAAACCGTTCTTGGAAAGAGAAGCAATGCCCCATCTTCACTTTCTATAGTGAGGTCATGGGATGAGGCTTAGCTAGATCATGTGCGTCAGCAGCTATTGGTATCTGTTTCATTTTCCTCCACTGACACGCGTCACCGAGTACAAGAACTTGACCGGTTTCCGCAAGGCTAGCCTTGCTTACGTGACACCATGTCTCGTCGAACCACATTACCAGAAGCACATGTAGGCAATATAACATACAGATTTTAGGCCCGAAAATATCATCCGCAATCATATATAGGTGCCTCGTTGCCCGTGCCTACTCGTGCCTTCTCTCCTCTGCTCATGTCTTAGTATTTAGAAACATCAAACATTCCCTTCACCTTAGATAGAAAGTGAACCACGTACTTAAGAACTATACTAGCCACGCACTACGTCAACACGATACAGTCATGCCTCCAGTTGTCTTCATATCGACCTTGGATGAGCTTGCTTCGATGCTGGCAGCCCTTCAGGACTTACCAAAATCGCCACCAAACCTGTACATCGATCTCGAAGGCAGAAACCTTTGTCGAAACGGTACGATTGCTCTGATGACCTTGCACGTACCATCCAAGGACAAGATTTACCTCGTCGACATCCATACCTTGGGTGCTCGTGCATTCTCAACGCCTGCCACAGCACCCCTTCCCAATACTGCTCTCGACACCACAGAAACCGTGGGGGACCCAGCCACGACACTGAAGGCTCTGCTTGAATCCTCCACTATACCCAAGGTTTTCTTCGACGTACGTAACGACTCAGACGCCCTCTTCGCCCATTACGGCATCAACCTCTCCTGCATCCACGACCTTCAACTCATGGAACTCGCAACAACGACGCGTGGCTCTCGTCAATATCTCGTCGGTCTCGGTAAGGTCATTGAATACAATACCTCACGCTTGTTCATTACACCTACTCAAGCGCAGTTCTCAAAAAAGACGAAAGAGGCTGGCCTCAAGCTTTTTGCCCCAGAGCACGGTGGCAATTACAAAGTCTTCGAGGAAAGGCCGTTGAGCAAGGCGATCAAGGATTATTGTGTGCAGGATGTGGTTCATATGCCTCAAATTTGGAACTTGTATAACGCAAAAATGGAAGATGGTGGATTCTGGCAAACTATGGCTTTGGAGGCTGCAGCGCGTAGGGTGGAAGAGAGTCACCAGATGGGATATCAACCAAATGGGCCGCGTAAGAGGTTTGGATGCTGGGATTCGGCACAGATTATAGAAGCACAGCAACGTTGGAACGGTGGACAACGTGCAAATCTGTGTGGTTGGTGGTAAGAGGTGCCCGGTAACGGTGAAGATTCGCGGGTGGGTCGGGTGCTTCTGCGTTTATTGTATCTTTTTGGCCAGAGGTATAAACAAACGATTTTATGGATAGGCACTCCCACTTGTTGAACTGGTCAGTTTTCAAAGTGATTTTGAAACAACACGTTTGTGTGTTATCATGCGTACCTTCACATTCACCTCTGCTCTGATCATTCGCATTTTTCAAACGCCCCAAATCCAAATCCACATTCTAGCCTTAGGCATATAACTCTTCCCAGTTATTGCAAAGCAACCAAAGCAAGCCTATAATTCAACAAAACAACAATGTCAACGTACGCCAATCAGCTTCGCGAACAAGAACTTTTCTCAGCGCTGAAATCCCAAATCACTAGTCTTTCCACCCCACTCTACGGTACACGTTCCAAAGATGCGTCAAAGGTCTACGATGTGGTTTCTTACAGCATGCCTTACGACAATGACAATGTCGAAGAGCCACCATCACAGCTAAGCTTCGGTGTAGCAATAATCCTCTACACAGGGCCTCCAGCATCACCCTTCACATCTTGGACACTAATCAGCCATGTGGAGAATCAACCCGATATAATCATTGGGGCAAATCGTTTGTTGGCGGATTTGAGGAGGGGGATGGGTCGAGTTATTGGTATGTCTTTCCACCTCTATTCTTCTTAGTCCTTTCTTGTTCGTAAGCTTGAAGCATCCCAGAGGACATGGGGAGAAAAGCACTGCCATACTGGTTAGCTAATGACGTGGCGAAAATAGGTGTTTGTATGCAGACGGGTAATTGGACGACATCACATGGGAGAATTCCCAATGTCGTTCCGGGAGTGGGCGAAGTAGAGCTAAAGGGGTGTGAGCATGAAGAGGACTACGAAGAAGATCAAGACAATATCGAACAGGACAACGAAGACGGTAAGAGAGACGATGAGAGCGACGAATTGGAGGACACCGGCAAGGGCGGCTGGAGCCCGCGATTGGAGTCTATCACAGAAGAGATATAGAAGCTTTTTGTATCAACTCTTCGATAGGCAGATGTTCTCCAGGTCAAAGATCAGTTCACAGGTATCAGTTCTGTTGGACGAAAGCAAAAATTAAGTTGAGAACACCAAAAGAACGCGAGTATCACATTGGAAAGCTACCTAAAGATACGTAAAGAGCAAATCGTGTACGTTTTCATCTGCCAGTGCCAATCGGACTCATCAGACCATTGCCACTACCGCTCGTGGGGCTGCGCACCATCATCGGCTTGATACTTTGAACAGGACTTAACGGATCTCGTTGGCTCGAACTCTGGCTGGAAGTGCCTGAGCTCAGACTGCCGCTGCCGTGACTGCGGTTGCGACCGTTGACTGGACCCGGAGTGCTGAAGGGATTGCCGAGAACATAGGCACCTGAAGCTGTGGGCTCATCGAAAGCATCGGTGAATCCAGAGACGTTAGAGAGCATTGATGAAGATCGACCGCGACCGCCACGCATAGAACCAGGAGTGCCGTTCATGTGCGAGTGCATGGAGGGGAATGTGAAGTTGGAGAGACCGTTGCTATAGGGAGACATCGTCGTGCCTGGGAGATTGCCTTCAGGAGTGGTAGGAACGGACATATGCTGGTGCGCTTGCTGAAGGAGAAGCTCTTCGTACTGCTGGACGGTCACCAAAATTTGACTGGTGGCGACATTCTGCTCTTCAGTGCGTCTTTCATAGCCGTTAATGTTACTCCGATACTGGTGCTCGACTTCAGCGCGCTGTGCTCGCAATGCCGTGCGTTCCTGTTCTCTTCGTTGCTTCGCAGTAAAGCCCTCTGCATTGGCGGTTACGAGACGGTCGTGCTGCTCGTTGAGCCTGGTTTGACGTTGCTGAAGACGCTCCCGCTTCTGGAAGGCAGTAGAGATATCGGACTCCACACTTTGCACTTGTCGCTCAATCTCCTCCTTGGTCTTGTCAAATTCGCTAGCAACGGTATTTTTGTTGTTACGCTCCTTCTTCCACTCTGCCTTCTTAGCTGCCGCCTCTTTAGCCTCATCCTCGGGAATGCTTCCCAGGTTTTCTGCTTGAACAGCGAACTCGGCGGCAGCATCTTCAGCCTGGCGGATGTTCTGCGTGAATTGGAGGACGCGCTGACGTTGGCGCTCGTCACTACCTCCGGCGTTGGCAAGGCGGTTGCCCAGCGTGTCCACCTCTTTCTTGATGTTGGTAATGGCTGTTTTGTGGTCCTTTTTGTTTCGCTTCAGGCGGTTGCGCTGCTCCTGCAGTTGCTGGTCGGCTGCGGCAATCGAATTCTTCAAGGTTGTCGTCGGCGAAGAAGGTCGTAGGGTCTGATGTGCTGGCGGAGAGGCGATAGAAGCTGAGGCTGGAATACGCATTAGCATGGAAAGGCTACTAGAGTGGACTGACTTACCAAGTTCGGTCACTGGACTGGCCGAGGTAATAAGGCTCGCTGAGTAGAATACTTCGTTGTCGTTGGTCCGAACAAACTCGCAGTAGTAGTTTGAGAGAGCCGTCAGACCAAATATTTCTCCAACCCAGTAGCCCATTCCCTCTTGTCCCTGGAAACCTATCGGCTCGCTTTGTCGGATGCGGGTTGAACTCCAATCAGCACCGTTGACACGGATGTAGAATGGCTTTGACTTGTCTATCCCAGATCCGACACTAGAATCTTCCTCATCCTGCTCTTGAAGGCCAGCTCCACCAGATAAACTAACACGAAATGAAATGTCGGAAAAGCCGACTTCTGAAATCCAAACACGATCGTCCTCCGATCTCCAAACAGCGTTTCCAATGTGATTTGCGTCTTTTGCATTAGCCTCGTCGGCGTCGTTGGCCGCCCGGCTACTTTCCATCTCTTTTAAAACTGTAACTTTTGTACTGGCAAGTGCAGCCCAGAAGGGCTGCTGACTACGAACATGAGTAGCTTGCTTCCTCTTCCTTCTACCCGTGCTCGCCTTGTCCTTGAGAACTGCAGGCGAAGGTCCCGGTGGGCGGCCATCTGTACTCGAAGAATTGGGCACGTCGGCGGTGGGGTCGAGGTTGGTCGAATTGGAACGTTGTAATGTCCCAGACTCAGGATCTGTCTTCTTGCCAGTGGGCAAGGTTGCATGTTCTCTTCGAGAAAGAGAGCGTCGGATGATACGAACGACGCCTTGGGCCAAAATATGAATACCCAGGAGGCTGCGGGGCCATCCGTGGGGGGTCGAGAAGCTTTCCAAATATGTTGGCGTACTCGGCGGGCTCGTCAAGAATTCAAGGCCTCCCCGGGCGAGCCCCGTCCAAAGGAAGTGGACGATGTGTTGCCGGAGAGGCCTGAATCTGAAGACGTGGCTTGAAAGAATAATGACGAAGCATATGACAATGCTATTCGTCGTGCCCTTCTTCCCGGCAGCGGCGCCTCCGAGGGCTATTGCAATGACGGCCTGTGCAAGATCGAGGAAGAAATTCTGGGCAGGCACCCACAGCAGCAGCCATATCAGCAATATGACAGTATCAGCAATGATTGTGGTGAAGAGCGAGGGCGTGCCGCCGGAGCCCTGGAAGATGTCGGTGAAGGAGGGGAAGGCAGAGAGGGCGGAGAGGGGGGTCCCGGCCTGGGGCGGGACAAAAGTAAGCGTTGCGAACAAGAACTGTACGACGGTGAGGACGGTGGGGGGAAGTTGGAGGAGGATGATGAGGATGGCGAGAACGTCCCGCAGAGGACAGGACGTGAGAATGGTGGCGGGCACCGAGAGCATGCTAGCCATGGACATGGAGGCCGTCTTGGAGGTGTTTGTGTCGGCGCGGCGGAGAGCTGAGGGCATGGGATCAAAGGGCCCGTTGGAGCCATTGTCGTACGAGCGACAGGCCTCGACGGGATTGTCGAGCGAGGCATCTGAAGCTGCGCGCGTGCGCTCCCCGCGGCGGGCAGAAGGTGCAGCGGCCATGGTGGTGTTGACGTGGGCACTCGACCCCGGTACTGGATCGTGAGCGCTGGCCGGCTGCGTCATCTCGGGCGTGTCTACATGGCTGGGGACCGGCGGCGTGGGCTCGTGAGTCTTGCCGTTGGCGTGGCCATTGAGCTGCGGGTTGCTCTTCTGCTTGGTGATCTTCCTGCCGGGGGCCGCAAGGCCATTCTCGTGTCGCTTGTCGTGCGCCGCGTTCCTCTTCGACTTCGCTACCATAGACGGCGGTGCGGGTGCAAGCGGGCAAACCTCTCCCTGGCGCGACTCGACTGCTGCACAGGACGAGCCAGGACTGGAAGATGTTGAGCCGCTGCTCGGTGGGGGGGATGTGAGGGTGTCGTGTGCTGCTGGGCGAGATGTAGTAGGGGAGCGAGGAAGGTGCCCTGCGCCTGCTCAGTCGTGCCTTCCGCCGGATGGACTGGTGCCAAGACTTGCAAGTGCTAAACGTCAAATGCAAAGTCAACCAAGAAAACCCGTCCACAAGCCTCGAGCGAGTGGGCCACGGCACCATCAGAGCACTGACAAGCCACGATGCACCTGCCGCTTGATTTGCCTGTCTCTTCCGAGGCTCCACGTCTTTTGAGATGCCCGAACCGTGGTTTCACCACGACCGCCCGCTTCACATGCACATCACATCCTCTCTTTCGACGCACCACACCGGCGGCAAAATTCCATGTGCCCGGCTTCTACCGCTTCATGGCAACCATGCTGCCAGCATATCTTGATGCTGCTGCCACGCAGATCAGCCGAACTGTGTCCGATTCCAGTTCACGATGCCGATCTTGACCACGACCAGGAAGCCATAAATGCTCTTTACCTGGGAAGCGAAGACCGGCCTGTCCCTCTCGGGCTGCCATTTCGCCTCTCTCCCACCTCATCTCGCCTTCGTCTACATAAATTCTCCGCCTGCTTTCTTTTCCATATCGCACAGCTGCATCGCCCGCCAGACAAACACATCTTCTGGGGCAGCCAATTAGCCTGCGCCGGCTTCTTTAGCTTACCTGCTCATTTGCGTGCGCCAGGACCCCCCTGAGCCATAGCAAGCTCCTGGAGCGAATAAAGGCGCGCTTTGTCTGTTCACCGCATGGCCTGAAGTCTCTGCAGCGGGCAAACCCCGCCGACGCTATTACTCACGTCGCCGTCACGACCATGTTCCATACGCGTATAGAGCGCTTCTGCCTAGATACTCATTGCTACATCTCGAGTGCACACCAAGTCTGGAAAGCTCATGCCACTCATTGCGCCACATGCTCTCGAGTATGCTGACCCGGGTCTTTGTCGGCATCTCAGAGTGGTCGGAGCATTTTCATCAATCTGTGTTCCCTCGAGGCGAGCATAGCGCGCAAGCCTTCCGCCTGCACATCCATGACCCTCTTCCGCCCTCTGCATTATGCCGGCGTGAAGCTTAACCAACCACGCCAATCGCAGCCCATTAGACTTGCGAATGAGGCAAGCGGGAACATCACGCGCGCAACGGGCTTGCAGATCTCTGCAATAGGTAATTAGAACATCCCATCAAAGTGTACATCACTGTGGTGAGAATCACGCCATGTTGTGGATACGTTCGTAGTTTATCTTTTTTCCATATCGCTTGCAGAGATACGCTTGTATCCGACTGCCATAAGCCGAATTCGGACACGCGAGCAACCCCGCGTGTTTTCCGCCCATGCAGCTGCAGGGGTATCAATGTGTGATGATGATAGATATGACGATACCTATGTAACGCCGCTAGTCAATCCTACTCTACGACTTGTATTGTCATCGATCAGCGTTGCCGATAGCTTCGCAGTACCGAGGCAAGTGCTTTCACGGGCCAGGGGAAATCGGACATCAGGACACAATTTCACGAATCTTAAGTATAGACCGACGTATGGGCTTTCAGGGTCTGATATCGAGTTTTTTTGCAAGTATATCCATGTTCTACTGATTCGCGCTACCAAAGTCTTCCTTAGCATCCGGTCTATCCCAGCTGCTCTTCTCTAGCTCCCTAACTCTGTCCAACAGGATTCTGACTCTGTTGCTGTTCTTCTCTTTGGCTTCTTCCTGTAGCTTGAATGTCTCTTGTAACTTCTTGATCATGAAAGGTGGCAAAGGCGACTTCTTAGCTGTGCGGTAGTCGTATGTAACGATGTCTTCGACACAACGTGCTGCTGGACGACGCTGTGCTTCTGAAAGGATCATTACGTCCAAGATGAAGTGGTCACTGTTTTCAGACGGGTTGTCCCGAAGCTTGTGAAGTACGGTAATCCTGATAGTGAATCCGTCAATCGTTGCTCACTGTCCATCGTTGGAGATCATACCTATCAGGCCATTTCATAGGCTACATCTTTTTAGCAGATGTTTTGAAAGTTGAGCAACCGGAGTTCCTAGCGTTCGGTACTCACAAACTTGTAGTCCGTCTTGATGCTTCTCAAGATCAAGCCGACGCTCTTTGGGGTCATGAGCTCCGTCCATTCAGCTTTATGCTGTGGATCCATTGCGGCGAAGTTCAGCGTCCAGTTGACTCTAGCCGATTCCGCATACCGGTTGTACATGACATTGTTGACGTGACCTGTCTCATATTAGAGCTGTGTATCTGAGACTCGGGCATAGAAATAAGTACCCTTCACATCTATTAGTATGGGTCAAACTGCATCTTTTCCCGGACGTCTTACCATGCTGTCCTACACACAGTCGTGACTTATGTTAGCCGGTGTACACAAGTTTGCTGGGTGGTACTCCAACCATTTCTCCCCATACCACCTCTTGTCGGTAGAGACCTCGCCATTGCTTGCCTGTGAGGAAGCCTTCGCTTCCAGCTACAAGTTCTCTCCCTACAGATTACATGTTCAGCTTATATTCAGGCGATCAGAACATACGAGTGTGATCTTACAGTCTACCGCAGTTTCTTGTAATATCGACCCAGCTTCTTCAATCTGTGCGGGGTTCATTCCGAAATTGATGCATTTCCCGATGCGTGTTCGGACGTCGGATAGCCATCTTGGGCTGAGAGCTGCAGTGGCTGGTGCTTCTGCATCAGTCTTCTAGTTAGCCACCGGAATGCTAAGGCTCAAAATTGTCTCTATTCGCTCGTGTGTGAATTTTGAGCATACGGCATGATTACTTCGTTGGCAATGCTTCGTGATCCATTTCCTTCTCCTTTTGGCCAAATTGTGCATGTCATGATCATATGTAAATAATGCAGTCTTACTGCTAGAAACGATGAATTTAAAACCACGTACCGCTCGAAGTAGACTGATACCGCACATAAGGAACTCTCTGTACAACCGGAACAACCAGCCACGTGGGTTTGGAGCGAAAAAGCGCTAAGCGCCCCAACGGTCGCACAGCACTCATGATTGCCAAATTTACAGGCCAATGAGAGATCAAATGCGGTGGTCTTCACAAACCGTTGTAGCAAGCCCTTGAGAACTAGGGCGTTTCTTTCCGAGGATGCGGACGGAGAAGACAAGCCGAGGATCCGCTTCCTCCACGGCCAGCTATCTTCATCCTCAAGTTCGCTAGCCGCAACATACGTCAGGGATGCGGGCCCGAGCGTTTGCTACAATTACTCCGCATCAAAGACACGTAATTGACATCTGACAGCCATCAAAACCATTTTTTTCTATTTCCGTATATTCATCTGTCTACAAACTCGAACATGGCTTCCCCAAATCCCACGCTTCGCCACCAGGTCATTCGGATATACAAGGGTGCGCAGAAGTGCTCGACCGAGGCTCTTCCCGATTATGCAGATGGACTAATGGCATGTAGACTTGCTTTTCATGGGCCGTGAATATCCTCAGGGATACGATTACTTCAGAACACGTCTGCACAAGGCATTTGCAAGCCAAAAGAATTTGACCGATGAAGCCAAAATCAAGCAGGGTATTGAGAGAGCGGAATACGTGAAGAAAGGTAAACTCGTCTGGAACGAATCCGACTAGGACAAAGCTAATCATTGTGATCTAGAAATCGAAGCACTGTATGACCAAATAACTCAACAAACACGATTGGAAGCTTTCCCTAACTAGATTCAGATACTATCTGAAGCGTTATCGCACCTTGCGCCAGCGCTACGACAAACTCGCCTGAACGCCCCAAAAAAGAATACCCAACGCTTTGCCGACGGTGTGGCCTTGCGAAGACCGGGATATCACAGAAAAGACAAGGTACGCCCGCTCTTCGAACTTTACACCTTCTTGCACCACCAGATGCCTACTTCCAGACACTCACCACTCGAGGCACCTTTCTGCTCAAGCAGATCGTTGATCATCGAGTTCCAATAACGCTGCCATTCCTCCTGGTTCTTTCCGCTAACTTCTTTGAGTAGAGGCTCCAGACTCTCGATCAGTTGTATGACGACAAGCAATGCGGTGTGTCTCAGAGCCGCTTGTTCCTTGGTCAAAATGGAGCTCTCCAGCATCGCGCTTCCCTTCTTGAGCTTTCCAGCCTCGCTTCCACGCCGCTTCATCGTCTCGCCCGCAGCCTCGCGCTCCCACCGTGGTTCACCAAGAGGGATTGCTACCCTGCGGCTATTCATGTCGCACAGGGTATCCGTCTCCTGGAGGATGATCTGCGCTATACGGGAACAAGGGGTTGGCGAGAGCTTGCGCCGGTCCAGCGCTTCTTGAATCCAAGAGTTGGAGTCTTGGAGGTACTTGTTCTGCACATCGGTAAAGGGCGTTGTATGCGAGATCAGGAACGTGCCAGTCGACTCGGCAACAGCGTACTCTTCAGGGTCTTTGCCTGGCGGAGGAGGAGGATGTGGCTGGATCGATCGGATAATGTGGTCCGTCTCCCATATCTCCAACGTGCCCTTGGACTTCAGGACCCGCGTACACTCATCGAGTATTCTCTGCGACGGTACTCCCAAGGGTATCACCATACTCAGGTCCTTCATGACGACGATGTCGAATTCCTCATCGTCGAATGGCATGGGCAACTTGCGCAGATCATGCTGCACAAACTTCCAATCGATGCCCTGGCGCTGTAAGTCCCCCGCGAGGTTGACGATATCGAGACCGGTGAAGGAGACATCTTCGTGGCCTAGGTCTGCTTACGGTCAGCTCTGAACGATAACTGTGCAAGTTGTGCGTGGCGCCCGGAAGAGGGCGCAATCCGCAACTACCTGGACTTCGGAACACATACTACTCAGATATTCATGACACACGGCGGACCAGTATCCCGAGCCACATGCAATCTCCAACACTTTTCTCGGGGGGTATGACGGGGTCGAGCCCAAGGCTTTGCCGAAGACAGCTGTCGCAAGGAGGGTTTGTAGGTTCTGGCGGTGGAGTTCGGGCAGGTCGCATGGGAGCGGATAGCCCTGAGCGCTTCGAATGTAGCGGCGGCCGTGGCGCAATATGAAAGGTTCGGTGGAGGGGACGCCAGGGTCGTCTCTGATGCTTTGGGTGGAGCTGCTCGACATGGAGCCCCGCGTTATATCCATGTTGTTGTTTGGGTGGAGGCGTGGGCCGGAGGAGGCAGACGCTGAGGAGGCGGATATGGTTCTACCGAGAGCGTCTGTGGTGGTCAGATCCCATTGCTTTGCTTCGACCGTCTTGGGGCGTATGGGCGGGCTGCTAGCGGCGTTGGAGCCGTAGTAGCGATACTGTGGTTCAAATTAGCAACAAAGGTTCTCCCGTAGAGCGCCAACAGTGTGTTCTTGCCAACTGCCAATCACCCATGGAGACGACCTGGAAGCGTGCTCGAGGTTATCCAGCCTACTCCAACCCTTGCCCCACTGTTTTAGCGGGAGCGCGATATTGGGCCGGTCTTTAGTCGTCTGATAAGCACGTGTAGGCGAGTCAGCAATTAATGAGCGGAACGGCGGAGCGGACGCGATGGCGGGAACAGTGCTCGACTGGAGAGAGATCAGATCAGAGAATGGAGCCAGCATGCCGTGTATGTGTGAATGTAGTAGCTTCGGCACAGCTCCGGTTGTGGGAGGCAGCTCAGGTGAGGAGCTGCCAGGCCAGCCGAGGAGACATCTCCAATCAAACGACTGCAGCTGCGGCTGTGTGAATCCCCAGGTTCTCCATGGCAATAAACATGGCTAGGCTGTGCGAGCGCCGCCGCGAAGGAGCAGCTTTTGGTGATGTGGCGCTCGTCTGCAGGAGCGCGGCATCAGCCGAACCTGTCCTGCAGGTGATATTCCAGCGTGGGGAAAGCCCGAGTCTAGCAGTAACAAGCTCACGGTGTATGCAGTGCACGACGGATACGAGGACCACCGGGAAGGGGTTCTCGGAGTCACCAACAATCATGGACTATGTGAGCTGACTGTTGATACATAACCTGATGCGTGGTAGCAAATAGGTACAAGCTAAAAGTGCATAGAAATGCGTCGTTGCTGGAGTCGCATTCATGGAAATCAATGTGCATTTACGCATGACGAATGCTGCCATTTGTTTCAAGGCTGCAATGTATACCATTAGCCTTCCAGCGCGCTCGATCCAGGCCAGGTCGCGAGTGAACAGATGGGCAGTTTCATGGCTGTGGATCGACGCTTCCATGTCACGTGTCCCGCTAAGCGGCGCTCCCCATGGATCGGACAAGGTTCGACTGGGCTTCACGTATCGCATCACTACGCTCTCTATTCTTCACAGCGCTGCAGTTGGACCCGCCCACAGTCTGTCTGGTACAATTGAGACTGATTACCCTCCTGCGCGCCCTTTGACATCCTCAGCTGCCGTACGTGCGCCGCTTCCACACGCTTCTGCCGCCCTCTCCAAGCTCCACGTCCAACCTCTTCGATTCCCCGCTACACCAACTGACAGCTCCAGAACAGTACAAGCCCGCCGGGATATCGATACGAGCCCTGTGCCAAAGGCCTTTATTACCAACACGCCCCCGACCCCCCAGACGCCGCCCCCCTCGCTCGCTGTCGAGTCCCCGCTCCAACATCTCCCTCACTCGCGACCCGCCGGGCTGTCGATACATGCCATACGGGTGCCGCGTCTGTTAGCGCGTGCTCATGTCGGAGAGTCATCCGGGCGCCCATGTTAAAACGAAGAAGATCGCGTGCCCGAACCCTTCCTCCCACCTGACGCCCTCGCTCGCCTTGAAAACCCACGGCTTTCACCCTCCATACGCAAAGCCGCCTGCGGGAATCCGTCCTCCCTCCGCCGCGATTCCCTTAGATGGCCGAGTACTCGGTCTACCCCAGGGGAACCGGCAATACCTTCTATCCACAACACGCACAGAATATACGCAACCTCCCCAGCCGAGTGCGGTCACCCACATCTAGCGCCCGCATACCTTTCCCCAACCCCGACACCCCCTCACCTTCGCGATCCCCTGGGCGCCAGTCTTCTCCGCAGCAGTTCGGCATGTTCAACAACGCCCATGGGCACCAGGGCCAAAACGTTATGATGAACGGGCGAGCTGGGCACCAGAATTTCATGCAGCAGATGAATCTGGGGAAGCCTTTCCAACACAACCAGCACAACCAACATCAGCACCAACATCACCAGCAGCACCATGACATCACGGGAAACAACCATGTCAGCCAGTTCAACCACCAGCACAACATCTCGAGTGGGGGCATGTCCAATGTTCAGCCCCACTTTACGCCGGGGCATCTCCAGAACGGTACACCCAATAGCGTCCACAGCGGACTCAACAAGGCGACAACCGAGCACTGGCAAGAGCAGATGAAGCTGTACCAGACAGCCCGTGAAATGACGCAGGCTCATTCTCACGCCAGGATCCACCCGAGCGTTAGTAAGAGTGTTGTGGCAGGAACAAGCAATGGGATGCAAAAAGAGGCAGACAAAGAAGAGCGCAATAGGCCTGCTGCTCAGCCGGCGCAAGATGCCAAGGACCAACACATATGGACAATTCTTGACTTTGGCGGCCAGAACCTCAAAGTCATCACACCCGCTTTGTTCAATTACACCTTCCTAACCAAGCTCTACCTCAACTCGAACAAGCTCACGTATGTGCACCAGAAGATTGGACAACTACGAAACTTGACACACCTGGATCTCTCCCTGAACAATTTGCAATACCTGCCCCCGGAGATTGGCATGCTAGTGAACCTGAAGCAGCTGCTCCTGTTTGACAATCACATCGAAAACTTGCCGTACGAATTGGGCTCACTATACCAGCTAGAGATGCTTGGTATTGAGGGCAATCCCATTCCGGACGACTTGAAACAGATCATGATGGAACAAGGCACCACGGAACTCATCAAACACTTCCGCGAGAACGCGCCTGGTCCTGAAGCGCCACCGGAGCGAGACTGGATCGTTCTCGACGAGATCCAAGATACAAACCAAGAGACTGTCAGTGCGCTTAGCTACAACATTCTGTGCGACAAATACTGCACACAATCACAGTATGGATACACGCCGAGCTCAGCGCTGGCATGGGAGAGCCGTAGGGAGCTCATTCTTGCTGAGTTGCGCGAGCGTGACGCAGATATAGTATGTTTGCAAGAAATCGACCAAGACAGTTTCAACGAGTTCTTCCGAGCAGAGCTAGCACACAACGACTACAAAGGAGTGTTCTGGCCGAAATCAAGAGCACGCACCATGGCAGAAAGGGAGGCCAAACTTGTCGATGGGTGTGCTATCTTTTATAAGAACAGCAAGTAAGTCGATCGATGTGCACATCTTCATCTGCAGACTAATGCTGACTTGCCTAGGTATATCTTGCTGGACAAGCAGCTCATCGACTTTGCCAACACTGCCATCAACCGCCCAGACATGAAGGGCGAACACGACATCTTCAACCGCGTCATGCCCCGAGATGACATTGGAGTGGTCGCATTCCTTGAAAACCGTGCTACAGGATCCAGGTTCATCGTCGGAAACGTGCACGTCTTCTGGAACCCTGCGTTCCAGGACGTCAAGCTTGTACAAGTTGCCATTTTGATGGAGGGTATCACGAAACTTGCAACTCAATGGACAAAACACCCAGCCTGCAAAAACAAGGTGGTGTACCAATTCACAAACGGCGATAGTGAAGAAGGAGCAGAGCCCGATCCGACACAGGAACCAGGACCTTCCAAGGAATACTCGGATCCCTCCGACATCCCTGTCTTGCTATGCGGTGACTTCAACTCGATGCCATCGTCTGGTGTCTACGATCTCATCACGCACGGCAATGTGTCGAATGCTCACGTGGACCTGGGAAACCGCAAGTATGGTAATTTCACACGAGACGGCATATCCCATCCCTTCAGCCTCAAGTCCAGCTATGCATCCATCGGCGAGTTGGCGTTCACCAACTACGTGCCTCACTTCCAAGGAGTTTTGGACTACATTTGGTACTCGACAAACACACTGCAGGTGGTTGGTCTGCTTGGTGAGATTGACAAGGGCTATCTCCAGCGGGTACCGGGTTTCCCCAACTACCACTTCCCTAGTGACCACGTGGCCTTGTACGCGCAGTACATTGTCAAGAACCGGAAAGAGGCGAAGAAGGTATCCGAAGTCGACTTTGGCCCAAGTCGGGAACGAAGGAATTGAGCGACTCGACGTCGTTTGGCCTCTGGGCATGTCAATAGGCTTGTGGTGCAGCAATCTCCGTCGTTTTCCAGGCGTCATTTGCTCGGTGTTCGGTTGCTATGGTCGGCCCGCGTCCTTTGCGGGCTTCATGATGGAAGTTTTAGGTTTGGCAACGGCGGGTGAATCGCTCGATAGACGGTGCGCGGTCTGATCATCTTGGGAGGTATGAGCAATGCCAGCGGTTAGTACACGAATCTCACATCATGTTTGTTGTTCAGTGTGGGGAACATGTTTGCAGGGAGCCTGACGATGGAAGGACCATTACTCTCTTTTTGATGTGCGAAGCGTTTGGCTGTATGCGGCTGGTGTTTTCCGGCATGGGTTGTTTGATCTATCTTGTGGGTTCTTCTTGCGTTCATCTTTTCTGCAATGTATCAATTAGGTAGTGTTTCAAAAAGGCCTTGTCGACTGCTTTGTAGCAGGTCTAGCTACGGTTTTACCGTTCAACATGGTCACGATGCATGTGTGGTGTAACATGGGCGAGTAAAACGTGTGCAGTCGCTATGAGCCAGAGATGCCGTCATGGGGCAGTGTCGGCGGCGACAATTCGCTGGGAAGAGCCGTCAAGGAGCAGGCCGAATGATGATGAGGGGAAGGGTCCTAGACGGGCGCTTGACCGCCGCGAACTGGACCCACTTGGTCAACATGGACGTCCGCGCTCCTCGATAACTTCCCTCAGGCCGCGCAACACGCAATTACCCACCAACTCTTTAGAACCTCGGAGTGACCTCTTTTCTCCTAAATTCTGAACAAGATGGCTGCCGCTGCCACCAACGAGCTGAAGCTCGACCCCAAGTACGACCAATACGACTACCCTACCGTTGCTCCCACCGCCCAAAGTGGACACCCAGGCCACACAACTCCAGAGCAAGATGCCCAAGTCTTCCAGCTGAGGACCCAGCTGGAGCAGGCTGGCCACACCAAGAACCTCGACACTCTGACTCTGGTATGCTCGTCGGTGCCAAGGCGGTGAAAACATGTCAAGCTAAACAGTTCACAGCTACGATTCCTCCGCGCGCGAAAGTTCAATGTTGAGCTTGCCAAGCAAATGTACGTAAACCTCGCAGAAGAAGAGCACATGGGTGTGAATAGAACGCACGCTGACCATCACCAGGTTCGTTGACTGCGAGAAGTGGAGGGCCGAGTACGCTGGCTGCGGTGTTGATGAGCTGGTCCGCACCTTCGACTACAAGGAGCGACCCGAAGTCTTCAAATATTACCCCCAGTACTACCACAAGACGGACAAGGTATGTGGCCTATACTTGGGCGCAGGATAGGGCCCACATTCACCCAAGAAAAACCTCTGACGTAGATACCAGGATGGCCGCCCAGTCTACATCGAGCAGCTCGGCAACGTCGACCTCACCGCACTCAACAAGATCACCTCTCAAGACCGTATGATCCAGAACCTTGTCTGCGAATACGAAAAGATGGCCGACCCCCGTCTCCCTGCCTGCTCCCGCAAGTCTGGCTACCTCCTCGAGACTTCGTGCACAATCATGGACCTGAAGGGTGTTGGTATCGGCAAGGCTACCTCTGTGTACGGTTACTTGGGTGCTGTGTCCCAGATTGGCCAGAATTACTACCCAGAGCGTATGGGCAAGATGTACATCATCAACGCCCCCTGGGGCTTCTCCGGTGTCTTCAGCGTCGTCAAGAAGTTCCTCGACCCCGTCACAAGCGCCAAGATCCACGTTCTCGGCAGCGGATACCAGAAGGAATTGTTGGCACAGGTCCCCGCAGAGAACCTACCCAAGGAGTTCGGTGGAAGCTGCCAGTGTGAAAAGGGTTGCCAACTGAGCGATGCGGGCCCATGGTGGGATCCCCAGTGGGCAAAGGAGCCCAAGTGGGCCAAGAAGAGCGACGACGCGATTGATAACTCAGCACTTCCTGCACCTACTGAGGGCACTGCAGGTACTGCACCAGCTGCGCCTGTCGGCACTGACCCTGCTACTGCACCCGCACCCGCCACTACTTAGGTAGAGTGTCTTATTGAGGCGACGAGGGTTGTATAGAGTAGCAACGGTTTGGCGTAGGGGCGTGACATTCGATAAGGGGTGTGTGAGTTGCTCGCTGATTGCAAGATAGATAGGCGTGGTAGGTGTTCACGCGTTGGCATAGCAAGTGTAAAATGTCATCACAAAGCATATAAGAGTTCAACAAGCACGCATTGAGTGAAGCGCTTTGCACCTCTCTTGTGTATGGGACTTCCTACACGAGCCGTCCTATCACCACATTGAGTTTTTAGTTTTCACGGCACTAACACGGCTTACTTACTACAGTTTCGTGGCGATGACAACAGATAATGTTGACACTAGGACAACACTCTTCTCGAATCTTTGCATGTTGGGACGACTCAATGACCATATTTGCTGCTAAACATCTGTAGGTATGTTACTCCATTGCAAGACTGAGGTTGTTCATGGGCGCCAGCCGGCACAGTCACCCTTCTCCTCTCTCACGCCAAATCCAGTTTCTTCATACGCTGCTTGATTAACTTCTCGCCCTATCAGCTCAATATGTCGGTCATCAACGACTCAAAAGAATCCTGATCTCGTTATACGATCAGTTCAGGCCAGGTTCGCATGATACCTAGAGACGCTTTACGTATGTGTTCTCGCATGGTCACCATATCCGTTCTTGTCGCTGATTCATGTAATGCAGAATGGCGCTCTATCCATCAGAATTTAATCATTTGCCATCTGCGAGCTCTGCGTCCTAGCTACGATGCTCATGGACCATACTACCAAGGAGATTATTCTGGGGACGATTCCTGATCAATGTAAAGGTCTTCCATTTGAGTACCCCATTTCAGAGCCAGTCGCAATCTGTCCATTCTATAAAGGTGCTATCAATACTAGACCCGCTCGTCGTTTGATGGTCGAAATGTGCAGCCAAAGAGGGTATTCAAGACTGATTGACTGAGAATCTGTGCAAGGATTTCCTCCTCAACCTATCTGTCAGTCTCATTGCTAATCGCCCCGTACTGACCAACACAACAAGACTCACGCTAAGTGGTCTGCTGAGACGAATTCCTTGATCCCAAGGAACGCTCATCTGTCCGACTCAGATAAGGAACTGTATGCACACACGAAACCTCTAGCGACTCAGCATCCCCAACTTCAGACTTCGAAAAACAAGAAGCGCACAATCGACAGTGACGAAACTGACGATGGCAGTTGGGAACGTGAGATGCGTAAGAGAAAGAAGAAGATACCTCCCATAGATGTTCATGGACATTGATGGTCATCCTGTAGATATGTCTGAGGATGATTCTGACTTTCTCGAAGATTGGTCTATGACATCGGATGCAACCTCGTGAAACACAAAGACGAAGGTCGTGATTGGTTCCCGAAACGTTAAAGCGAACCCTGCTTTAGCTGTGAGTACACCTGTACAAAATCGATGTGAGACTCATGCTGACCATACATACCACAAACTAGCCTGACGTGCACACAGCCAACTAGAAGAAGGGCAAAAGCTACGTGCAGATGCAACCCACCAGGTTCCGGGGCATGATCATAGGTTTGTACCGTGGACAATGGCATTCGAGAAATCATCACAAGAAGCTTGAGATAAAGATGAATGCATGTATAGGGCGATCATATTGTCTGTTCACCAATGCTGTAGAACGTTTGTGCAATGTTTGGTATTGTATGCTGTTCTAGTACGGATAGCTAGACCTGATGTTGTGCTAGGTATGAAAGAATGCCTTCTCATCAACCCGGTGTCGAGACAAAGTTAGATAAGGAGCCTGTACGCATTCTTATGACGTGTTGTCCCGGTTTAGAATGCAATCAGCAGCTATATAAACTCAAGAGTCTTACAAACTCATATCGATCAATATTGACGTCTACCCGCACAGCAACTGTATTGCAAAACTCAACAGACTTGGTACATTCTCACACAAGACAACAGCATAGGACTCACGATGGTACAATGTACAAAACTAATCATGAAGTCAGATAGCTTTTGATAGATTACCAGGTATGTGAGTATCAGATAGATCAGCAGCGAAAGACCAGTAGGGCGACACGAGGCACCCCAGATCCATAATCGCGTAGTTTCCCATAGCGATGCTCCTACTCGCCGAGAGCAGTGAGAAAAAGGAGAAAGCGTACGTACAGTACACGCCCAAGAAACCATCAAGATAGTAAGCATACCATCATAACGCCGTGCTCCAATGTATACATGCATCCGGAAAACACAGTAAGCTTATGCCTACGACATTGTTAGACCGCCAATAAACCACGCGGTAGTGATGTCAGCTTGCAGCACTCTGCGACTAGATACGGTGCTTCTCCGATTCTGTACATGAGGTTAGCTTTTGGATATTGCAAGTTGAGACAGACTACTAACCAAGTCGCGAGTACAGCATGTATAGTGCCATTTGGTTACACTCTTGTGTACCTGTAATGGTGACAAGACGCTCGTTGCTATTGTCAGTGGGCTCGTTGATTTTGATGACACTGCCACTGAGCTGACGGATCTCATTGATCTTCGCACCACCCTTGCCGATGATAGCGCCAACCATATCGTTGGGGATGAAAATCTGCTGAGTGAGAGGTTGGCCGGGCATGCCACCGACCGCTGCATGAGGAGCAGCACCACCATGCGCAACAGGCGCTGCAGCAGGGTGACCACCGTAAGGAGTGGGAGCTGCAGGACCACCGTAGGGACCGCGGCTAGGCGAACCAGCTCCATAGGGCATGTTGGGATGTCCATATGGCGATTGTTGAGGAGGCTGTCCATGCATGTGGGGAGCACCATATCCTCCATGAGCGGGGGTTCGCTGAGGTGGTTCTTGACGACGGAAGTTCTGCGGGTGAGAGTACTGACCCCCGGCGGGCTGGGGAACGTATGGCTGAACAGACATGCCACCAGGAACTACGTTGGCAGCCATGCCGCTGCGGGTTGCGTATTGGGACGCAGCGGGACCGCCGAATCGCTCAGTCAGCTGCTCGACCAGGGTCTGAGCAACATAGTACACAGCAATGTGTACAGCGTCAGCAACACCCAGGACGATCAGCGAACGCTCGCCAGAGTTGGGTAGGAGAGTGTCAGATGCGTTCAGCTTAGCGTTGGAAGCGTCTTGAATCTCACGGATGCGAACACCGGCTTTTCCGATAATGGAACCAATGAGGATGTGAGGAATGAGGAGGCGCATAGGGTACGCCTTGGAGGTGGATGTCGAAGGAGTCTCGAGATCCTCCTGGTTGAGGGTGCGCACAATGAGGCCGAATGCTTTGGACACAGCATCAACCTGACCGCTTACAGTAAGGATACGTTCAACAGCGCCTCGAGAGTAGTCGCTAACGGTGCACTTGGCGCCAGACAGACGACGGATCTGAGTTACATTCTCTCCGCCCTTGCCAATGATAGTAGCCGCCTCGCTGGTGCCAATACAAGCACGCACATGTAGCCAGTTGGTCTCGTCCACCTGCTGGTTGTGATTCACAGGCCGACCATTAGCACCGGATGTGGATTGGATAGGCTGGGTTTCAAGAATAGAAGGGGCGTCGGGGACAACAGTATCCGTTTGGATAGTCTCGTCACCATTTTCAACCACAGTCTCGGCCACTTCGGGTACTGCTTTCACATCCTCTTGCGTGATGCCTTCTGTGGCAACATCATCGGCCTTGACAGGTTGGGCAACATCGATATCGTCAGGGTTGGGCGCGTTCTCCTTGAGCATCTTATCGAGGGCCGGGCGCTTGGCATCGGGTTGGTCGTTGGGACCGGTAGGCGAGGAGGGCTCTTCAAGCGGTCGCTTGGCCGAAGAGGCTGCGATGGTGGGTGATGCAGACATGATCTCTGTGTATGAGTTGTGGGTCTTGAATCTTGAAACGGATATGCACGCTCTTCACAGTCGACGCGCGCTCAAACGGGATGTTGAGATTTGTTCAATTGATCTCGACTAATTGCGACTTTTATGTACAGCTGGGGCCGTGAAAGAAAGCGTGCTGTGAGGGCGGATGGAGGGAGTCGCGACAGTGCGGTGAAGGTGCGTGGCTGTGAGGTCGCCGGGAGCTTGAAGGAGTATGGAGCGTGCAGAGGGTGCAGTGGTCGGAGAAGGGATGCCTCGGAGAATGAGGAACCGTGTATGATGGTGCTTGTGATGGAGCGGGAGAGTCGGAAAGGGTGTGTGTTTCTTGGGGCGAGGTGAGGTCGACAGACGAAGAAACTGGCCCAAGGAAAGAAAGCTCGCTCGTCAAACCTTCTCGGCAACGGTCCGGCGTCTCAGATGGGAGAGCTCGAGGTTGCGTGCTTTCCTTCTCAAACGAGAAAGCAATGTTAGAAGAAGGGGTCGCGATGGAGATGGAGAAGGAACTATTGCCGATGGTTGAGAGCAGCAGGTGGTTGGATGAGAGGAGGTAGCGCAAACAACGCAAAATGGGAGCTATCGCGGGGAGATCGGCGCTAAGTCTTGGCGCGTCACGTGTAGTTCTACAACTTTGTCTGGAAACACAGGCAGTGCAAGGTGTGAAGCAGTGGTGAATCTCCACGTGGTGCAGCGGGAACTGCAGTGAGTTCAAAGTCGAAAGGGGTGACGTTGCCCTCCCCAGGCACCACAGGTCTGTTAGCGACACTGGTTGACCGCACCACAACACGCAGCCAACCTATTGCAGACATGGCGCAACCGCAGAACGAGACGCTCAAAAGGATTCGCGAGTATTCCGAAGAAGCTCGTGGGCTGCAAGATGATGTTGTCGACTTTGACGCGTCGAGTACCGAGGCGCGTTTAGAGCAGACGGTGAAGGAGCTACAAGCACGCGTGCAGGAACAACAAGCAGCGCTTGACAAGGTAATGCAATCAAGACGCGTCTGCATAGATACATGCTAACCAGATGATAGCTACGATCACAGTCACAGGTTAATATAGAGAGTGCGGCTTACGCATCAGAAGATCCGCGGAAAAAATTGCAGCAACTCATTGCTGTCAAAGACGCGTATCGACGTTTGAATTCAACCGCAACATACCTACCTGCGCCAGGATCAGTTCTACCTGCACTCTTAGCAGCGCGTACCATTCAGCAGAACATTAAAGGAACCAAGGATGCTATCACCAGCACACAATCCCAACTGGACGTCCAGGAACCCAACCTTCGTCAAGAAGAAGCCCTTTTACATGACGCCCAACTTCTGAGTCGATCAATGGAGAACCGCATTGAAAGACTACGCTCTCAGCACGAAGATCGATCACAGAAGACACCCGCTCAGCTTGCGCGAGAATTGATTGCGGCTAAGCGCGCAAAGAAAGAGAGCTACGACAACGAGATGCAGCGCATGGGTGGAGCAATGAACGACTTCATCAACGATTACCTCTCTAGCATGCTTGCAGCAGAAGAGCTGGGCGGACCTGTAGTAGGTGATATGCTTGATGTGGAAGACGATACACTTGCCGCCGGGTTCACGAAGAAAGGACGCCCAAAGTCGTCCAAAAAGCCAGCATCAGATAAAACGCGACAACGCAGGATTGACCAAATTTGGGGCAAGAAGACTGCTGTCGACGATCAAGAGGAAGAAGAAGAGCCACTTACTGAGGCCGAAGCTGCAGACGCGGAAATGCGACAGCTGATTGAGAACCTGTTTGCTACGTTGATGGGACCAGGAGGTGGAAAGGCGTATTTCCAACTACAAAGAGATTCTGCAGCCTCGAGGTTCTTGGTCAGAGCAAAGATTGCGCAGTTCCACCCGAAAGATGCGAGGAAGCTTAGACTGATTGACTTTGGAAGAGAGTTGGATGACTGAAATTGCTGGTGTAAAGTTACCTGACCCTCTGTTGCGAGGTTGCCGCACTACGAGAGCCAATCGACCGCCACAAACTCGTTAGACAGATCTGACCTCGTTACGAGGGGAATGGCATCCACAAGCATACATCACCCAAAGCCTTGCCGAAGTTCCTATCGTGTACTCATCCCTTTTCCCCCTTGTCTATAAAGAATATCGACATGTGGCGGTGCATTCGTGTTTAGTATCTAAACCGACATCGTACGTTTCCTTTTCGGAACTATCAATACCTTGGTTCCGCGCTCCACACATGCACGCATGCCTCCGGCCCACACTGCATCCCGCGCAACACATCATCCACAATCCAGGTTTTGGGTCAGGATAACCCGGCTTTTCCCCAGCGCCTCCGATCCTCTTTCGTCAGTACAGTATCCCAAATGAACTAATGACCCGAGTATCGGAGCCACTGCTCCGAAGAGAGATATGGGGGATTTTGGGACATCGGAAAAGAAGTACAAAAAGAGGTCTTATCGCAGAGGCGGTATTGGGAGTGCACGTGCGCGGGGGTGAAGGATTTCAATGGCAACGTTACCATGTACAATAACACGACCTGATATGAGGATGGGGATCTTCCCGTCCTGGCGCTTCCGCCGACAGAATCTGACAGCGAAGCGATCAAAGCATTCATACAAGCACATGGGTAGCAGGCAACTTCCGGCCGAAGCTCACCATGGCCCAGAGCTGAAGAAAAAGCAGAAAGATACGATGCTCAACAACCAGCCCCCCATGTTCGTCGTCGGACATCCAAGAAAGAACCTTGGAAAAAGCAATCCGATGCATGAGAATAGTACCGTATGTGTCCCAAAGATCCGAAATGGACTGCCGGATGGGGACACACCCTGAGGCGCCGTCAAAACAAGTACCGTGCAGGTGACTACCTTGAGCATACCCTTGCAAGACGCACTGTAAGATCGTAAGATGCACGTCGTACTAATGCAGACGCATCAACGTGGCTCCTGTAGGTACACTCAGACTTCACAGAATCGCGCTTTCAATCCGCCCAACCGGCAGTATTCCAGGTGCGTCAGCGGCTGATGGCGCATGACAGCTCTCTCCAGTCCACTGATTCGTTGTCAGTCGTAAACGAGATGACCCACGATCCCAATCGCAACCTCTTCATTCGAGGGATATTAGGTGCAGCCATTTCTGCCGGAGGATGCGATCGCGATTGCGCGCGTAGCCTTGCCAGTGCAGCGCGACGGGTGGGAGATCTGAAGCTGCTCAAGTGCTGACTGCTTGGGCTGCTTACAGGTACCGGGCTGCGGGAAGCGAGCTGTGGGGACACCGCTGAATTGTGCTGGATCTCCAGCAAGTGCACGCTTGGTCTGTCAAACTTGAAACACATGCCGGATGATCAGTGAGAGCGGTTTCTGACCGCATGTATGAAGTCATCATGGAGCAACAGTTCATACATGCGTTCTGACAGCAAGAACCGAGGCTTTTCTCGGTCTTTGATATCCGCGGTAATTTGCGTTGACAGGTGGATATCACGAAAATGCCCGGTATACACGTGCACACCTCATGAACGAGTAGCGAACAGGGGTGCTGAAATTGCTGATTCCACTTTTCTTTTCCTGCGCAGAATCCGATCCCAATCTGGTGACTTCATCATGCATAACAGAATCACATATCATGTCGCAATACACGGGGCTTTTATTTCAGATTTGCATTGTTTGCGGTCCGATAATACGGCCGGGTTTGGTGAAAGATATGGTACGGTGGGGGGGATGTTGGGGTGATGCGGGATTTGGATCTGGGATCGGTAGTCTTTCCGACGCTTTAGTTTGTTGATGTGTACCAAACCTACACCATCGTCTTTTAGCCGTCTACGAGAATCAAATGATACCTTCCAAAAATGCTCAAGTGTATCCGTCTTACGAAGCTAGGCTACTTCTCAGACCTCAGCTCGGAGTACCACAAATCGCAATACATAACCTCACGTAACAGCAATGACAATCATCCTAGCCTGCTTGATGCCCAGGTGGAATTTACCGTAATGCATCCAGTGCGAAGACTGGATGCTGGAATAGGCCCATCTAGAGCACCATTCCATCGCCGTTTCAGCATTGTGGCTGTGCGCAATTTGCTGTTTCTTCTGAGTCGTCGGAGATGTTCCGTCTGGTGTCCGCGCTGCGAAGTCAGATTAAGCAAAGAGACATAAGTGCCCATCATGGGCTAGGATCTGCAAACTACGGCTGATATTCTTACCCTACGGTAGAAGCGGGGTACCAACAATCTAAAATGCGAGAACAATTGATGTGTCGCCGAATTTTCTGGAAATGGAATTGTGCTGGTTAGAAGTGAGGCATTCTGGCATGTGAAGTGATCAACACAGTTGCGAGGGATACGTAACACCTATCTGTGGCGGTGCAGACCTCTTCGGGTGACGTCTCGGTACACTTACGTCAAGCTGCTCCACGGTGGAGTGACGGACAACTCCCTTGCGATAGGGAGAAGAAATCCTCCGCAAGCCGTGAGTCACAGTTCGTCAATGTCCGCATGACATCTGCGTCACCTACCGGGGCGTTCTACGCCATGTGGCACACGCCAGCGCTCCCGCAGTTCGTGGCGAAGGCCAGGGTCCAGCCACACCACTCGCCACCTGCCGGCTCGCTTGAGTACACAAGATGTCGATCTCTGTGTAGATCCTACATGCTCATTGGTTGTCGCACAACGCTTTTGTGAAATGGCCTTACAAAATCACTATGATTAGAACGCCTCATTCCAGCGTAGTAAGTGGCCGATAGCCCGGATAGTCGTATAGTAGGTTCCCGTTCATGTCGTACGTTTGTTCCGTGTTTCCATTGAAAGGAACACTCTTCGGGGTCCGCGAGGCGTTCTGCTTCGACACAAGAGGTGGCGAAAGTATTCCGAGCGAACATGCTGGAGTATGTCGGCTAGCTTTCCGTCGCTGCCCTCCTGTTCGAGCACAATATGAGCGACGGCATTACCGGAATCCTCTCCTTATGCATAGTCTCGGTTTGAGAGTCCATTCGCCTCCGAAGATGCTCTCAAATGTGCGATTTCCTTGTAATATCACACCACACTTGCATGAGCGCTTGCTTGGTGCTGCACATCCCGTAGACTATTCGTTCAAGCCACAATCCGTAAGATGGATTGGCGTTTCATAATATGCGACTTCGAATGAGGCAGTAGTAGACCAGATCTGATCGGTCCTTTCTCATTCGACGCGTCCTTTTTCATCGCCAACGCATCTTCCGACCCTGCTCCCTCGGTCTGACTTATCGGTCTCCTGTAGGTGTACCATGGTCGTGATTCGTGAGCCTTTTCCTGCAGTATGACATCAAGTCTCGGGCAGACAATCCTTTGGGTCGGATCCATGTGCCATCGGAATCGGCTACCATACCCACACTTCCCGCCAGCCCCCTCAATTACTCGCGTGTCAGGGGTCCCCGCCCAAACGCTGACAGGTGTACCAAACACGGTGTCAACAATGTTGAATTTAGTGTTTGGAAAAGCGAGACCGACGATAGTTGTCGCATAACCCATTCGCGAACGTGTATTGATTGACGCTGGTGCAAGCCGCTCGTTGCTGCTGAACCCCTGGTGCGAACGCTTCGCGCGTAATCTCCGGAGACGATAGCGTGTTAAATGCTTGTGCGCGCCAAGATACTGAAATATTATTCGATGGGGCAGGCAAGGAGCAATCTGCCGCGATGGGGTCGGTCGGAAAAAAGGTTTCTAACTTTGGCGGCGGACGGGGAATGTAACGATCATCGCTATGTCACAACGTCAGTGGGGGTGTCCGCGGTCAACGGCGCAGCTTCGGTCGGCCAGGGTAAGAACGTGGAGCGCAAGAAAATTGTACAGGGAAGAGAAGTCGAGAGATCGCAGGTGACGACAGCTTCAGAGCGAAAAGGTTTGATTAGGCTCGCAAAGGATAATGGGCATGTACACCGTAGTGGACAGAGCTGCCATCCTTGTTGTATGTAGAAAGAAATTACAGGTTCAACGCTCCTCCCTCGTAGTTGCGTGTGTGTATCTCGCTATGTGTTCGTAATAGATCGTTGCTTTGCAATCTTAGCCGCTGGAAAGGTGAAAGTGGTAATAGTATAATGGGTATCGTCGTCGCACCGGAAAGAAGAAGAATAGAAAGGTATCAACAAAGGAAATGTAGCAAACGCTCTGGTCGAACGCGTGGTATCTCCGAAGGCGCTAAACGCCAAACAGTAGAACTGAATCAAGTGACGTTAATTCAGAACAGCCCTCAGAGAGCAATGCAAGGCTCCAAGGTACGAATAGTACGGGGTCGTGACAATCGGCAAATTACCGAGAAACAGGGTATCAAAGATGAAGGAACGGCGTCTCGCGGGCGAGCGATAGGCATAAAAGCCTAGAAGAGAAGACGGAGTTCGTAACCGGTCGAGTGAACGTTTTCCGTAACGCTGATGTCGCCATCAACTTGAATGTCTGTAGGACCCGCATCCCATTCGCGCTTCATAGCATGCACTGGCGGTGTACCGATCTCATGGAATTCGGCTGTCATGTCCTGTTGCTCGGGGATCCTGTTGACTGCATCGTCATCCATCAGAATCTGCAGTCCTTTTTGGTTGACACGGATGGTTCGCGTGACCTTGGTTGGCTCGAGCTTGATCTTCATTGCAATGCTAGCAACGAGTTCTTTCACAGTACGCTCCATTAGATACACGGCGCGAAAGTAGTTATCATCGGGTTGCCGACCAGCGAAGCGTGGTTGGACGAAGAAGCAGGCGACAGGCTTTAGCATAGGCTCCGGAGGCGGCTGGTAGGTTTGATCAACCCCAAGGGCTTCGATCCATCCAGAAAGCGCATGGTCATCAGAGTATGGCCGTTGGACCTTTGTTGGGACGTCTGCACCGCCTTGAATGCTAGTCATGCCTTTGAGATCACCTGTGGCTGTTTGTGGCATGTTGCGCCATTCGTTAGAGGACATGCGGGATGGTGGCTGGAAGGGCGCCGGACGTTGGAAAGACGTAGTCCTGCGCTTCTCCGAGTGGAGAGATTGGGAGCTAGGAGTTGGAGATACAACAGAGGATGTTCCTGTTTGCGACTCTGGAGCCTCCCACATGGGCGCATCCACGTTTGTGTCAATCTTAGAGAGTTCTTGAGGAGCAGCTCCTAGGATCACTGGGTGAAGATCCGGGTCATCCTGCTCCTCTCCCTTGAGGTAAAGAACACTGACAGGCCTGGTGGAACTGAACATGTCTTGAAGTGATGCCAGTTTGATGTGGAGGTCTTCTTCAGCAGGCGCACGACCTCCTTGATTGTCGCTCGCAGAAGACATTGACCAGGTCCTCTTGTGCTTAGGTACCTTTCCGGGTCGTTGGCTGACACTGCCCTTGGAGATTGATCCACTGCGTTTCCGCTTGCCAAAATCCTTCATGCCAGACTCGACCTGAGCAATCTGTTGTTTCAGCTTGTCGATAGTCTTCTTGACGTGGGCGACGTCATTGGACAGCTTGCGCTCGGCGCCGTGGTCACGGAAGAGCTTGACTTTGCAGTAGCAAAGCTCAGCATCCGGTCTTTGGGGCGATGATCCGGTAGCTTCGGTGACCATCTCTGTCTTCGCACATAACCGGACGGGAATGCCTTTGACGCCCTTGGAGTGACTGAAATCAGTAGAGAGGAAGTTGAAACGCACGGCTAAAGAGCACTCGGGCGAAGAGTTGTGAGTTGGTGTCCATACAACGACAAATCCGTCGAAGGAGGAAGATTCGAGTTCAACTCTGGGACGTCCTTGAATCTCACCGCCGCCGACTTGGCTCGGGTCCACGAACTCAACTGCTTGAAGTCTTCCACCACGCTGGTGCGCCTCGTTAGTTCCGCGGCCCTCTTTCCACAGTTGCCAGCAAGACGCGGGTCGCTGACGCTGCTGCTCGTCTTCAAAAGAGATGCGAATGAAGGTTCTGTACTTTGTCGGTGGAGATTGCGCTTGCATGGGGGCCGTGTCTACAAGGGAGATGGAATAGGCCTGTCCTTTGTTGAGATAGGTAACAGGAACTTCGTCTGACTGCTTGATCATGGCCGTTGGAGCATTCAGAGTAACGTGGTATCGGAAGCTGGAGAAGTCAGTATGTGAAAGAGGCTGGAAAGATAGGGCGACGGACTTTTGATTAGGTGGAGGGGGTGCCGGTGCGACGGCAGCTGCCATGCCTTCGTATGAATGGGGTGCGTAACCAATCAGAGGGGACTGCTCTTGCATCTCCACCTCTGGGACCATATTGTCCATTGGCGAATCCTCGTGGTTTTGCGCCATGTTGCCTTGGTCGAATGCAGCAGGCTGATGGGTGAACTGGTGCGGGGCAAAGGATTGGGAATGCTGGGGCTGCATGCCAAAAGGGTTGACATTCTGGAAGTGATGCGACCCCAAAGCATGGGGATTGAAACCATGAAGATGGTTGGCAGGCGCGACCTGGCCGGCATGAAGGGCACCTTCGGAGGTAGGAAGCGATAGTGGTGTTCCTAGGCCGAAGCTGAAGCCGGGGGTGTGGAGGTCTCCGGCCTGGCTGTGGTAGAGTGTGTTGGTGCCACCAGGAGTGGGCGTGTAATAGCCAGGAGGTTGGTTTGCGAAAGAGGTGAAAGCAAAGCTGTTGGGGTCCAGCAGCGAGGGAGTGAACCTCCACGGCTCGGTATTTCCACGCGGTGTCGGGTCCTGATCTTTGATGTCCTCATGGTCGAGTTGTCTGAAAAACATGTGGGTTAGTATAACATTTCTGTGCGTTGTGTGTGCATGTTCGGCTTCGGCGGTGTTGTTGTTGATGTTCGTGCCGAGTGACATGGGATGGGGGGATCTCGGAAGAACGTACCGGGAGGGGTGCGCGACATCAAGCGCATCTGCGAGCGTGTGGCCCGGAGGACCTGCAATAGAATGCGAACGCTGCTGAAGATGAGGGAAAGTCGCCTTGAAGTCCTCTAGGAGCTTTCCATCGGGTTTTTGGGAGTTGAGTCTGCGCATGTCAGTCGTGGGTCGGCCAAGGTACATGATGTCTTCACGCGACGCGCGCAAATCATATGCGAGCTTGGGCGCGGGCGGGACGTACCTATTTCGAAACATGGCATCGGGCGCTCTCGCGGTATTAGGTCTTGTTTAATTCGGGTTGCATCTGGGAAGTCGATGGGGAAGAAAAGGTGTTTGGGTTGGGGAGCCTTGGAGGAGCAGACTATGGGTTGATGAAACGGAGAGCAGCTGCCACGAGAAAGTCGAGCCTGGGAGAGTCAAGCCACAGGTGTCCAGGGCCGGTGGTCAGACGTCTTTTAGCTAGCGACCTGAGCATCCACAGGGCCTGACGGAATTGCAAGAGGGCCGCGCGTGGGCATGGGTGGAGCGTCGGGTCTAGGCACACGGTCCCTGCTCTTCTAACGCTACAGTTTTGCGCGGCCCTAGACGGCTTTGGTCCTCCGCCCTACTCTGTGCGCGACATGCTGCCAGAACTGATCACCCACCGTCCGTCCTGCACAGCCACAACCTTACGGCAGACGCGAGCCGGCCAGAAGCTCTTTGCGTCCGCATGAGGAGCTGATAGTCGCTGCATCTGTCGCCATCCCGCACTCCAAGCGCACATCCGCCCATGGATGCTGGATCGCGCGGACCCAGCCCGATGTTTCTCGAATCCACTCCAACTGCTACACCAGTGTGAGGAGCTCGTGCGCGGCTCCAGTGGCTTGATGAGTATTCCGTGCCCTTGGGCGTAATTTACTCGTCAAGACAGCTTCTGCTCGCACACTATACCCCCTTTGTCAAGCAAGACTGTTGCGGCGCCTACGGTGTGCGTTGGCGCCTCAATGCGAAATGACATATGCCGGGCAGCTCCCGTTTCCACTTGTGTCCCGAGACCGCTTCCTGCCCTTGTCTCTTGCAGCTTTCCACGCGGCAGACGTCTCTACCGCTGCTCGCCCTACCTATCTAGCCCACTGCCGGCCGCCTTCCCCTGCGTATGAGCTACGGATCAGAGACGAGGATGCCACCCCGCCAATTCGTCAAAGTCTATCTAGCAGGCCAATCCCACTGTCGCCCGTTGGCGCCGTATCGCTTGCGCTTACTCGGAAGACTTAATTCTTAACGTTATTTTACCACCTGTCAAGCCGAGATTAAGGAGTGGTTAGCGGGCGTTATCCCGAAAGCGAGTCTATCCACCAACTGAACCATCCCATCAACGGCTTTCGTCATCGTAAGGCGCTTGGACAGTGCATCTGAAAGCCATGTTGTAAGAGTGAACGTCACTGCCTTTTGCAGTTACACCGAACATAGTGCTGGCAGTTGCATGGAATGGAATGCCTGTGACTGCATGACCAATCGCAAGGCTGTGGAATCGTCGTCCGGTAGGTGCAACGGAGGAATCCAC